AAAATACTCATTTTCTTTATTTCTTCAAATGTTTGATTATACATTACCGATTAGATTCCCTCAAGTATTTTATTTTCCCTACTCATGCAAAGCAACCAAATTTGTATCAGAACAACCGATTTTTTTTACATAAAGTGAAGCATTATTGCAGATTGTATCCGAACAACCGATCATTTCGTTATTGCAGAATTGAATATATATATATATATATATATATATATATATATATATATATATATATATATATATATATATATATATATATATATATATATATATATATATAGATGTGTGTGTGTGTGTGTGTGTGTGTGTGTGTTTATTTTATGCATTGCGACCAATGGTAGCTAAAATTTTAAAGAATAACATTATTTTAATTGAAATTATAGCTCTTTGTTACATAAAACTATATATGTACGAAAATTGACATCTCTACACCCCGCACCTTATTTTCTGTTATATTTTGAAAATTTGAAACATGAATTTAATAGCTTACCCAGAATTTAGTTACTTTGTCAGATGGCTACAAAATTGAACATCAGTAATTTGCTTTGGTAGTTATAATAACTTTGGCATATTTTGACACCACCTCCCCTCCCCCCCCCCCACCCCATCCCCCTTTCCGATGAAATGTATGGAGATAACGAACAGTATTCAAGCTCAAAAGTCCATTAAACAATACACATTTTGGAGCAGAGCAAACACGGACCTCTAAAACATCAGAGGTGGGATCAGGTGCCATGGAAGAGTGAGCATCCCCTACCGACCGGTCACACCCGCCGTGTGCTCCTTGTCATCCTCGGGTAATAACGTCAGCATTTGACTTAATGATAAATTGTATTTGCTGACAAGGTCATTGTATCGACCATAGAACTTATGACATGACGACTTTAAACGAGACTGCTGATATTCTTGTTGCGGTAAAAATTATTAAACTATATATTTGATGTATTTTTTATACTGGACTTTACAGAATTTATGCTATAATTGAAACGGATAATCTTCAAGTGACTCGATTTCAAGGAGGATAATGAGTAATGATTTTATGGTTTTGTTCATGTTCCGATGGCTGATCGATGTCAATCAAATCTCTTCTATAGTTCACTGTGAGTTACCTATTGCTAGCACACTTGTTGATTGACAAGCGCAAAACTTTACACCCAAAAGAAAACAAATTATCATTGGTTTGAAACCGATTGTATGAACTTGATATACATCTCCACATGAAGCAGAATTTATTTGCATCCCCAGATGCATCCATGTACATTTGGTCTAGGTTGTTCTAATATTTGCTTGCAAATGGATCTGATCTGAACATTTTCTCTTAGTCACCTACTTGAAGATTTGCAGCATTCGAAGGAAGTCTGATGGAAATAGACCTGCTCTGAACACTTTTACCTGGTCACTTACTTGAAGATTTGCAGCATTCGAAGCAAATCCGGTGCTAATGGACCTGGCCCCAGGATCATGAAACAGACTTAAGACAAATTTCCAATCGCCTGTAAAATGTTGATTTATTAACGAATTAATCTCTAAACTTGCAGATAACAACTCTTTTGTAAAGAATGCTCTGAATATTTTCACTTGGTCACTTAAACCGGTACTTGAAAGATTTGTAGCCATTCGAAGCAAGTCTGATGCAAATGGACTTGCTTTGAACATTTTCACCTGGTCAACTACTGAAAGATTTGCAACCATTCGGAGTAAGTCTGAAGCAAATGAACTTACTATGAACATTTTCACCTGGTCACTTCCTTTAAGTTTCTAGCATTCGAAGCAAATCTGATAAAAGGTATCCTGCAGGTTTGAATGAGGTAGGGTTATGTAGTTTCTGAGGTTATAGATCACCATAGTTTAACATTACAAATATAACAATAATTGTCCTAACTCAAATATAGTATGAGAAGCAAACCTAGTTTGCTATGGCTAGCTTTTAATCAATAAAAGTTCGTTTGTCTTGTTGAAATGCAGAAAGTAATTGTTGACTCTTACATAATATACTGTTATATGCCCGTATTCCCAAATGAACCTACAGACCTGTTAGAACCAATCGCACAAATGAGATAAAATAACCCGTCTGGGATATGATATCCCAAATAAGATATAAATTTACAGTGCAAAAAATGATTTTTTTTTTTTTAAATTTTGGCTATAAATATCATAAAAAGGAATAACTTTTGGCAAGCAAGCTTTTCTGCAAACCTACAGGTTTGTTAGATTGATCCTCAAGTAGTGTAGGAACTTCCAAGGGATCAATCTTCTAAACAGTGGACACACAGAAAATGTCGTTAACCAAAAGTTATTCCAATAAGTATCTTGATGCGGATTTATGATATTTATAGCCAAAATAATATTTTCATTTTTTGCACTGTAAAATTATATCCCCATTTGGGCGATTGGTCCCAACCTGATAAACACAATAATTTATATGGACATTTACATGATTAATTCCATTCATACCCATGGGGTACAGTTAGAGTAATAGGAAAACAAACATTTACATACCTCTCTCTAGGTGAAATACATGCACAAGGTCTGCCTTTATTTGTTAGAGAAGTATCATCATGTTTTATATAAAGTAAATAAAATAATTGCATTGCAAAATATCGAGCCCTTCTTCGGCGTGCTGCTGGCATTTAAAAGGATCCGTTATACATGCTACTCATTGCTCTAAATGTGGTGCTAAAAATACCCTCAGCTCAATTTTATTGAATATATTTTTGTCTGTGGGCTGTAAACATAGGGAAAGCTGTAATAACCATAAACCACCAAATAAAGGGTTAATAGCAGTATGGAAACTTGGTTTTCAATATAAAAGAGTTATTTGTTATTTAAGGGAATAAACAAATAAAACCCTTTTTCGGACCTCAAGCATTTAAAATCCAATAAGTAGACCCAGTCACGGTCTAGAAATCACTTAAGTGTCCGAACTACACTCTATACCCGTCAATTCATGACAGGCTTGTTGCTAATTATATTATTCTAATCTCGCCCGAATACAAAATAATTTATCAACGCTTGGAAAAGACCAAACTTTCTACTTGCAATCGGAAAAATACGATCATTTATTCATGCATTTTGTAAATGAAAAACAACATGTCCACTAATATCCTAAAATATACAATTATTATACAATACAAATGGAATATTATACAATTCAAATGGAAAGATGTGCAATGCAAATGGAAAATTATACAATAAAAATGGAAAAATACACAATACAAGCGGGAAATTACAGAATAAAAATGAAAAATTAAAGAATACAATTAAAAATTATACAATTCAAATGGAAAATTATACAATGCAAATAGAAAATTGTAGAATACAAATGGAAAATTATACAATACAAATTGAAAAATATTCAATACAAATAAAAAAAAATACAATATAAATGGAAAAAATTATACAATACAAATAGAAAATTGTAGAATACAATGGGAAATTATACAATACAAATGGAAAAGATCGAATATTGCTACGTTTGACGTGCCATAGTTATCATGTTAAAACTTCGTAATTTATCAGCCAACAACACACTTTATCCACCCGGGAAATTTTTAAATGATATATAAATTTCTGTAAAAGATAAAAGCTCAGTCTACGGCATATCGCTTTTTCTTTGCTTATTGCAGATACTGGACGAATTTTTGTTTTAGCAATTCACAAGATGAATTCCCATAAAAGCGCGGCGAATTGAATTTTTATCATTGCTGCTGTACTCACCTACAGTCCAATTCTACTGACGGTTAGTTACAGGCTTATAGCAGGAAGAAATTAAATACTTTGTTTAACATCCCACAGTTAGTTTAAGAGCAGAAGTATTCCACCCTATCTCTTTTTGTAAATACTTGAAAAATACCATTTTCATTTATAATTGACGTGTTCTTTTTACATGTTAACGACTTTATCTTGATACCTGTTGTATATACATACACATATTTTACTGATAAATTATTCGCACAACTTACTAACATCCTTTTGATATGTAAATATATCAAAAACTTACAGTGTTATAACAGGTCCGTAGAAACGGTTTCTAAAGTGGAAAGGAGGGGGCACCCCCCCAATAAAAAAATCTGACAAGCCAAAAAAAACCTCCTTAACTGCTCATTTCCTGGAATTTGCCAGTGCTCGACCTTACAGCAACAAAAGGTGGGGGAGGGGGCAACAACCATCATCTAAAGGTAAATTTACTATAGCAAAATACTATAATACTTAGGAAAAAGTCGGTGGGTGGGGGCGCCCCCCCTCCCTCGCGTTCTACGGGCTTGTATCAATTGCTTAACCATTATTTCCATGCCCATTCACATCAAAACTTTTGTTTTTCTTTTTTAAATGATTCGATGTTTCAAGTTTCACCCATTGACATTAAAAGTTCAAATTCAATTGTCTCTAATGTCCAAAAGATTAAACTTGTGTATGAATCATGAAGATTTAAGATGATGTCTTTTTACGGTTGTACAAGATTGATATGAATTTCCATTGAATGCATTTTTTGTGTATTATACTGCTTATGAATACGGAAAAATTATAATTCTTCATTTACTTTTACGTATTATCATAGAACATGTTCAAAAAGAAAAATTCTATTAGGTACATGTATGACGTTTCTTGATGATAAATTAAGGTAGTTATTAGGTATAAATAGGACACTTCACAGCACTTTTTTTTTATTAACTTAAAAGATAAAAGCAAAATTTTCCCAAAATTACAAAGTTCAGAAAAGTTTTGGACCTTTTAAAAGTTGTCAAAATACTGCGATTGATTATTTCCAATAATAACTTTAAAGATATTCTGAGCAACCATTGAAAAGTCTCAATCAAAACAAAATGAAATTACAAGGTTCACTGAATCTTATTGTCTTTTTTTTATCCTTTGAAGTCTATACAATCAACTTAAACAAAATAAGCACTGTTACATTCGCTTCTAGTATAGTTAATTTCAACTATGCCTTCCATATACAAAAAAACACACGGATTAAAGAAAGTAGCTGGCCCATATCAAAACAACTTGGACGACCTTGAACACACTGGTTTATGGATTAGAAAAATATCTGTAATGTCGGCCGCAGCAAACATTCCAGTGACCTTTGAATAACCCGATCGCCAAGTGACAATGCCAATGAGCCGTGAATAATTCCAATACACATCCGGGTTTGTTTACAACGCAAAATGCACATGCTGCACAATGATTTCGCAGAAGTGAAATATGAGAAGCCATGGCAAATTCTTAGACCTACAATCTACATTCTAATTGGCGAGTTGGACGGATAGGGAAGTAATATTGTGAAAAAATCAAGTAAGTGTTAAATTTCGCTTTTCAAAGATGTTCTTTCTTTCTTTCTTTCTTTTTTTTAATTTAAACAGAAATTAATTACCATTTTGTCAAGGATTTTGAGAATGGTTTGTCATGCTAGTGAAATCGGGTAGTATAATATATCGCATGAGATCCACTGGATATATATGACTATAATTATTTAATGCTGGGAAAGGGATCGAGGAACTTGAATATGAATATATAAAATGATTTTAGGATGATTTATTTTCACATTTAACGCAAAACATTGATCAACACATTTTAAAATCACTAATATGTAGTCATGGAATGTCGTAACCCTGGAATAATATGTAATAATGAGAATAAATAAATACGCATTTATATTTACTAAAAATATCGATGCAACTTTAACAAAATTAATCCAATACAATGCAATATGCAAATTGTACTTCTATCTATCGTGAAGTATCCATCCAATACTTGAACCCAACATCCGTTTGTTTAACAATGCCCCATTAGAAGCAGTGTGCCATAAAGCTTTATTTCTTTATTTCAGAAACATGACCCTGGATTCTAGATCCACCCCAAAAGTAACACGTTAACCCAATTCCTGCGATCGACCATCTTTTTAATTGAGTGAAGTAGCGCCCGCTGAGCCCATCGTAAACAGGGCAGTTAGTCATACTGCTGGTGATCAATAGAGAAGCAGGCGGCCTTGATCCTCAAGCTCTTGTTTACATCCTCACTCGAGGGAGAGGGAAATAGAAGAAAATCTTTTAATTTCAGATGCGGGGTTGTCATCGTACGTCACTGATTGGATCTTTAACCAATTGCAAGGTAAGGGAAATGTTTATATTTAGTTATTCTGTTATTATTGAGTTATACACAGTGGTTTAATTTTTCATTGAGTATAAAAATATTCATTAAAAATTATATTAAAGTATCTTTTGAAATGTAAACAAAATAAATGTATATATTTGTAGTACAAAAGACATACATTTTATGTACCATGCAAGTATAAAATTTTATCCACCAAGTGTAAGATGGGGAATATATATATTATCTGAAATGATATTTTTCCGACAACCATTTATTTATTTTTTTTTTTCGATATACGTGTATAAGTTTTAATGCTTAGTCAAGAACAGAAAATTCTTGTCATAAAAGTGAAATTTAGAAATTTCAGTCTGGTCTTGCAAACAATTTTTGAAATAGAAATGGTGCAGTTCTGGCATATTCTTGTTTACTAGTATTTCATCATATTTCTGACTCTGGCCTTCGCGTTCTTATCTCTACATGCTGATATAGAAGCTGTATGTGCGTTTTACTTGATAATTTTTCACATGAAGTTCTGAAGAGAAAGCTGACACTTAAGAACTGATTGGTCTCTGGGTTTTCAACAGTTATGAAATGCTCGACCATTCCGACTACGTCAGAAAAACCTAATTAGTCACCAAACAGTATCCAGTGGTTGACATCTCCTCTCTGAATCAATAGCTTCAGAAGTACCGTGTAATCACCTGTCCGGTATTGGATTAGTGGTACACTTGATGGGCTTTTAAGACCAACATCTGTCAAGTCAAATTTCTCGTTCGTCTTTTATATCATAGCAAAAGCGTTCTTACTAAGTCTCGGCTGCAACGCTCAATAACTCTGTGGCTTGCCAAGTAAATCTTTGTGATGATGTTTGTGCCAGTTTGTAACAATAGTTGAAAACAAAATATAAAAACAATTGTTAATCCCATGTACATTTTCTCTCTTTTTTTCATTGATAGACTACACTAGTTTTTCTTCTTTTTCCCCCCTGCAATAGCATTTAATTCCTTTGTAGATATAGGAATGAACATTGGCTTCGTTGATCTAAAATTTGTGCAGTAACTTTAGTGGCATGCAAATCCAGTGCTCACTGGGTCAGGTTGCATTTTGGAAAGATATGGCAGTTTTACTTAACAGGGTGTAGGCGTTTAAATGCGCAATGATTTCGTTGAAATCCTTTATTTAAGATTACTGCGACTCTATTTTCATGATGACATAAGCTTGAGATGAAGAATTTGTTATTCTATCAGGAATGAACATGTTGACTTAATTGATCTAAAATAAGACGTCTTTCATTTGTGCAATAACATTGACTTAGTGATCTAAAATTAGACGTCTTTCATTTATGCAGTAATTTAAGTGACATGCAAATCCAATACTCCCTGGGTCAGGTTGCATATTTGATAGATCTATGGCAGTCTAGTTAGGTAGCAGGCTTTTAAATGCGCGATGTTTTTGTTGAAATGCCTTTGATTGTCCAGAAATGCGAGACCTAGAATTAGCAAAGATTACTGTGACTTTATTGTCACGATGACATGAGCTTGAAGTGAAGATGACATAATTATATCCTACATCAGCTGTGTGAACGATGTTCAGTAAATACTTGAATTCTGTACAGAATGTAAATATTGGCCTCTTAACATGCACTTAACATGCTCTTAACATGCAATTCTTGTGCACTTGGCACAAGGATACCCTTCATAAATAGCTCAATTTGTTTGGTTGCTATTTTCTACTGAGGGCATTGTGCCTTTAAGTGGAATCATAATAAACCTGATGGTGTGTTATTAATTTATACTTAAAGGTGTTAATAGTAAACATGTTTACGACATATTGCCTGTTCCTCAGTATTAAATCGATACAATGACAAATATATATTACAAGTGGTACTTTTACAGTGGCTTGGACATTGGATAGTTTGTGGGTCAAGGATCGGATTCTCTTGTTTATCTTCTTTCTTGTGTTGAACTATATATACATCTCATCTTTTGTTCTCTTACTCTCTGTGTACTTTAACACGGGGGATTTTACAGCTTTATGTTCACTGTTTATGGTAAGCTTTGTAAATACATTCTCTTTAAATGTGTTTTGAACGCTATTTATGCCTGAAGCGTTAAGTATTTGAAAAGAAACTTAAATTCTTAACATGTATGTCTGTATGTATTTTTGAGAATTTTTAAAATAATTCTTGACTTTTGGCAAGCTAAAAATATTATTCCAGCGCCACATAGGCATGTATACGTAAATATTATCAATTTTGGAAAAAAGGGGCAAGCCCCCCCCCCCCCCCGTCCCCTCAATACCACGTGCCTGACATCCAAATTCAATTTTTGGAAAACTGTATATCAAAAGCAAAGAACTGTATTTCTTTCTAATATGTGAAGATGAAAACTGATACAATAGAATGTGTCCCTTGAATGATAAAGAACATCAACGTGATTCACTAAACTAATGGAAAACGTTTGCAAAAGTTTAATAGATCATGTACAAATATCTGTTGGATATAAACTGTTAGATAGAAAATACAGTGTGTATATGGGCATGCGTATTGGATTGCTCTTGTTAGTGTGAAATGACACTCCATTACCACACCTCTAAGCAAATTTTATTTTGAACCAAAGTCAGTCAACATGTAGCATAAAAAGCACCAAAATACCCTTGAATATCCTTTTTGATACGATTATACTACCAACTGCCTTCTTCTTGATCTTGTTCCTATGTGAACATGATAAAGTTAGATGGAATTTACATTTTTCTTATCTAGTTGTTATTTTTTTCTCTTCTTTTTTTCGAAACAATATATCATCAGTCATTATAATTTGAACAAAGAGTTAATTACATTTGTTCAATTTTATTTTTACAGATTGCTGCCAAAATTTCACATATCGGGATGATGCTTAGAGAGGATCGCCATCAACGATTACTTCCCCATCTTCCTCTGGCGTCACAATTACCAAACAGTCGAGAAATCATCATTGATTGGATGTCAGATGACCATGTGACTCAAACGTATGACCTAATTCAGCAGTGCGCTGAAGATGGACATGGATTTGGTGTGGATGAATTTGAAAATGAAGAAGATTTTCGTGAGGAAATTAGAGAATCATTTTGTTTTGTGGTTATGGACAGATCAACAAAAGAAATGCTTGCATCATTCATTATGACGTCAAGTAAGTTTTATCGCGGTTCTCCGGATGCCGTGGATCCATATATTATCGTTAGACCCCATGACCGCCAAAAGGGAATTGGCGAATTTTGTATGAGAAAAGTTTTGGAATTCTCTGAAATTCTTGGATATCAAGGCATGTATGTGGACACCTTTTGCAACAATACAGGAATGCAGAAAATCCTTGCAAAGCTCGGTGGTTTCATGAAATGTGGATGCCTTCCCATGGGGGGAAAACTGAAAAACGGAAATATCATTGCCTCTCTGATTTTCTTCCGTGATCTTACAAAGTACTCCAATGGTTGATTACATCCAGAAGGTAAAAATGAAAAAAGGAAGGTATATTGTGAAAGAGACCGAGCTCTTCGCCAGATGGATACTTGCAAGTGGTTACAATAACCCGACCCCACATATCAAACTATGTTAAAGGGGCCTGTTCTTTTTTCTTCACCACTTGAACAGACTTACATGTACAATATGTGCATTGTAACGATCCGATCGAAGATATATATATATATATATATATATATATATATATATATATATATATATATATATATATATATATATATATATATATATATACGTATGAGGACATAAAGCAGTGCATGAAATAAAAGTTGATATTATCATGCACGTGAGTAAAAATCTTTGACAAATCTTTGATTGTTAGATGCATATGACCAATTCATCAATTGTATAAATGGCAGGGATGCACCTACTATGTTATTAAGATTTCAGAGCACTATTTTTAAAGCGAGATTTTTACAAACTTTATATTCTTGCAATAAATCCTGTTCCATCTTTCTTTCTTGTCCATTATTTGAAAAGAATCTATGAAAAATGTATATGCACTGGTTCATCTACGGACTGGTTCATCTATGGACTGGCTCATTTTGTTCTGGTTCATCTGTGGACTGGTTCACTGTTGAAGGTTGTTGGCAGAGTTATTTTTAGGGACAGTACTTCATTGTTTAAAGGAAATCATCAGTCACAAAAAGAAAAAAAATCTTTTTGATAGCTCACGTGGATATTTGTTCTAACCGTAGCCGACGGGATATATGTCTGAACTTGTTCTTACATGTATAACCACATTGATATGAAGAAAACCATCATCGAGGTGCCAGTATGATAACTGAATTTCAAAAGCAGGAATATTTTATGAGCTAAGAATTAAATTACTTGGATCCAGAAAGACCACTTCCACCCCAGTTGGTGTAACTGATAGTCGAAAGGTTTTCTTGCCAGAGGAATTCATGAAGTTCCCTGTAACAGTAGACTGTACATGCACATACTGAAATAATTCAAAACCCCTCAACTGAATGATTTGAAAAGATCTTCTAACACCTTCCCATACTTCTTTTCACAACTTTACCTAATAAAATAAAAATCAAAACTTTTGTTTAAAAGTATGTGTAGTTTGTCTTGTGAATAACTGTAAATCATATTAGAACTTTAATATATGAATTCCATTCTTCGGTAATTACATTTCCACTGTTTAAGGAACACTTCTTTATAAATGGAGTTTGGACCTATAGGGCCGGGATTGGTTTTAGTCTTTACAAAAAGTTTGTCTTTTACCGTTCTGGTCAATGACTTTAGGCCACATACATGTACTAATTTGTTTTGCATAAATCATTTTATTTCAGTCTGTAGAGGTAGGAAGAATCTTTTCATAGACATTAACTATGAAGCATGATATTGTCAACGCATTTTGAGTCCGTTATCTCAAAATGTTATTTGATTTTTTTTCTTTTCATTATAATGGTAATGTCTATAGTCTTAATGCTTTTCATTTAACAGCACATTTCCGTGGATATAAAAACGTTGCCGTTAATGTACGCTTATACAAATCCAAGGGGGTGCAGTTACTGATATGTAGCCCTACTGTTTCAAAACTTGAAATCTGAATTTAGAACATTGACTAAAAGAGTACATGTATGTAATTGTAATCATATTATATTAAGCTCGTATAATACAAGCTATGCGTATACTTTCCAGCACAATAACCCAGACAATTACAAACGGAATAAAAGCAATGTAACACACTGAGTTCATTAGATTCTAAGGAATTTATTTACAATAGAATTCCACCACAGCTCACAGCTCATTGCAGATGAAATGCCTGTATCGAGCAACACAGAGTGAATAATTCTTGTCCTCAATGACAATGACTTTATTCTCGTAAATGTACAAACATACACTGTAGAGAGGAGCTAGGAAAAGATACATACACAATTTGTTTGACAATCAACAATTTGCATATTTTTTTTTTCAATACTGAACAATATGTTGTTGAAAGAAGTTGTTTAAATTTCTCTGTTTATTTGGTCTGTATGTGAGATAATTTGAGATATATTTTAACCTAGCCTCTTTGATTTCTTTTTGTGTGCATACAACTTGAACTAAAATATATTTTATCTTAAAATTCAAGGTATTTCTGGCTATTAGAATAGATGGTATAATTATGAACCAGGTTGTCAAAAACAGGTTTCCTTATTTTTTCACAAAAGCATAACATTAGAATGGTAACCTACATGTAACATGAAGAGCTACTGCAACGTTGAATAATTTAAGGGAAAAAAAGAAATGAATGAATAAACTAGATAAAATTGTGTTCATCGTATCGATCAGGTCCCAAATGAAGCTGTATGAATTCTAAGATATTTATTTGATAAGATACTATTTTCGATCCTTGGCTCTAGCAACTGTCTTTCTTTCAGTTATATTTTACAGCAAAGAATCTATACATATTTTTTACCATCAAAGGATCCTAGTAATCCACAGATTTCCTATACCAGTTCTATTTTATGAGAAAAAAAATGTTTTCTTTGACTTATCACCTTCGCTGTGATTTTCAGTTAATAGACCTAATTGATTTAGATGATGTTTACTTGTGTTGTACAGAGAGTTTTTGCAACACTTTGTGGTTTTGAAAAACATATTTGTGGGAGGTTTCCGATACCAACTGGGGGTAAATATCCGTCACTATTATTTCCCAATAGATTTCTCTTGACGAGCACCGGTTGTAAATGCGCCAAAGCCAATCCCATTCCTGCGCGTGATATTGTCTCTTGGAGAGTCACGATCTTTCTACAACAAATCGTTAATTTTATGACAAGAAGGAAATTTCTAGTATATAAAATATAATTTGTAATAATTTTTATATGTATTTTATTCAATGTTTGAAAACCCAAGGAACATATTTATTTAGTTGCTATATGTACTAGTAATTTGACTGACTCCGCAATTCCAAAACCAAATAAGCGATTACCCTGTTTGTTTCATTTTGATTAAGGTTATTGATCACTTTTAAGGCTATATTTTTAGCGGAGGCAGTATATTTGTTCGAATGAATATAACTGTAGCATTGATCCTATTACTTGGTCAATCTCTTTCGTTCACAAAGTTCGCGCACGAACTAAAATAGGTTAATAAGATTTAATAATCCAATAACCACGAAAACAAAAATTTGATGGGAGGTTATCATAAGGTCAGATCCAGTGATCCATTGCTATAAATATTCGCCATTAACGTATTAAATATATAAGAACGAGAGAGAAAAAAGATCGTGGAAATATACATAAAACCGTATGGCGGATTAATGCTTCAATTATGATTAAAGGCGATTTAGAGAGTATTGAGAATTAAATAGAATGAGTTAAAATTAAAGAGAAAATAACAACCTGTCATAGTCACGGATAAACAGTCAAAGTCAAGGATCAACACTTTTTTTGTACGGTGTGGGAGAGTAATTCGCCGTCTATATTTCATAACCTTCTGTGAATAATGCCATGTATACATGTCCTCCATTCAACAGTTCAACATGCAAGTGATATCCATAAGGCCCAAATCATGTAGTGTTTGTCAAGAATTACTCTTGTCTGGCTTCTTTAGACCTCCAGAAAACACAAACAATTAAAGATTGTTTTTTTAACTTATAAAGCTTTAGATTTAAACAAGCATCTTTCTAAATTGATCAAAGTTTGCGCATACCTGATATATCGAGTAAATCAAAATCCGGAACTGAACTTATTTGGTTCTGAAACTATTTAATCCTTCATTACCGGAAGTAAACAAAACCCCATCGTCGAACTTCCAGGAAGTGATAGTTGGTGAGTTACATCCCAATTTCGTACAGCAACACACAGAATTTGGGGTTTATAATTCGAAAAATGGAAAATCGTGAAAAAGATTCAAGTCCAGATACAACAATCTTATCTCAACCCAGCAGTACGACAGAGAAACCTTACCGAAACTTAAGGGAATATACGGATCAGCTTCACGTATGGTTGTATCAGTATCGAATGTGGAGCTCAATGCAGTCATTTTCAATGATGTTCCCAATAATGCTTAATAACTGCCAAATTCCCCAATATTTGATTCCTAACAGTAACTCTCTATATACTCAACACACCACCTCTACGTCAGTATCAAGCCATACAACTACACACAACAGAGCACCGGTTCATTCTCATGGAGCTCGAATTCAAAGAGGTAACTGTGAATACTTATACAAATATATCTGACTGTTAATTTGTAGTCTCACTGAACTCGGTCCCATCTGTCCCTTACCCTGGCTTGTTCCTGAAAGTGCATTTTAATGAGAAACAGCTGAGCTGATTTGGCTGAATTTCATGTATTTTAATTGAATACTTACCAAATGAAGTGTGATTGTAATTCTCTGAAGTATATATCAGTATTAGAAATCAGGTGAGATCACAAAGCAAATTCCAGAATTCAAACTTTAAAGGTGATGTGGCCACAAACCAAACTCTCAATAATGATTGCGTGCAGTGCGGCACCTGATCTCAAATACTGACATCACATATACTTTGGAGATTAACAATCACACTTCTGTTTGGTAAGTATAGTGTACTTTTTAAATTTTCCATCTGATCAGCATACATCAGTATCGTGATCACTTGAGAGATTTAAAATGTGGCCACAACACATCATTTAGAAAGTAATTGAATTAACCCATTTATTATCTTAATTTCTGCTATGAAAACATAATAAATCATAAAGGTTACCAAATTTATTAAATCAATCAGTTTCAACACATGAGTTTAACACAAATAATTTGTATTTTCGCTTAGATAAAACTGACAATTCAAAGTTATCACTTTGACATGTATTAAAGAGCATAGAATTGCACAACTGATTGAATCTGGGTTAATCTCCACATTGACTTCTGGGATTTGCTTGGCAATCTCTAGTGATCTCAATACTGATGTATGCTGATGGGGAATTTTACCCATGCATTAGGATTCCTTCGCCCCTTTATCAAATCTCAATCAAACACAGAGGTGGACTACTCATTAATAGAATCTTATAATTCTGAACAGTGTTGCTTGGATTATTAGGTTTTAAACTAGTGAGAGCTAGATCTTCTGTAGCTTGAAATATTTAGTACAGTTTATTGAAAATGAATCCAAAATATGTCATTAAAGTGAATTGAAGCACATTATTGCATTTTCATGGTTAATCATAAGAGTAAAACTAAGTTTGAAGTGAGATGAATTAATGTGGGTATTTTTTCTGTTTTTTTTTTATATTGCAGTTGGAACTGTATATTCCTTACCACCATTGTGGAAGAGAGTAGCAGCAGAAATAATAGACTTTATTGTGTTATTTTATCTAAAAGTTATGATGACTGTGCTGGTTTTAAGACAGATGGGTTATTTGTAAGTATTCTTGAAATTTTAAGTTTAAACAGGTGAAGTACATATTTATCAATAAATTATAAAGTAAATTTTTTATCCAGTCAAATACAGCGATACAACCAGAATTAAATTATTGTAGAATATAGACTGTAATATTTAGTAAATATGATGACCTGCAATTCAAGCCTAGATGTGTGTGGATAGTTATTTGAAAGGTACTACATGTAATATTAAGTGCATATACTAATGAGGTAATCCATCATTAATACATCAGCATCTATACAAGTGTTCTGGTAAGGTTATTGATCCCTGTCTGTTTTATATTATTGTAGAAGGGATGATAATATTATTGAGCTTCCTATGGACATAATGCCAAAGTTTGACTTTCTGGAGATTACAGAGATGGACGTGGAGAAAGCCTTCAGTATCACGTCAGAACTGATAGCTCTAGAGGTCGTCAACAGAATGATGATTACTGTGTTTGAGGTTAAGACTCGCTTATCTTATTTCATTATTTTTTTATAATTATTTACGAAAATACTCATAATATCCCTGAAATATAAGTGCAAAGAGAGAGCAAAACAGAGTATTTAATGTTTAGCTTGAAGTAATAATTCATTTAAATACATGTATTGATATCTAAATTTAAAATAAAAGCTTTATCAGTGATCTCAATTATAATTTTTGACATAATGTTTCTTTCCCTCAGACCCTTTGTTTATGTAAAGGCTTAGGGGGAATGGTGGGTGGAGCTACGCCAGGCAAGAGGATGCTGGGATTAAAAGTTGTTTCTTGTATACACGTCACTCCACAAGCCCATGGAAAGGTACTGGTGTGTCCCGCACATGATATTGGATTCTTTAGGTAAATATTTATTAAAAACGTTGAAAATTTAAATATGTACATTTATATAATAAACATTAATTTCAGAGAAATTTTTTTGGCACAAAATTACAAAGCATCAAAGTTTCATGTTACTTTGAGGTTATTAAAAATATATATTTCACAATATTAGAGTTATTTCATGTAAAACTTATTAAGTTAATAAAGTGGAATTTTATTTAATATCAAGAAATTAAAATGTTTTAGTTATACATTTCCATGAAAATAGCTGATAACTTCTCCTTTTTATAGAAATAAAAAAGAAATATCTTTATTGTGACATAATTGGAAACAATTAAGCACACTATTAACACTAGATGGTTTCTCTATTTTACAGTGCATTAATAAGATCTGTCATCAAGAACTTTACCATGGCATTCTTTTTCCCGGCTTGTTTGACTGTTTTTATTTTCAAACACAACAGAGCTGCCTATGATATTCTGGCCAAGACTATAGTTGTGGACGCTCGGCCAAATCAGCAATTTGTCTAGCCTGGTTTCAGTGAAGGATTTTTGAAACTAATTTTTGGAATTGTGAATAAACCGAAACGTTTTTAATAAAGTTGATCATTAGATCAGATTAGTTCTCTGCATCAGGATCAGATGCATACACTATTCTTTGTAAAATTTTTGAAGTTTTTGCTCACGGTTTAAGTTGTTGAATTTGAAGCTTAATTCTTCACGTAATAATGCATAGTATTTTAAAGTATGGACTTCTTATATCTGAGCATCTAGAAGAAAATATTAAGCTTGAACTAAAATATATTTTATTTTGAAAATAGTTAAGATATTTGTCTGAATGTCATACTGAATTAAGAATAAGAATTTCAGCAGGACCCAGCCATTGTACATGTGGAAACCATGTCCATTATGTTGAGAAAGACTAGTCTTCTTGAGATATTAATCATGCAATTAAAATTGTGGAAAGAAAAATAATTAATAATATTTTTTATGGTAATGACTCTTGGTACAGTAAATGTATCTTATTAAGTATGAGAGAGCACAAAGGATCCCCCTTGGAGTGTGATTGATTATGATTTTTATCCTACAAGCTAAGATTTTTTTGTTATCACAGAGCCTTTGGTTAGCAGATAGAAAACACATAGTAAGATTTTAAAAAAACCCATAGAGTATGGGTAATTCTTTTTCTCACATGCATTTTCCTTAATTTACAGGCACGTGGTATCGTTTTTGAAAAGGGGAGGGGGGGGGGGGGGTAGGGCAGAATAAGAATTTAACAACTTACTGAAAACTGACAAGAATACAAGAAAATTTTCCAAACTCGAAAATCCTACTTTTTGAGGGGGTAGGTTAAATTCCGACTTTCTTTATTTATACATTTCTACTGCAAGAAAAAGTGGGGAGGGGAGCCAACCGGCCTTTCAATGAACATTTTCATAAGTAAAAGGTTAAGTCTGCATGGAAACGGTGAGGGGCCAGGCCCTCTTCTCCCCAGCGATACTACGTGCCTGATTAAGTGGTTTTACCCCCTTTCACTTTCCTATTACTTATGTAAACATATGGTACACCTGGCTCAGTGAAAGGTGAAAGTGATCAGTTTCATAAATCCAGTGAGGAATACGAATCGTGAATGGCAAAACACAGACCCATGGAAAACCCATAGGTGGGATCAGGTGCCTAGGAGGAGTAAACATCCCCTGTCAGCCGCTAACACCCACGGTGAACTCTCTGTTTAGATGAAGTAAACAGAGTAATAGGTAGTCAAAATACATTGGCGGGAAATATGTCAGTCAAAAAGTCACTTGAATTATAATTAATATTGACAATTTTCTTCATGTACTATATAACTGCACATTTGATTATTTAAAGGATTTACTTGAACTAATGAGAATAAAAAAGGGGTAGAATGTATGTGAATGTTAATTACAGATAAATAAGTAAATCATCTATTAGTTAATATATTTGTATCTTTCTATATGCATTTACAGTTGTAAAGGAGATTTGCAATATAGCCATACTTTTAAGGAAGCTCTAAACAGGGCTAATTCCATGTTAGTTTTATGCAGTTAGAGTGATCTGCCCTTTGGTGTAAAGTGGAATACACTGTATACTGAAATCTACGGCAAATAATACAATTTAAGTGGGCTTATTCTTAACATTATATTAGCTGAAGATAAAGTAAATGAACACTTTATTTGCATACATTTTCCCAATTTATGAAATTATGAACATTCATGGTACACTGTAATCGGTAAAGTGACCATGAAATTTATACCTTAAAATATACAGGTACTTCCCTCAGTCACCTAGTGTTTATGTAGCAAGTAAGAAAATTGACAAAAATGAAGAGGTGCATGTTATTTTGTTCAACAGCATATGAAAGATCTATGACTTCCCAAATGGCATTGACAATTGGTCTTGAAATCGCCTCTAAATCAAGGTTTCTTCCACTGGCCAACCCCAGCCAACAAGTAGCAATATCTAAAGTGAAATTAAAGATGGTGGAAAGATATCAGTATCAACAAGTTTTGCATAAGAATTATCAGCTTTTTATATTTAATTTGTTTCGGCATCTTCAGTTGGGGTTTTGGGGACTGGTCAAACTTTGAATAGCGAGATCATGTCAGAATCACCGTAAATACTATCTGTGAATCATGATATGACCTTTTTTCTGATAGTCCTATCCATTACCTTTTTTCTTAATCATAGTAAAAGCCAGGCTTTAATTGTTAAATACCACACTGCAAAGTCCGAGGTGAATATAATATACGAATTCTGAACAGGACAAAACACGGACCCCTGGAAACACCAGAGGTGGAATCAGGTGCCGAGGAGGAGTAAGCATCCCCTGTCGAACTCTCACTCGCTGTGAGCTCTCTGTATTTATCAGGGAAACGGGATACCCGGTAATAAGTAGTCAAAATTAGTGTAAAATTTCAGTCAAAATACGACCCAAGAATAGGTTGTATTTGCAAACAAGGTCATTATAACGACCATTGAATTTGTGAAATATTGACTTTAAACGGGATTGTTCAAAGCCTTGTAACATCAACTTATATGTCAGTAGCCTGACTCGGTTTAAAAAAAAAATCGAACCCAGAACGTGCTTTTGCGTACTGAATGTGTTGGGAGACATATAAACACCATATAGAGGTGATATTGGAATATTGCTACAGAAATAGGGTAAGCTGAGGATGGAAAAGCGGAAATCATCATGTTTGTAATAAAGTTGAGTTGTTATTTGGCCATTTACTTCTATAGTCAGTAAAATAATACATTTATGAAACGGATGTTGCAGACTGTGTTCTTTTTTTCGACTTCACTAGGATATAACAGAGATATACATGTTATTTATGTTTCTAAGTATATCAAGTCGACATGTTTTCTTTACTTTCATTACTTGAACCCATAGACTTCTATTGTCGGAATTTTTAGTTCATTTGTCGCTGAGTATAATGTCGAGTCAATTAACTTAACTACTTTTAAGCTCACCTAAAGTTTCAAGGTAGCTTTTCTGATCAAATTTTCCTTCGTCGTTGTAGTCGTTATTTTGTTGCCATCGTGAATTTTAATATCTTCATCTTCTCAGAACCACTGTGTCAATATCAAAAAACCTTGCCAAAAATCATCCTTTGGTGAAGGGGATTCAAGTTTGTTCAAATGAAGGGCCACGTCCTCTATCAAAGGGAGATAATGAAAAATTAATGGCATCTTTCAAAAAGCTTCTCAAGAACCACTGGGCAAGAAAAGTTGAAAATTATATGAAAGCTTCATGACATAATGCACATTCAAACATTCAATCATGACCACGGGGGTAGGGTGGGGCCACTATATGCGATTAAAGTTTTACAAAGTCTTTAAAAATCTTCCTCTCATAAACTTCTGGGCCAGAAAACTTGAAACATATGTGAAAGCTTCATTACATAGTATAAATTTAAATTTGTTTAAATCATGGCCCCGGGGGTATATAGGGTTGGGCAAAAATGGACGATCAAAGTTTTACATAAAAATACATGCAATGTACATAGGAAAAAAGTCTTGAAAAATCTTCTTCTCAAAGATCTTCTTCGCAAAGGCATGTAGTCATATTGATATTGAAGCATCCTCAGGTAGTGTAGATTCAAGTTTGTTCAAATCATGATCCCCAGGGCAACAATAGTGATAAAAGTATACAGAAAAAATATACTGATGTAGTGACTCAGTTGAGTGTACTATCGTACATCTTTTTGATCCGTTCCTGATAATCGTGTACATTTCCGAACGATATATTTCTACACAACTGTCGCCATGTTAATTTTGTGCAAAATTAATAATGAGTATGAACATGAAAAGTAGCAGGTTTGTCACTAAAATTGAATTATAAGCATTGGCTATATAAATTATTTTGTTCATAGAGAAATACATCTAAAAAAACGAATCGAACACTTTTTTTCTATGAAAGCCGAAAGTGATTCGTTTTTAAGATTAATTTTTTGATGTACAAAATAATGTAAGTTATATAGTTAATACTATATTGATAAAATCTTGTAGATATACTAGTATCTTAATGTCGAATTAAAGGCCACAATGAGTTTTCTGCTTCTCATGTAGAAGTTTTTGAATAGAAGAATATAAAAATAGGTCGGCAGAGACAGGAGCACAATTAGTGCCCATCGAAAATCGATTTTTTTTTGGCCAGCTCCGTCGGACTTAATACCCTAAAACACCGATAATATATATTTTTAGCCCATTATTAAAGAGCATTTTTACTGACTTAACTCTCGGTCGAGAAAAGTATTGTTTGGTATTGTTTCATAGCTTTTTCATTATGAAAACATTCCATTTAACACTAAGGTAATAAAAAAAAAACTACTTTCACTTTAGACAAGTCATAGGCATTTTCTTACCCTTATTACCCAAAGTCTTTTGAAACTTTCACATCTCGACTTTGACTGAGAAAAGAAAATACATTAGTCTGCTAAATATTTTTTGGTATCGAAACATACGCAAAGTTACTCGCCATTACACTTTTAAAAATTTTAATTTTAACACCACAAAGAAATCGAAATATCATTTTCCATGATGACCATGATGAGCCACCACACTTTCCAGTCGAATGCGACTTAACCAGTAATGGCCATAACTAAGATTCCTCGAGTCCTTACGTATGAGCAGGGTAAAATTTCGATCGTTGAGAAATTGGTTTGTGTCGAGTTTGTGAATCTGCCATCTCAAATCCGCACCAAAGGTGCCATTATATGCTTCTTGAATGGCATGGTTGTTGAGTAAAATATCGACTCTCCCAAGACCATTTATGGTTTTGCATGCGCTCAGTTGTAAGTTGGTGAGTGGTTCTCCATTCGTTTTGAAAGTGATGCTGACGTAACTGTTTGTCTCGGCCAGAATTAGGTAGTCATGTCTTGCGTGAGCGTGATTTACCGTGTAATTATTTTTCACCACTGGGAGTACCCTGTAATATTGCTCCTTTATACTTTGACATATAGAGGCACTAACTCCAGCACTGTGACGACATGTCCTGTGTACTGGATCAAAGTCGAACAGAACAACATTCTCATACCAAGAATTAGAGCGATCTGCAAAATAGTTAAAATTATAATGGAAAAAATTAAAGTTGCTATGACAAGAGGCTTACGGATCTTAACTGCATTTGAGTGTCTATATGGCCCCCTTCCTTATCTATAGTATTTTGTTCAAAAGAGAGTGCTTCAGACAAACCTAATAATGTATACTCCATGTATTAAGATATTTTTTATAAGAATTTGACGCATTGATTTGGGGAAGAATTTTTTGAATAAATCATTATAACGACCATAAGATTTCCGAAATGCTGACTTTTAACGACGTTGTTGAAATCTCTGTAACATCAACTTATTTTTCAGTAGCCTGTCATGTTCTTCAGTATCGAATAAGTTGGGCTACGTAAACACCATATGCAGGTGATAGTGAAATATATTACTACATGTATATAAATAGGTGACGATGAAAATGCTGGTCATCTCGTTTGTCATATAGTTTAGTTTGCCCTTATCGTCTATAGTCAGTAAAACATCAAAATACGAAACGGATATGGCAGACTCTATAGCTGTAGTTTTTTTTTTTTTTTTTTTTTCAAGTTCACTAGGATATATCGAGTCAAAATATGAATGGAAGTAACTTGATAAAACGTCGTCGATATTTCTGAATGTCTGTTGAAGGCCACAGCAAATGCATGTAGAAGTTTTTTGAAGAATTTCATCAACATTTACTATCAAAACAATTCTTTTAAAAGATAATTTATAAGATTGATTGTGCATTTTAAAAGAGAATCATTAAATTATACGTTTCATTTATTGTATTTTTAAGTCTATACATAACATAGTTGATATTCAGCGTGTTACATGTATAAACATTTTACTACATTCATTGTTTGATGTAAACTAGAATGTTGTATCTGTTTGTTTGCTGTACTAGTACTAAAGCGACTACATGAAATAACAGAGGTCAGGTTCTATTTGATTACCTTCGTTTAGTGTTTCGTAGATTTCAAACCCTTTTAAATAGATAAACATGAATTGACAGTGTGCAATGTATTTAAGTTGACAAATAATTGTCTTAAAACAAAATACTAGTAAACAAAATAGTTTTCTTTTTCATCTAACAACGTTTGTCCATACACATGTACCTCGACAAAGTCCACACGACTTTCTGCAGTATTGGGCTGTTTCACAGTCACTGCATATTGACGCTAGGGCAGCAGGATCACGACAGTCTGTCTCAGAGACATCTCCACAAGGCGTGTGTGGTGGTTCTTGAAAATGATCCACATCTAAACAAATATGTATGATAATAGAATCCAAGATTGCAACAAAACTTGAAATTCCCTATGTAAAACATACCAGATCCCATTGCTATTACATATGTAACTGGTAGATTTAGAGGAACCGATTGCATGTGCTATCTATAAAAAATCTTTTGATCGCATGTTAAATTCTATACCTGTGTTGCAAATCTCTTTAGGACAAAATTCAGTGTTATAAGACGTCACGTCTCTTTTTCCTATAACACCCTGCGCCGACAAACAAGCTGGTTTCTGTGGGGAAAAGATTGATATTGGAACGGATTATTGAAAATCGGTTATCTCTGATACCTGTATAATTAAATTATTTTTTCTGGTTCAGAATTGTATTGCTAAGATTTTATTTTTATGCCCCCGTATCGAAGATTCGGGGGTATATAGTTTTTGCCCTGTCCGTCCTTCTGTCTGTTTATCTGTTTGTCTGTTTGTCCGCAAAAACTTTAACATTGCCCATAACTTTTGATTGGCTGAAGCTATGGCTTTCAAATTGCACATGTGTATTCCTTGTGACAAGACCTTATTTTGGGTACCATCAAATTTGACCTTTTGACCTTGACCTTGGAGTTTGACCCAGTTTTGTAAAATTTTACTCTATGTTAACCTTGGCCATAACTTTTGAACAGTTGGTGCTAGGGCTTTCATACTTCATATGTTTAATCCTTGTGACAAGACTTTTCTTTGGATACCAACAACTTTGACCCTTGATCTAGGAGTTTGACCTATATTTGAAAAACTTTAACATTGCCCATGACTTTTGGAAAGTTGGTGCTAAGGCTTTCCTACTTCATATATGTAATCCTTGTGACAAGACCTTCCTTTGGATACCAACAAATCTGACCCATTGACCTTGAAATTGGAGTTTGACCTACTTTTGAAAAACTTTAATTTTGGCAATAACTTTTCAACGGTTGGAGCTTGGGCTTTAATACTTCATATATGTAATCCTTGTGACAAGAACTTCCTTTGGTATCATCGACTTTGACTCCTTGACCTTGGAGTTTGACCTACTTTTGGAAAATTTAACCTTAGACATAACTTTTGAACAGTTGATGCAAGGGCTTTCATGTTTAACATGTCTATTCCTTGTGACAAGACCTTCCTTTGGATACCAACAATTGTATTCTACTGATCTTGACCTTGGAGTATGACCTACTTTTGAAAAACTTTAACCGTGGCCATAACTTTTGAACGATTGGTGCTACGGCTTTCATATTTCACATATGTGTTTCTTGTGAGAAGGCAATTCCGTTCGCATAATTAATTTTGACCTTGACCTTGATGTTTGACTTTCTTTTGAAAAACTTTAGGCTTTTCCATATCTATTCAATGGTTGCTGCTAGGGCTTTCATATTTCACAAGTATATTCCCCGAGACAAGATCTTGTTTTGGGTACCAACATACTTGATTTGCATTTGAGAAAGTTTAACCTTTGCTATAAGTTGCCATACGGGGGCATCAGTGTTTCACAAACACATCTTGTTCTTTTGAGCAACACTAGCAGTTACTTTAAAATTTTTTTACAATTTTATTTTATTGACCGTATCGGTATATTAATTTGATCTATTCAATGCCACCAAAACATATACCCCCAAAACTTCGAAAAATTCATTTTCAAGTCTTATCATGGAGACTCATAAATTAAATGATATATCTCCTATAAATCACCCATCTAAAAGGATAGAATAGCTACTAAAAGCAAAACATAGAAGATTTATTTAGCTACTAAAGGCAATAACAACGAAAGGCAGTCTCAGAAGACTTAGAGTAAAGTAACAGAATGATTACACAGCTAATAAAAGCAATAGCAACAAAAGACAGCTTAGAAGGGGGAAACAGAGGGATGACAACCAAATGCATGCAATATTAAATAGGCAACCTTATAAGCAAACAGAAGGAACGCTTAAAACAAGACAGAAACAGAAGATTATTGATATAACACAAGACAGCAAGGCAGACACAGAAGAAATAACTTAACACAAGACAGAAACTGAAGAAATGACTATTTAATGCAATGACAAGAAAAGGATTTCCTACTTATTTATTCAATTTAGCTCAAATATGGTTGGTGTACATATTTGTTGAATAACAATTTTGTCAATGAAATTTGGAAAAAAAATATGTTATTGCATTTTTGAAATGAAGAAATTTCTACTCCCTTTGAGGTTTATGAAAATGCTCTAAAGGTTCTTCTAAAGCTTCTCATAATTATCGTTAATTAGAACCAAAGTAAATCAACAGGTGCTGTGGTATTCAGACTTCAGAAGAGCAAAGGTTGTAAGAAAATTCTCTTGGATCTAAAAGCCCCCATGATAAAAGAGGTTCGGAAAGAAGAATGATAATTGACATTGTTAGTCCGTCCCTATGGAGAGCTCATTTATTAATAATTTTTCATGCAATGTTTCAAATAGGAAAGAAGGACTTGTGTAAAAAAAAATTGAGAGAGAGAGAGAGAGAGAAATCAAATGCATCTATATCTGTGGATTAGCATGAATAATTCTAATTTCCAACAACAAAAATTTCAAAACCTTTTGAAATATTTTGAGTAAAATTCATGGGTATACCTCAGCACAACCAAACTTCTTCGCCTTCGTTCCCGTTGAAAGAGTTGTTGTATTCACGTAGCACTGAAGAAAATAATTTTTTTTTATTGCACAAGCATTCCAAAATATCTTTGATCCTATCTTCGTCACTGTAACGCTAGCGGTTCTGCTAGAAATTGTTTTCATAGTACAAATAATTCACTCAACTCCTTTTATAAATGCACCATTCGCAAAGAAGACGTAAGATTATAAACATTAACAATTAAATTTATTAAGTGCATTATCAACAAACAATTTATTTAAACGACGACATTCACACCACATTCATACCAAACTACTAATAATAAATAAGTTTAATAAAAATAAATAATTAAACCATAAAACAGACTGAAAAACCACCCCAAAAACCTAACGTCTATTTCCTATGCGTATAAAATATGTGACAAGCCGTAGTTATTTTTAATCTTGACTTGTAAAACTTAACACCAAGCTTTACTGTATTTAGCAGGTTAGCTTGTTAAACTCCTAAAATACTTTATTAAATAAGGACACAAGCCGTGGTTATTTATAACTTTGACTTGTTAAACCTAACAACAAGCATTACTGTGTTTAACAGGTTAGCTTGTAAACACTAAGGGCAAAGAAAGATAACTCTAATAATCATAAGTGAGTTTATCGAGAAGCAACGTTTAAAAATTCCCAAGTACTCTAATAAAATAATTTCTATTAAAAATAATTGAAGAAAAATTTACGTATCTAGAATAATTAAATTACTGTCTGAAAATAAAATAAATAATTGACTTTCGTTGAACTAATCAACTTTAGTCATCATAAAAGAGAAAGATAGCAAACGTATAACTTTAGTTACATAGTTTGCATTAAAATAAAAATGAAATAAAATAGAGTAAAAAATGTAAAATAAAATAATCCTAGATAAATTAATTACTGAAGAAGACTACTCAGTCATAGACTGTTGAGTCTTTAAAACAACCGATAGCGGACAATAGTATTTCACTATTTAATGTCCTAGTCGGTTAAATTCTATTCTAACTAAATAAATCAAAAATAAAATAAATTCCTAAATAAAAATAAAAGATAGACAAAATAAAAAATTAAAATAAAATCCTAAACAAAATCTGAGAGTTCCGTAAAACTGACCTACCAAATCAAAATAAGCAGAAGAGTGACTAAAAATTCTCAGCGTCTAACTTTTATATGACTCTATGACAGAAAATAACGGAAAATGCTGGAAAATGACAGAGATATTAACAGAATTATTAAATTATGAAATTTCATTGGATTATCAATTAATGATCAATTATATCGAACAATCTGATTGGTCAATAGTAAAACGTCACGATCTTTCACGTGAACAAGTGTCACCAAATGTTCTATACAAGTATGAAATAATTAATTCTTACATATTTATCAATTAAATTAAAAATATATTTCACAATAAATAATTAAAACAAAACAAACTGAACTTAAAACAATATTCAGTTAATCTCGAAATACAGTCATTCATAAGATACCGCCATTCAAACTCGATATATTTATCGGTTATATTACAAATGCAAGGATAAATTTATCAATTACTTTAACAAGTTTCTAAACCGGAAGTACATCGTAATGAAGCGCGAAACTGTCAAACAATGTGACAACAGAAGTTTAGACTATTTCACAGGTATCATATCAACTAAGTAACACTAAACCAACAACAGTCACATACTGTTTCACACAGTTATAGTCTTAGGATGTATACTTAAGTGCTGATTTACAAATGACATACTTTATTAATCTGTTACCAAACTCTAACTCAGTTCGAATTATCTCAGTCATGTTTATATTATCAAAATATACCAATCTACCCTTGTTTCACAAGCATATACATTTACAATTAAGTGACTTAGGTACAACTCCACGAATAGCACATTCATACAAAACAAAGTAAAACTGTGAATAAACAAACTTCATCAACCCGCTCCAAATCACCACAATGCATGATAACATATTACAGACATTGACCCTATTTGATAGAAAAATCAACCCGCTCCAAGCTCACACATATATAGTAAAATATTACAGTCATTGACTCAGAATGATTAAACACTGTTGTGGATAAAATAAAAAGTTACACCATGTAACCTAACATTACTATTATTACATCATTTAAAAAAGGGGGGGGGGTCACATGCACTACAGTCACATATGAGTAATTTATGTTACACATATGAGTAATTTATGTTACACATATGAGTAATTTATGTTACAGATTTCGTTTAGTGGCCAATCATAATCTTTGATTGAAAGTGAAAAGGAATAAATAAAATAGTCTTAACTGTTCTTACAGTTCTTAAAACAGATTTCAGAATTTATTTAGTTATTAGTACTTGCTTCCTTTAAGTGGTGACTATGTTAAGATTTCAGTATCTATGAAGTTATTGGTACTTGCTTCCTTTGAGTGGTGAGTACTTTAAGATTTCTGTATCTATGTAGTTATTAGTACTTGCTTCCTTTAAGTGACGACTATGTTAAGATTTCTGTATCTATGTAGTTATTAGCTTCCTTTAAGTGGTAAAGAGTATACATGTATTAATATTTTTACATATACCTCATGTGCACATTCCACAAGGGTGATACATTGGTCAATGTTTGATGATGTAACACCAGAACAAGACAGACAATGAAGAATCGGAGCTGAATATAAAATATATTTCGATAATTGGCATGAATATGCATGAAGCTAAAGTGTATTCTTTCAACTTTCAATTAAAGTTCGCAAATTTTCATTTGTTTTCAGCGGGCTTAAATATCTGCCATTATACAAGAAGTAATTAAAATATATTTCCTACAATTATTAGAACGGTTTGTAAAAAAAATACTTACATGTGTTTTGTCCACAGGCAGTAGACCAAAGAAAGCAAAGGAAAAACAAGTAACTCAAGTCTGGAGGGAAAAACAATTAATGTGGTAGTCAGAAATTCAAGAGAAGAAACAAAACATTACTTTTACTTTGGACCTAATTTATATCATATATGTCACATATTGATACATGTATGTCACAAAATAAACTTAATGTTTTGAAAAAAAGGAAGCAAATGAATGCAAACATTATAATTGCCTCTGCATTATTTTTTTTCTGCTTGACTCTTAATTGATTAAAATTTTTCCAAATTTCATTATTAAAAGCAGTATAACATTTTGCTCACATTTCATAGCCAATCTGTTCATAATCCCATACAAGTGTTCTAGAATCAAGCATACATATTACATGACGTTACCGGTCATAGATAATTATTTATATTATGATATGGTCCTGACCTGCTCTTTCACCTGAACCTGAAGAAATTACGAAGTTTTTTTCTTTCTTCGCGCGATCGATTGCAAGGACTATCTATTTTAGTTTATATCCTATTTTTTTTCCAGAAATGATTATCATTTATTATTACTGGATCATTGGGTTTTTTTTTTAAATATGACAAAGCAAAGCATGACTATATTCAGATCATATCTCCCATCAGCTGGTAAAAGAACGGTCTATTTCACGAGTTTCCTAGTGGTCACCATAACCCAATTTTAATCTTAAGTATGGATTTAAGGTAAAATTGGGTATCAATGAATGAACAATAAATAGCCTTTTAAACAAAAATAGTCTGAACATGGATTAATGAAATATGTGGAGATAACGAACAGTATTCGAGCTCAAAAGTCCATTAAACATTACAAAATTAGAGCAGAGCAAACACGGACCTCTAAAACTTCAGAGGTGGGATCAGGTGTCATGAAGGAGTGAGCATCCCCTGCCGACAGGTCACACCCCCCGTGTGCTCCTTGTCATGATCGGGGAATAACGGAAAAATCCGTCGTCAATTCAGTGTGTAAATAATAGTATGAAAAATGTCAGTCAGCATTTGACTTAATGATAGATTGTATTTGCTGACAAGGTCATTGAATCGACCATAGAACTTACGAAATGATGACTTTATGATTAATTAAAATATTCATGAACCTTTGTTAACCAAATTGAATGTTAAGTTGATATTGCTACAGAACATGTTTATCTTTGAACAAAGGCCCAGAACAATGTTGCTGTAATTATCCTTCTTCAGATTTTCATGTATTAATGCAGGGTGGACTTTGGTATAAAGGTATTGTTTTCTTAATTATAATTTTATCAATTGCAGAATAACCCATATGGGAAAATCAACATAATATATGAAACATCTACTCACTATGAATCGCCAAAAATATCACAGGCACAAATAATGAAACGTGATGATTCAAAAATAGACATGACCAGATGTATGATAAAGCAATATACACAATTACGTCCTTCGAAGAGAATAAGGTCATTTTGTCAGAATACTGAGATATTAAATCAAGTACTATAGAGATGCTTAATAATTATACTTTAAGGACGCTGCGTCACAATTAAGATAAATATCTTTAGTTTTATGAAACGATGACCACTGAGAAAGGTCGCTCTACTATAAAATGATACTAAAATAAATACAGTAGCATTTAACAAAAACTTTTTTCTCTGAAAATTTAGGTTATAAGTGCTGTATTACAAACGAAGAATCAAATGGATCAGATCATTTTAAAGACGAAGGACATGGATTATTTTACATCCCTCAGCATACAAGATATCTCTCGAAGAAATGAATATTATTTTGTCAGTGTTTTTGTGGACCAAATATTCCAACAATCTGTTGGAATTCCCATAGACACAAATTGTGTTTCTCTATTAGTAAAAATGTTTTATATTCTTATGCAGCAGAATTTGATTTCAGAATTTCTACATATGAAAGTTAAATATAGTTTTGGCCTTCAATTCGATAATTTGGAGATATCGACATTTTATCTAATAACAATATTCATTTACATTTATATGAACGTAGATTCTATATACACTTAGTGATCTCGAAATAAGATTCTGTCACATCCATTTTGTATTTGGATGTTTTACTATTACAAATTAACAAATATGGAGATAACGAACAGTAATCAAGCTCAAAAGTCCATAAAATATATACAAACAAGGAGCAGAGCAAACACGGACCTCTAAATCATCAGGGGTGGGATCAAGTGCCATGGACGAGTAAGAATCCCCTGCTGACTGGTCACGTGCTCCTAGTCATGATCGAGAAAACGGTAAAATCCGCAGACAATTCAATGTGCAATCATAGCCTAACAATTAGTATGAAAAATATCAGTCAACTTTCGACTTAATGATAGATTGTATTTGCTGACAAGGTCATTGTATCGACCATAGAACTTGCAAAATGATAACTTTAAACGAAACTTTTGATATTCTTGTTTCATCAACTGTTTGTCAAAAGCTTGCCCCCATTAAGAAATTGTTCGTTCGTAGAGCATGCTCTTGCATATCAAATCAATTGAAAGACATAAATACCATCTGCAGGTGATATGGGTATATTGCTACTTAAGTTAGAGAAGTTGACCATAAAAAAAGTTGAAGTCGTCAAGTTAATCATTAAGTGGTGTTGTTAGGTTACCATTAACACCTTTTTCTAATAAAATATTCGAATATGAAACAGATGTGTCAGACTCTGTGCTATCTTTTATTTCAAGTTCACAGGGAAATATCGAGTCGACATATGATTGGAAGAAACTATTATTAATTGATAAAACGTCGTCTTGATATCTAAATGTCGAGTTGAAGGCCACAGCAAGTGTTTTCTACTTGTCATTTACAAGTTTTTGAATAAATTCTGCTTCATATGAATACAAAAATAGGTCTGCTAATTACGGGGCACAATAGGTACCCAAGGGAATTCTGACAGATTGTTGGAAGACTTGATCTCCAAAAACTACATATTGTCAAGAAACTCAAGCATCTTTTTAATATCAGAATTTTCTTTAACAATTTTTTTTATAAATGATCAATGACAAGGTAAATTAATTTAAGACTCCCATTTTTATTTAAAAAGCAGCTTTCTATGATGTCAAGAAGCCTGGATTTTAATTTATTGTTGGGAATAGTTGTATAAGAGTTGAAGAGTCATACATTTTGATGTTATTGATTTTGTTAAAATTTTGTGAATTCAAATTTTCTAAAAGTTCCTTGGAGTTTTTAAGTTTCCACATCTGATTTACACGACTTCTCAAATATATTGTTGTACAGTACTATTTGACAAATTGAATGAACTTCAGCTTTTCCATTGTAAACTTCCCATATTTATGCACCAATATTCAATTATCATCCGCATTAAGGTATATGATGTCTGCGTCTTCTTCGGTATTCAAGAGGATGATCTTTGTACGATCAACATTCAAACCAAGGCATGCTACTGACTAATAAGTTAATGTTAAAAGGGTTTCAACAGTATCGTTTATTGTCAGCATTTTGAAAATTCTATGTAATCTTTATAATGACATTGTTTGCAAATACAGTCTACTTTGGGTCGAAATTTTAATATGACTCATACTAATTATTATGCCATGAATTTCATACTTATTTTGTCAGCGGATTACCCCGTTTACTTTATCATTTCAAAGGGCTCACGGAAGAAGGGATGCTTACTCCTCCTAGACATCTGATCCCACCTCTGGTGTTTCCATGAGCTCCTGTTACTGCCCTCCTATCGATATATTGTTTATAAGATTAAAGAGACTAATCACTGTTCGTTATTAGCACCTTTTTACATTTCTGAACTACTTAATGTACAATAACTATTACTCTTCACCCAAGGCCAACAGTAAACAGCCATTCAACTTATCAGGTATGCTTTTCATAAAAGAAAAATTAATACCAAGGGGAAAAACTTTCATAGAGTTTTTATATAATTTTATTAAAAATTAATGATTATGATGGGCAATGATGCTCTCTACTCTTATACGGCTTATCCAGTAATGGCCGTAGCTATGAGTAACGCTATCTTTTTGGATTTTCAGGTCAAAGGCACTTGTGTTATTCAAATTGAATGTATTCAGCTTGTGGATTTGCCATCTTAGATTCCATACGTCAGTCCCCGTGTATGACTGCTTTATTACGTTGTTATTCAGCAAGATGTCGACTCTTCCGTGCCCAGTTGTTTGACATGCGCTGAGCTGTATACTGGTAAGAGGCTCTCCATTTGTCCGGAAGTTGATATTAATATAGCTGTCATGGTAGGGTAGAATTAGGTAGTCGTGTTTGGCATGCGCGTGATTCAGGGTGGTGTTATTTTCCATCACTGGTACCACTTTATGATTACTTTGAGTGATGCTATTGCAGATTGAAGGATCAACTGACGAACTATGTCGACAGGTCTTGTGAACAGGGTCATAGTCGAGGAGAACTACATTCTCATACCAAACGCTATTGTGTGCATTATCTGTAAAAAAAAAAGTTACCATAAAAGAAAATTGTGCATTAAACTTGTTAATAAATTGTAAAATAATCTTAATGTCCATGGATATTTTCAGTAAAAAGTCACATTCTTACTTTGACATATTCCGCATGATTTCCTGCAGTATTGCGCATACTCGCAGTCACTGCAGATGGTCGATAGCTTGGAATGATCATGGCACTCTGTGGGTGTGGCATCAACACACGGATCTGTACTGGGTTCCTGAAAGCGGCTTATGTCTGAAAAGGTAATTTATACTGACTTTTCATTTTAAGTCTATAAACTGTGCATAATCTGAGTGTTGAAGGCAGAGGAAATCGTGTATTCACAAGAAAATAAAATTGACAACTATTCACACTATTTATAATGCTTTTTTTCTATACGTAACATTTTATTTATGCATTTTGTTCTGTAGTGCAATAATATTCCGATTCAAAGATAAATCACTGAATGTGAGAGGTGAACTATATATACTGTCTGAATCTGTCCTGGGTCCAGTGTGTCCCTGTGGCTGTCGCAATGAACATATGTAAGCTGGCCTATATAAATGAGGACTTACTAGGTCTTGGGAAATAATTAAAACTGTAACCAGATCTAGATATTCAATTCGTCAATATGGAAGGACTATAGAGAATTAATGTACGTGGTGAATACAACAACAAAAAGATCCTCTCTGTACACCCTGATCTACACTCCTAAAGTCTTGCTTGATACTACTGATAAGTCTACGGACTTTTACTGAAAAAAAAAAACTGGTTTCACTGATGAAAAAGATGAAGACTAAACGACCTGAGTTACACAATTCCTTTTTGCAGAATTTTGTCTGTGTTGTTTGTGTAGATGCCTGTCTTCTACCCACAGTAGAGGGGGGTGCCATACAAGCTTGTTTCTGTGAATATTTGTTTAAAGTTAAACTTGAAAGTGAGAATAAGAAACTCTTATAATGTTAAAGGATGAATATATATGAAATTTTCATAAAATAATTACAAAAGTATTGTTCTGACAATAACTCATTCACAGAAATTACCTGGCTTTTTAAAATATTAAACTATTGGACCCTAGATAACAAATTTAGGCATGCAACAATAGTTTTAAAGTTAATATAATAATATTAAATTGGGGGGGGGGGGGATAGATATATTTTATCTTTAACGAGAGATTTGTATCTATTAAGTTTATAACATACTGTTAAAAAATAAAAAAAAAAATATTAACTCCTTCAGCGAACGCTGGAGTATTGTTATTGAGAGTTGTTTGACATCTGATAAAGTTCTACTTACAGGTGCACATCCAAAATTTCTAACCACTGAGCCGTCAGCCGCAGTTGTTGTAGACACATAACACTGGAAAATAAATGTATTGCATATAGGCAACCTCATCATAAATATCTTCATATTTACATACCGTTGTATTGAGCTTTCCCCTGGAATATTCATTACTGAATTTACCTAACAGAATTGCTATAGTAAACTATATTTTACTATAATTATCTATAGTATACTATATTTTACTATAATTATCTACAGTATACTATATTTTACTATAATTATCTATAGTATACTATATTTTACTATAATTATCTACAGTATACTATATTTTACTATAATTATCTATAGTTAACCAGAGTATCAAAATTTTTTACTTGAATAAATCAGTTTCAAAACATCCACTATTATAATGAAGTCAATCAAAGATTTTCACTGTACAAGATCAGTCTCAAAGATTTTTCTATAGCAAATAAAAGTATTTACCATTCCATACTGTAAGAAAGTTCCATTTTATTTACAGTAATAAATCAGAGTGTGTATTTTTACATTATACTATTCTTTAGTTTACTATAGAGAACTGTTCTTTACTATTAAAAAACAGTGGTTTAGTAAAGTTAATTATAATAAAAAAAAGTTCAAAGTTTTGCCAAAATAAATAAAAGTGTCAATTTTTTTTTTTACTATAGTTAATTTCCATAGTGTTCGCTACAGTAAATATTTTTTTTTTTATTTGTAAATCTCAGTATGGAAATGTTTACCATAGTTAATAAAAGTATCACAGTTTTTGATAAAGTAATTCAAAGTACCATACTATTCACCATTACCATAGTATTCGGCTTGGGGCGAATTACATTGAAAAGTAACGCATTACATTACCATAACGTCAAGACTTTGAGCATTAAATTACCATTACCATTACTCTAATTTCTTTAAGTAATGCATTACATTACCATTACTTTAGTAAAGTAATGCATTACCATTACCATTACTTCTGGGAGTTTTCAAAATTAGAAATACAAACTTTTGCAACTGTTTTCATATACATGCATCCAAATTTGATTTCAAGTATTTGTACTTATTACATTGTAAATAACTTACATAACATTTCTTTTATTATTACTTACATATCTTTTTTTATGCAATTCTCAAAACGATACATTGATTTAATTGTTACATAACCCCAGAGACATTGTGTGTTTTTTGATGACACTCTATTCAAAAGGTGGCAATTATAAGTTTACAGTGTACATTAATTAATTAGTGTACCTCATACCGGAATTATTTAAAAAAAGATTTTTTAAAAACTATTTGAAATAATTCTTTATAATTAAATCTTATCTAAAATAAGCATGAACATTTAAATGTATGGTAATTGTACTTTCAACAGAATAAAAAGTGTATTTGAATAGATACAGAGTTTTTTAAATGGGTTAACTTCTTTCATTCTATCATTAGTAAAAAAAATTAACCTAAACAATAATTTCCATGTCCCATCTTCCAACGAAAATTTTTTTTCCTCTCCCATTTTTATATCAATTAAAACTTCGCTAAATCACTTTTTTTGGAACCAAATCCACTCAGACAAATTCTGAATCTGGCCATGACATTAAATTACGGTGAACATTTTAAGACATCTTCACAAACCTCACTGGAACACTCAGAAAGATACACACAAGGATCCGCGCCATTTTTTACATTTCTGCACAACAAACAGTGAAGAATTGGATCTAAATAAATCAAAGAAATAAAAAAAAACTTCACACAAGAGTTTGAAACGTAACCATTTAATTTCATTTGATGAGAAGAAATAATCACCAGGGTCTGCCAATGTCAGTGCCCAGATTGCACCAATCACGATTAGACAGCTGTCTATATATTTATGAAAATAATAAAAACTAATGAGCAAAATTCATTCATAAAAAATGAACAAAAAATAGCTCAGCACAATTTAATATATATTTATCTGTAATAAATAGCAATAATATTTATCTAGAACGAAACAGACACCTACTGATTCCGTCCATTCTGTAGTTACACAATACCAGCTGATAAGTACATTTATGTATATCTATAGAACCTGTTTCTGATATGCACACCTAGTACGGTAGATAAACAAGGTCAGAAAATTTATGACACATAAATAATGCATATATCTACTAAGGGGAAACATACTTTAAGAAACATCAACATTGCTGTCTTTATAGCCGCTCTTTCTAAAGTAAGTTCAGGTATCGTCTCGTATCCTTTCTTCTTATCCTGGTCAGTCCGTCCATTTGTCACACATCGTCATCAAATTCCTCTTACATATTAAACAGTAGTCAATTTATCTTTTAAAATATGATTGGTGGTGTCATGAAGATGTGCAATAAGGTTTCCAAATTTTTTTTACCCAGAGTACCAATCGAGGGTCGACAAAAGACGTTTTTTTTCTACGAAAACCAGGTTCCAAGAAATCCTCTGACATTTAACGCAATAGCTAAATCATCTTTTTGGAAAAGGAATGGTTCCATAGATGTGCAATAAGATTTCGGAATTTGATTTCATAGGGGTTGCGCTTTGGGGTTTAAAAAACAACTTCCATGTTCTTGACTTCTTATCACATTTTACACAGTAGCCAAATAATCTTAAGAAGGTTTGCTTTTCATTTTCATCCAGAAGGCCATTTGAGGGCCAAATTTGTTTTAAGATATTAGATGCATAACAGAGGGATATTTGCTATTTTCAATATATACTCAAATTAAATAATGCTATTAAAATGAATTTAAAAGATGACCAGAACAAACATGAACTAAAAGAAGTGTATGAACAGAAAATTTATTTAACATTCAGTGTTAATTTTAAGCGTTATCTCTTAATGTTACCTCTAAATGTGTAAAATATAAATGTCTCTAAAATTATATATATATATATATATATATATATATATATATATATATATATATATATATATATATATATATATATATATATATATATATATATATGGTGTCGAAATATGAATGGAAGTAACTATTGTTAATTGTTAACATAGATATTGTCAATCAGAAGCTCGAGCATCTTTTTAATGTCAACTTCAGAGTAGTTGTATGTACAATCAGATTGTTTTTTGACAAAGTAATTTTGCAAATGACCAATGACAAGGTACGTAAATTTACGAGTTCCATTTTTATTGAAAAAGCAGCTGTCAAAGATGTCAGAAAGTCTAAACTTTAATTTATCGTGGGGAATAGTTGTATATAAAGTTGAAAAGTCGTAAGTCTTTATGTTGTTGATTTTGGTAAAATTTTGTGATTTCAAATGTTCCAAAAGTTCCTTGGAATTTTTTTGTATCCACATCTGATTTACACCACTTCTCGAATATACTGTTGCACAGTACTCTTGAAGTTTCTCCTTCACTACTGTTAATATCTTAGTGAGGAGTAAAGAAAGAGGCTTGGTAGAACATTTACTGGAACCTGCTATGTATCTTTGTTTGTAAGGATTTTTATGAAGTTTCGGAATCCAATATAGATATTGTAATCCAAATTCAACCTTGTTGGTTGTTGGGAATATTAAAAATATTGAAGAATTTCCTCCTTAGAAAGGGAGCTATGGGTATAATTTGAATTACCAGTTGAAGAATTAAATCCCAGTTCCTCTAAAATACAATTTATATAATGAGCCTTACAAACAAAGACAATGTTGTTACCTGCTTTTTCATAAGGGGATCAGTACGTACTGATCGTGTAATCTATCTAATTCTTTTTTCACTTCTGAATTGTTGAATACAGAAGAATAGATGGTGTTCATACTGCCCCTCAATCGTTTAATGCGAGATTTTAACATATACTTGATACATTTAATTCATTCTGACAAAGTGTCAAGGTCTTGTTTTTCATGTCTGACCCAACGCCTGGTGTAATCCTCTACAGAATCCATAATATGTATGAAATAACGACGCCAGTTAAAGGATCGGGGTTCCCAATGATTATGACCTTTTAAAATTAGTGATCTAAGGTCCTCATTATTAACTATATTTACGTCACCAGTAATAACGTGTCCAGCAGGACTATAGTTATAGGGTGAAGAAGAACATGAACACGAAGGAGGATTATGTTTCAGTTATTCGATATCAAGGCCCTGTAAAGTTTTCTTAAAATTAAAAAGTTTGGAAGCAATAGTGGATGTATATTTGTAGGAATACAAGGTGTAGTCTTCAACTTGAAAATATGGTGGAATACAAGACTGGACCCTTTACTATGATTATGCTAATATAAGGTCCATTGGACCCGTGCTCGCCTCCAGCATTTTATGTTTAATTTGATATATGTATATTTATATGCAAATTATAGAATAAATATTGTTTTGAGTCTTCACTTGTTAACCAGGTGAGAAGGAGCATTTTGTTTTTAATTTATACTAAACCATTGCTCATTACTTTACAAACTTCAAATGTAACTGGTTCTTTTTTGTTAAAAATACCAATATTTCCATTTTAAAAAATACATTTTAAAGTGCCGATGATTCTAAGCCAGTCATTGTAAAAATGTTAGCATTCTTTTCAGTTCATTTATACAAGCCTTATCTACTTTGTCAAACTATATATGTACAACTTTAACTGGTATGTAAACGGAAATGTAATTCATGCCCTTCGTAAAACTGATAGACTGTAATAGTAGCTGAAAATTACGAACTATTCCGAAAACCTGTGCTTTGTTTTTTATTCTTTTACATATTTCCAAATTTAGGAATTAGAAATTTGCAAGGATCAAAGATAGTATATTAGAATAGTTAACATGCAATATATGTGTCATCCCGAACTAATCAAACGGTGCGATATTGGAGCTGAAAGCAGAGAAAGCGACTATTTTAATATTTGGTAAAATTCCAAGCTTTCAGAAATTTATATAGTTTATATTCAATTGCAACGGCAGTCATTTTGAAAATTTTAAACACCAGAAAGTTGGAGAGATACTTACATATCAATATTGTGCAGGTTGAAAAACGTTTAGACGGAAAAAACGAAAAAGAAAATTTCCCCATTTACAGTGCACAAATTATCCGATCATTTTCATTTTTTAAAATTTGTTTTAATTTTTGCAGAAATCAATTTTGCATGATGGAAGGAATACTCCTTTTATGTTTCGAAAGAATTATCTGTTTTTTTACTGAGAATAATGAGATTTAATTTTTCATATTTCCTCTGTTTCAATGACAATAGTGGCCATTTTGAAAATTTTAAAGTAAAAATTGGCTACAAGTATAAGGAACTCGAATGTAAGGAAATTTTGGTTATAAAGAAATTATATGATTTCATCATCCCTCAAATGATAATATTTTTTATATGAATATAAAGAAATTCGGTTATTAGGAACTAAAAATCCATGTTTATAATAAAATCTTTGGTACTCATTTTCCTTTGATTCAGATATACTAAATACATCAAGTTTAAAATGAGTGAATTTCTAGCATGATTGAAGGAAGTGTATGATTCTAAATATATTGTTAACCTACTTTGTGTTTCACTAGTGTTTTACTGTCTCTTACAGAGAGTTTATTTTGAAATATCCCACCATGCTTTTCAAAGATTTTCCTACGATGACCTGCTGTAAAGTAATACCGAGTAACCATTTGCTATCTTTAAAAAATACCAATTAAGAAGATTGGCGAACAAGGTAAGCGAAATGCTTATGGTGCAACAAATATGAAGGTGAGAAATCAAATCTCAATCATAATCAAATTTTCTTTGATATTTTATCTAACATTAAATTATTCTTTATGTAAAATCTCCATAATTTGCAAAAATCTCACAAAGATTAAAATTATTTGCCTATGAAATAGCATACAAACACCAAAGAGGGCAAAAAGGGTCATTTTCTCATATTCTAACACAAGTTTTCCATTTGAGTTGGTCTTCGCTCCATTTTTTTGAAAGCTATCTGCAAAGTTTGCGTAAAATATAAAATTTTTGGCTAACAAAAACATGGAGCAAAGACCCAAAATACCTTAAAAATACTTGAAGTCCATTTAGTCAAGGGTCATATCACAAACATGATTTAAATGCCACTATTCATCAGGAATTGTGTAGCGCGGTTGTTCCTTGTTAGTCCTAAAGGAGAATGATATTCTGTCTATTGTCAGGGTTCGAACCCCAGGAATATACATTTTTGTTAAATAATAGAATAAATTTTGCCGAGAAAATTTCTTCAGAAAAGTTTTGTTTGTCATATTTTCATGAATTTCAATAATGAGAACTTTACTCTAAATACTAAATTCACAATTTGAATATGATTTTATTTAACTGAAGCTATAGGCATTCTGCACGCCATGTTAGCCCATCTCCTTCTAAAAAAATTAAATTGATTCGTCCCATTTAATACTTTCTTTATGAGTATATAAGGAATAACGGTCCACATGACTTGCACGGCAGGTCTTCTATTCACAAATTTGTCATTTTTGTGAATAAAATTTAACGCAGAATTATTAACCATTTTATTTAGGCTCCTGAACTGTATGAAAATGACAGAAAAAATATCGTTCTTCAGATCGAATTATTCTTTATGTCATTTAATCATATTTCTTTTCCTCTGGCCATGGTGGACCACGGTCGTCTCCAGTCTAATTCGACCAAGCCAGTAATGACCACAGCTGATGAAGTGTCTGTCCTTTAGTATCCTGAGCACATAATTGTTGTTATTGGTATGCTGGGCCGGGTTCAGTTTATGTAATTGCCATCGCTGGCTCCATACAGCTGTTCGGTTGTAAGTCTCTTCTATTGTGACGTTATTTAGTAAGACGTCCACTCGCCCCCTTCCTGTCGTCTGACAGGCAAACAGTTGAAGGTTTGTCAGAGGTTCTCCGTGAGTGTGAAAATGAAGATGAATGTAACTGTTTGGATAAGCAAGGTTTAGGTACGCTCTGGGGTCGTTAGTAGTGTGATTTACTTGAATGAGGTTCATACCGTGTGCCCTGATGCTGTTACATATTGACGGACCCACGGCCTTGCTGTAATTACATTTGTTATAGATGGGCCAATAGTCAAACAGCACTAAGTTCTCCGACCAGCTGCCAGCTTGTGTGTGATCTACAAGAAAATATGATAGACTGGGATATAATTGGACCAGACCTTTTTTTGGGATGAAAAAAAATGTAATTAAGTAGCCTTCTAGAGATACAGTTTGATCCGCTATTGTGACCCGACCCTACCTCGGATCATGATTTAAACAAATTTAAATCTACACTACCTGATGTGTTTGCATATCAATATCATTAACTATGGCCTTGCTGTTCTCGAGAAAAAATATCTCCTCCTAGGAAGGGATATGGCTCTTCATTTGAACAATTATGATTTCAGCTTAAACAAGTTAATTTGCCTTAATGTATTTTAAGTTGTAATTAATTGATCCAGTGGTTGTAGAGAAAAAAATGTGCAAAGTTAACAGACAGACAAATTGACGGATGCCGGGTGATCAGAAAAGCTCACTGAAGCTCACAGCTCGTGAGCTAAATGGGGAAAAATTACTTCAGACATGTGATGATACTTGTCTATATGGTATTATGTACAGTGTACTTCGATAAGCATTGATTCCAAAAAATTACACTTTGATTTTGTGGAGACGTTTTTAAAACCATATAACCATTCTAAATAAGCATTTCAAAATATAAAAGCTTATTCTAGATACCTTCACACAGTCCACACGACTTTCGACAAAACTGAGCTGTTTCACAATCACTGCAAATTGCTAACAGTGCAGATGGGTCACGACAATCGCTAGCAGAGGCATCATTACAGGGGGTGGTGGATGGCTCTAGGAAGCGATCAATGTCTGAAACACAAAGAAAATATTATTATTTGCTTATTTAATGTGATAAATTCTTTCTTTTCTCATGGAAAATTTTAACTGTGAAATTGCAACATATTTTTGAAATTTGCATTCCAAGTCTCAGTGTTTAATAATAGGTAAATACATGTATTCCTCTGATTTTAATTGTCAGAGCACTGAGGAGAGCCACAAAGACCTGTCATAAGTGTACCTTAATTTTTACTTTTCATAGATGATCGTCCTATGGATGATAAAAACACAGACATATTCATATGTTTGCCGATGGTTGTAGTTATTCAAAATTATTTTACAACTGTATTCATAATTGTATTTTTGTTGTACAGAAAGATGAAGAATAGTGTATTGCACAGATATGGTTAATCTCAACCTTTTTGATAAATTTTGTTATAATAAAAAGCTCATTCATTCTTCACTTGGAAGTCCTATTGATGTTTTACGGGTTTTCTGTATTTTTTTCCTTTTTTTGGATGTATTTGTTTGTTTGTATGTTGTTTAACGTCCCTCTCGAGATTTTATTTACTCATATGGAGACACCATCACTTGCCGGTGGAGGGCTGCAAATTTTAACCTATGATCGGCACTCAGGGCCATTTAGCAGCGAGGGATCTTTTTCGTGCCAACACCTACTGTGACATGGGACCTTGGTTTATATAGTCTCATCCGAAAGACTGGTCACCACGTCCCGCAGTGGATTCGAACCCGCGACGTAAGGATCAACTCCTTACTCCGCGACTCTAGAGCAGACGTTCTAACCACTGCGCAGAGGTAGGATCAGGTGCCTAGGAGAAGTAAGCATCCCCTGTCGACCGATCACATCCGCTGTGAATCCTCTATATTGATCAGGAAAACGGAGAAATCCGTAGTCAAAATTAGTGTAAAACAATGACCAAACAATTGGTTTGAAACATGAAATAATGTTTTACACTGCCATCGTCCAGGCGAGCGCAGTAGTATACCATAAAAAATCCTTTACATAGCTTACACTTTGATCCGCCTCTTCAAACCGCGTCACATAACGTCGTATTTTTAAGTTGCATTTCCGAAAACTGAGTCTAAAAAGGCCTTTTCCAATTTTGTAGCGAAAGGCATTGTAGAGTGGATGGAATTATTTTTTGTTATGTTTAAACTCTCTGCAAGAACTAAATCTTAATAATCTTAATAATAACTGCGGGACTGTTTATTCGCCATTATCGCTCAATGTGTACACACAGTGCTACCACAGTGTTAGCTTGATGATGCGACCTCCATATCGCATGAAATCCGGGTAGCGAAGGATGTCTGAGAATTTGCTTGACGAATGTACAGATTTTAATTCGAATTTTCTCTGTTCTTACACTTAAGTCTTTTAAGCTCGCTTCGCGAACGGAGCTCGCTAGGAAGATAAAAAACAGTAATCAAGCTCAAAAGTCCATTGAAACAATACAGATCGAGAGCAAAGCAAACATGAACCTCTAAAACATCAGAAGTGGGATCAATTGCCATGGAGGAGTAAGCTCCTAGTCATGATCGGGCAAACGGAAAAATCTGTAGACAATTCAGTGTGAAAATAATGGCCTAACAATTTGTATGAAAAACGTCAGACAACATTCGACTGAATGTTATTTTATAGATTGTATATGCTAAAAAGGTCATTGTATCGGCCATAGAATTTGCGAAATGTTGACTTTGAACGAGAATGTTGATATCCTTGTATCATCAACTTATTTGTCTTTAGCTTGCCTCATTTTAGAAATTGTTCATAGAACATGCTCTTGTGTATCGAATTAACTGGGAGATATTAACTCCTTATACAGCTGATAGTGGTATAAGGAAAGCTGACTATAGAAAAGTTGAAGCCATCACGTTTATCGTTTTGTTGTTAGTTTGCCATTAATGTCTTTCTCTTGTAAAATATCCAAATATGAAACAGATGTGTCAGACTCTGTGATGTCAAAATACATTAAGTCAAAATTAGTCCCAGTGATAGGTTGTATTTGAAACTAGGTCATTATATCGACGATAGAATTCGCGGTATTGTTGAAATACCTATAACATCAACTCTGTCAGTAGATTGTCTCAATTTAAAAGATCGTACTCAGAGCATGCTCTTGCGTACCGATTCAGCTAGGAGACATAAACACCATACGCAGGTGATATTGGAACATAAATAGGGGAAGTTGATTTTATTCCTCAAAGATGGTAATGTGGATTTTCATGAGACTTTTTTAAAAAATGATTGATAACTAAGAGGCTTTCCATACTAAGAAATAAAAAATTCATTATTTTAGAAATTTTATCAGTATCTAAACATCTCTGAAACAGAGACTGTCTTTCACGACCATTTGATTGTCTTTAAGTTTTGGCAATCGAACAGAAACCTCCAAGTTACTGGTTTCTTATATTTATTATTTATCACAAAATTATAGATTGATAAACAATAATTGTTTCTTAGGTTAAAAGTTAATTTTTAAAAAATAGAAATATTCGTAACAAAATTAAGTCTGTCGTTTGTAATATTTTAAATACATGTATTGTTTTTTTTTTTTTTTTTTTTTTTTCATTTTAGAACTAATTTAAAGTACTGAAAAGTATGTGCGAAAATCCTTGGTGCTTTTTTTGTTTTTATTTATTATTATTAGTATTTTCTTATCTATTGATTTCATTTTTTCGTTTATTCAACTTAGTTTTGTTTTTTACTTGCCTGCGTTGCAGATCTCCTTTTTACAGTATCTAGTTTTGGTGACGGATGAACTTCTTTTACCAAGAACATTCGGAGACACTGCGCATTTCTGTGAATGAGAATGAAAGAATATCAAGGGTCATGAAACTTGTTTGTCTTCTTTGTCTTTATTTATTTATTTACGTATTTATTATTATTATTATTTTGGTCATGTCGAGAGTTTGATATGGTTTGTACATTGTCTTACATTTTGATTCTAATAATTTGATTTTCTAGCTTCATCAGTCTCCTTTTAAAGACGACTGAGAAAAGGGGTATCTAAATGTTGTAGATTTTGTTCCAATAATATACGGATAAAAAGATCCCAAACTACATTGCCATCTCAAAATAGATTGTTAAAGATCTTTGAATGAAGCTAGATCGACATTTGTCCGTCGTTTATCAACCGCATCCACACCAGTCCTGTCACAAGATAAACTTTTTTCAGACCGAATGTTTATATTTAACGAAGTGTCTTCGCCCCTTTTCAGGGAAGATTGTATAAACATTTACAAAGTTTAACTTATAAAAGTGTCTTTACAAAGAGATGAAATTTGAAAATACTGGTTTAGTTGCACATAATGCAAGAGTATTTGATTTTATGATAATGTTGTAATCATGAAACTTTCTATTTCTGACAAATTTCTCTTGACTCACTTCCAATGTTTTGCACACAGATTCTTAAGACTAAAGCTTAACTCAGAAAAGCAAGAATAATTGGCATAATATTCTTGTAGAGTCATATAATTCCCATAAAGCTATGGTTACGGGGGCATCAGTGTTTCACAAACACATCTTGTTCTTTGTACATGCATGCAATGGTGAGATTTTTGAGCTTAACCATTATTGAAATATACTGGTACATGTAATCAAAGTGGCCTCCAGGTCCGGTCACTGTCACTAATTTAGATGTGTAACTATTATGGATAATAGTAATAATGCCAATGTAATTAACTGTAATTCATATGGATATGTACACAAGCATACTTTAACATATTTGTTTAATATCAAGTATTCCACTGTTGCTGTTTTCCTAGTAAGCCAATGTATGTCGGTCAACAGTTCTATAGAGCTTGTGTTATGTTGTTATAAAAATCCGATGTTAAACAAAATTTTCTTATTCTGAAGGTATACTTGTATTTCGGTGTTATTTGGGTATTTGTCGAAGTATACCTTACAAATATTTATTCATAATCACTAAATTTCAACCAGTTTTGGAAAATTTTTAAAATTTTTGAAAGTGTGACCTTTCAACACCAAAGTGTAAACTGTGTACTTTGAAAATACATTTTATGTACATCTCAAAAATGTTATTCAAGAATTGATTGATTGATGCATTGTATGTTGTTAAATGTTCCATTCGAAAATTTTTCACTCATGTAGAGATGTCAAAGCTATTAAAGAACGCTGAATTCAGATTCATATGTTGTAATCATGCCAATAGTTTGACTGCTTGATGTCCATGGAATATAGAGGATTTTTGAAAATTACATTAATTTTTATGGTTTTAGCTCAATCCCTTACGTCCCAGGATGGCAGGGACCATAATATTCACAATTTTGTCATTTGCCTTGAATACTCTATATACACAAAAATTCATTAGAACTGGTTTTTAAATAACGGTTTATGAGAAGAAGCTGAAAATGACCGACGCACGTATTACGGACGAAATCAGATAGCAGTATGTCAACTGGGTGAATCAGGTGACCAAATAAAGCGTATCATATACTTAGTAATGTATACAGGTTTATGCCTGATGTCACAATACATGTAGAGCTCTGTATTAGCTTCTAGGGCTTATCCGGATCCTGCAGGGCTGATATGGATCTGCAGGGCTGATACGGATATTTATTATATACCCAACTGTTTGTCACTCAGTTTTACTGTTGAATTTACGCAATCACGAGACGATGTGATCCGACGTTCCGGATCACCACACTGTGGTTTTCTGAATCCATATCACCCCTCTCTGAAACTGATGACGTAGTACACAGATAAATGACGTTTTTATTCTCGCGCATCAAAAAGTTCCTTGACAAAATGGTTTGTTTAATGGATAAAAGTTATGTAATTGTTCCAAAAAGTTTTTTTCTTTTATCATATTTTGCTAGTTGTTAAGGGGTATATAATAAATTTATCATTATAACAGTAACTTGATCCGAAGAGCCGTATCACGTCTCGTTGACAGAAGATAGTTGATAAAAGAAAAAACTTTTTGGAACAATTACATAACTTTTATCCATTAAACAAACCATTTTGTCAAGGAACTTTTTGATGCGCGAGAATAAAAACGTCATTTATCTGTGTACTACGTCATCAGTTTCAGAGAGGGGTGATATGGATTCAGAAAACCACAGTGTGGTGATCCGGAACGTCGGATCACATCGTCTCGTGATTGCGTAAATTCAACAGTAAAACTGAGTGACAAACAGTTGGGTATATAATAATAAAAAATAATAGCGAAAATAATACAATTTAATAAGATAACGAGATAAAAAAAAAATTACTGTCAGGTTGCCCATGCAAAACTCCAAAGATTCCAAATAATAGCAAGATTTCTACAAAAATATATAAATATGAATCATTATAAGTATTTATTTCTTTTTGCAGATATTTATTTGTACGGTCACACTTTGTACTTTACTAAAGATCTAGACCTCAACAAAGACATATGAGGCTTATTTATGAGCACCTTAATGTCGAAAGGGTAGTTAATATATATAACAAAAATTCAAACTCACTTAGAGGCCAAGACATGAGGTTTCTACTGCTATGGAATGATCTGATAAGAAGTACCAATCACATACTATATAGCTTTACAGATTACTTTCGATTTTGGTGACATGCATACAATGTAGTTCATATTGTTAAATTATTTTTCTGCTGTCTATAAGTCTTAGTTTCTAGAATATATGTATTCAGTAGATATAAAAATCAGAAGATGTGCATGCTTAGGTGATTCGAATATGTATACTGTGTGTATGCAGCTATTAAAAATTACTCAGATTTATTTTTATTTTCTTCGTAAGTTTTGAATTAATCAATTGATTACATTATAGAATACCAAAATAAATCAAATAATTGAAGATATCTTTAAAACTATTTGAAGATATCTATTTATTTGATGTGCACGTGTCTTCAAATATTTAAAGATATCTTCAAAAGTGAATTCTTGTGCACGTTTTGATTCATTTTTATTCAGTTTTTGATAGCATTAATTGATGCACACTATAATTGAATCGTTGCTCTTTTCAGATGAGTTAAAGAAATTAACTACGTGCACATTTAAATCAGGATCATAGCAGGTTTACTGAAAAAAAAACCACAGCAAAACTGTAAATCACATTTTACCAGCATTCGCGGGAACTTTGTTCTCGTGCAATTAAGCAAGACGGTCTGCTCGCTAAAATTTCATTCTCACGTATATTTTTTATTATAAAAGATTACATAAATAAAAACACTAACCAGAATTCGTGAAAATTTTGTCTCGTTTATAAATACAAAATTACAGGCTAGCTAAAATAAGGTGTCGCAAAAAATTTTTGGATCAACAATATTGGTTATATAGAAAATTGTAAAACAGTATGTACACAGCTTTATTATTGCTGATACACATATTTCTTTATAGCCACCTTTAATCTGCATACTCCCCATAAATCTTTACTTCGGTATTTGCATTAAAATTCAATGCTAAAACATGAAAGAAAAATGAAATCCCCCAAAATGTCCATATGGATTTTCTGGATATTGATATATTTCATGTATCTATGATAGCTTGACGTTGTTGTGTGATCCCATTATAAGAAATTCAGTGCATTCATAGAAGAAATCCAACTACATCTCAAAGACAATAGCGTGATCATCCAGCAAGTTACACTTACTTGGCGCAATGGTGTTATAAGAAATGATGCTTAACATGTCTATGTGAAATATGGATATAAAGAAAATTATTCAAGCTCAAAGTCCATTGAAACAATACAAATCGGGAGCAGAGCAAACACGGGTCTCCAAAAACATCAGAGGTGGGATCAGGTGCCATGGAGGAGTGAGCATCCCCTGCCGACCGGTCACACCCGCCGTGTGCTCCCTGCCATTATCGGTAAATAACGGAAAAATCCGTCGACAATTCAGTGTGTAAATAATGGCCTAACAATTATTATGAAAAACGTAAGTTAGCATACCCCGGTATGACTTAATGATAGATTGTATTTGCTTACAAGGTCATTGTGTCGACCATAGGACTTACGAAATGATGATTTTAAACGAGATTGTTGATATTCTTGTTTCATCAACTTGTTTGTCAATAACTTACCTCGTTTTAGAAATTGTTCATACGTAGAGCATACTCTTGCGTATCGAATCATCTGAGAGATATACACCCCATATGCAGGTGATAAGGGTATATTGCTGCATAAGTAAGGGAAATTGACGATTGAAAAGTTAGTTATCACGTTTATCATAAAGCTTTGTTGTTAGATTACCACTACCGTATTTTTTAGTAAAATATCCAAATATGAAACAGATCTGTCAGACTCTGTGGTATCTTTTATTTCAAGCTCACTGGGATATATCGTGTCGACATATGAATGGAAATAACTATTTTTAATTGATAATACGTCGCCGATATATCGAAATATCGAGTTGAAGGCCACAGCAAGAGATTTTTTTCCTCATGTATAAGATTTTGAATAAATTCTGCTTCATATGAATGCAAAAATAGGTCGGCTTACAACGGGGTGCTATTGGTACCCATGGGAGTTCCAACAGATTGTGGTAAGTAAATTTACGAGTTCCATTTTTATTTTTAAAAAAAAAAGCAGCTGTCAATAATGTCCAAAAGCCTGGACTTTAATTTATCGTAGGGAGTGGTTATATACAGAGTTGAAAAGTCGAAAGTATTTATATTATTGATTTTGATAAAATTTTGTGATTCCAAATTTTTTCAAAAGTTCATTGGAATTTTTAAGTATTCACATCTGATTTACACCACTTCTCGAAATATTTTGTTGCACAGTACTCCTGAAGTTTCTCATTCACTGCTGTTAATATTTTAGTGAGGAGTAAAGAAAGAGGCTTGGGAACCCGCTATATATCTTTGTTTGTACCGTTTAATAGTTTGACGTGTTGGACAAAGTAACATTTTAAGAAGATTTAACTTAAACTATTCTGAATTTATCTCACATCGACAAAATATGAAATTAAAAATGATCGTCTATTTTAACTTCAAAGACCTTAAATTATATGCAAACAGGATGTTTCTGAGGTTAAAATTGGGAAATAGGGTGTAAATCTTGTTACCTTACTGGTTTACGAATTACAATGGCAATTAAATTCACAACTATCACGAATATAACAATAAACGCACAAACGCCAGATATCAAAAAATGTTTTCTTAATTCTCTAATTACATGTTTACTTGCTCCATTGTGTCATGGTTCTTGATTTCATTTTAAAAAGAAAAAAAAGATGCAAAGGAATGCGGTAGGAAAATTACTTTAACATACATTTCTGAAGAGGAAGTCTACGTTTGTTGGTGGCTGAAACCGTCTTCACTGATCAACAAGACGATCATTATTCCTCATTCTTATTTGATAGGTAGGTTACTTCAGTAACTAAAGTCATTAAAAGGTTTCTTATATATTGTTTCAGGTGCTGTTCTTTCTCATTTTTCTTCTTTTCACAGGTAAAGTATGGAAAAAATAAGACGGCCGAGGAGTCATGATTTTCGCGATCATGCTGTCACTTACATTGTAGGCACCGATCAGATTTATGGCATAGATGGTTTTTATTCTATGTACCCCCAGTCAAGTCCAGAAATGATGAAAGATAAAGAAATTCTTGTGAGAAACAACGATATCCAAAAAGATGAGGAAAATATGACGTTAAAAGTAGAAGCCTTCAGAGACGAAATCATAAAAAATGTTGATAAAATCAATCAGCTGAAATTTGATATTCTGTCGAAAGAAAACGGATCATACACTTCCAACAATGGAAGACTGAGGGTAAAAAGTCTTATACAAAACAGTGCACGTCTTGAAGATCTTGAATCTGAAATGGCCCTCCTAAAGAGGAATGTTGAGAGTGCCCAGGGATTACTTTATGATGTTCACCAAGCCACCGATGAGAAAGTGGAGCAGTGTCTCGGATTACACCGTTCTCGTTGTGTTTGTACTGAACCTGATACAATATTTATACGAGATATCTGTGACAAAGCTGCCGATATCGAAATAAAGAGACATTGTTATTCTTCAAATGTTCACATCGAAAGATGCACTGATATGAAGAATCATGTTAAATGGTTAAGAGGAAATAATTTGTTGTCCATTTCCGGTTGCTTTGCGTCTCCAAAAATATATATATCAGGACTGTTTGTCAATCTCGTTGTTTCAATCAAAGGATTAGCTGGCCAGCCTGAAATCCATATCAAGGGTGTCTGTATTTCTCCACAGATCCTGGTTAACGGCACCAAACTTAAACCAACGGTATTTGTTGATGGCGTTGTCAGTGATCCTTATTTACAAGTTGGGGGACTTGGATCAAGATTGAAGTTAAATGTAACCGGTATCTGTTGTAGACAGAACGCCGTCGTAGGTGGTATAAAATGTCAAACAAAACTCAGAGTTTTCGGGATGTGTAACATATAATGAAGAGTTAACTGTGTCTGAAAAATATCCCAATACAATTATTATAAAGGACTTTTTAAGAGAGTCATTAATGTTTTCTCTCTCTCTCTCAAAAACGTCTGATATATAAATATTCACACTCAGCTTATTCATGTATATCAAACAGATAAAAACAAACAAAATAAATATTTGACCTTTCTTTGATGAGTATAAGCCTATAAAGTTGTTTATAAATGTGATATGGTCCATTACTCCGGTGTTTTAAACTTTTAAATCAAAAGAGATAGGGCGTTCATATTTCACATTTACATTATCTGTGACAAGACCTTTCCAAATATACTATGATTTTTTTTGCTTTCGACCTTGACCTTGAAGGTTGACCTACTTTTCAAATATTTTAACAAACTTTATCCTTGGTCATAACTTTTGAATGAGAAAAGATAGGACTTTCATATTTCACAAGTAAATTACATGTGAAAAGTTCTTTCCAAATATACTTTATTTTTTTTACCGTTGACTTTGCCTACTTTTCAAAAATTTTAACAAACCCTATCTTTAGTCATAACTTTTGAATGAGAAAGACAGGGCTTTCATATTTCACAAGTATATTACATGTGACAAGACTTTTCCAAACAAACTATGATTTTTGACCCTGTGACCTTGATGTTGAAGATTTTTTTTTCAAATGTTTGTCAAACTCCAAGGTCAAGGTCAAGAGTTCAAAAATGTTGATATCCAAAGAAAGGTCTTGTCACAAGTGTGAAATATAATAGCCCTAGTACCAACCATTCAGAAAATATGGTGAAAGTCCTAACTCCAGCCATTCAAAATTAAGTTGACAAGGTTAAATTTTTTTTTCAAATGTAGGTCAAACTCCAAGGAAAACCACGCAGACAGCTAGGCGTATGGAGAGAGGAAAGCTATAGTACCCTCTAGTTTCACCGATAGGAAATAAATAAATTTTGATATTTTCAGAAAGACCATAAATGGTTAAGTAGAAAAATTCAAAGGCCTTTCTGTTTTTGGTGTCCACCTATTGATCAAGAACCTACCTACATATACCTATTCATAAAAAAACACACAAGTCAAGAAATAAAACATAGACTTTATAGTCATAGAAACATCATTTGAATGATTTTCGATTTTATTATTCTATTTTTCTTGCAGAAAGATATATTCCTCTGCAAATGAAAGTAGTAAATGTAAAGTATATACATATGCCCCTATGTATTCACTTATTTGACAGATTCTCGAAAAATATAGAAAGAAACTGTTTTCCACCAACATAATCAGTTTCTGGACTTCTTATTTTGTAAGTTTTTTTTCTGACCTGTGGTGTCAAAAACCAAGGCGCAAGCGGATGCTCAGCATAGAAAAAAAATTGAATGGTCTAATTTGTACTGTAAGTCTTTTTATATACAGAAGGTAACGGACCAGTTATTGTAACAAATGGTACATACAGTTATTTACAGCCTGTAGCTAATCATGTATATCATATTAATCTACTGCCAGATTGATCTAATTTGATTTGATAATTAATGCTTGTCTATCAAATACCTATTGAGATCTGTGATTTAAATTGATTATTAAATGAAACAATTGATCCACGCGTGGATTATTTGTATCTACCTAAACTACGCACAGTCTCTGTGCAGTGGGTCAATTTTGTGGAGTCCACCATACCAAGCGGAAATTATGGCCAGCAATGCAAAAGTTGTTAAACTTCCTCCGATCCCTGAAAAAGGAAGAACCAATCTCACGGGAGACCTTCAAGGTAAAACATTCATTTCAAAAGTTCATCTTTAAATACTTGTAAAAAATTATTGTATTTCATCCTCTCTGAACATGTCCTTTTTAAAATATTCGCACTTAAAAGAAATCAAGACTCGTGGTCTTTTTTTTTTCATTAAAATAAAATTTTAAAAAGAGAACCTAAAAATTTTTACACAGCATAGAATATGTTTGCATGATACCCTTAAACTGGAAAACAGTAATTGTACCCCCCTCCTCCCCCCTTTGACAAATGATATGTGGGGTAAGGGGGCTACAGAGGTTAGAGCACCTGTGCTGTCCAGAGCGTGAAAAAGCGTTTTTAGGCACAAGCTTTGGGCGGCCCAGCTAGACTTCTTTTGAACTGAACTCCTTGTAACACTTCAAGACGTTTATCACAGCTAAAGAAAAAGGATGTGTTTAGTGTCCTTGCCCCTTTGACACAGGATCGAGTCCATCTAAGGATGCATAATAAAACGTCATCATCCCTCTATTGCCACATCGTCTCAAACCACGCCCAAAATGTACGACCCTCTCCCATTCTGGTAGGAGAGAGCTACATGTATATGCGGACTCCGAACCGTTGCTTGAAACGATGTCTGTTGCCGAAGTGCGCGTCTCAAGTACTGTACATTGCTACATGTACATTAGGGGCCAAACTGTCGCGTATCTGATTCTCTCTTCAAATTTCGTTATTGATAATATTAATCAACTACATACTCGTTACTGACTACATTGTCACTTAGAAAGGCAAGAAGTGCTGGTTTTATTATTATTTTATATTTAATTGAAGGAAGATCTAAACACTCAATTCCATAGAACTTTTTTGCAGTTATGAGTGACCTGTCCATTCGAAACTTAATTTTAGTGTATACATGACATAATTTGTAATCGATCTAAGTATACAAGGCCACTAAAAAGTAGTGTGCATCATTTGCGTGTATTTTCCCCCATTTAAGCAAGCACAGTAATTTGTGTTCATTTATATTGTTTTCTTTCATTTGGGGGGGGGGGGGGACCGGTAAATATGTATAATGTTGACAATTCACTAGATAAACTCAATACATTTACTTTTATATAATTTTCTCAATAACCTTAAAACATTTTTCATTTGTGCTTAACTTTGAGATTTCTTGAGAAGTGAAATAATATGAACATACCTTTTGTTCACTTTATTTTGGGGCATTTCTGGGATTCAAAATACAAGTAATTGATTAATTAGGAAATACCAGAAACATAAATGACTTTTATGTCTCTGGAAATATTACATTCCGTTATCAGCAACCAGGGGGCGCCCTATCATGTATACTTACATTGCACAATCTGAAACAGGATAAATAAAATGGGACTTTTTAACCATACACAGAGACGTAAGCGTAGTCATGGGCATCGGTCTTACAATAAACCTTTAATACACGATGTCTCTTTTGATTCATTACTACCTTACGTAAATCAACAGTTAGGTCTACATCATATTCGCACCAAACTTTACTCTGTCCCTTTGAAACTTTTAAATAGTCTTCTTGAAAAGGTCAAGGAAAGTCCATTTTTTTATTCCTCGACACCAGAATATAGGCTCGGATCTGTGATTATGGATATTGCCAATCATAGGTTTTTTAAACCCCCGCGTTTTACTGAAGAAAATGCAGCTAAAACAATCCGTTTTTTCCTTAAACTTCAATATGCCAACAAAGGAATTGACGCGGTTAATATAAGTAATATTCTTAATCACAAAAGGGTCCAGTCTTGTATTCCACCATATTTCAAGTTAAAGACTCCACCTTGTATTTCCTACAAATATACATCGACTATTGCTTCCAAACTTTTTAATTACAAGAAAACTTTACAGGGCCTGGATATCGAATATCTGAAGCATAATCCTCCATCGTGTTCATGTTCTTCTTCGCCCAATAACTATAGTCCTGCTGGACACGTTATTACTGGTGACGTAAATATAGTTAACAATGAGGACCTTAGATCACTAATTTTAAAAGGTCCTAAATTTAGGGAACCCAGATCCTTCAACTGGCGTCGGAATTTCATAAATATTATGGATTCTGTAGAGGACTACTCCAGGCGATGGACCAGACATGAAAAAGAAGACCTTGACACTTTGTCAGAATGGATTAAATGTATCAGATGTATGTTAAAATCGCGCATTAAGAGATTGAGAGGCAATATGAAAACCATCTATCCTTCTGTATTCAATAACCCAGTAGTGAAAAAAGAATTATATAGATTACATGATCAGTACGTACTGGTCCCTGCTGACAAAGCAGGTAACAACATTGTCTTTGTTTGTAAGGCTCATTATATTAAATGTATTTTAGAGGAACTTGGATTTAATTCTACAAGTGGTAATCCAACTTATACTCATAGTTCCCTTTCTAAGGAAGAAATTCTTAAAAATCATATGTCAGTTTTGAATATTTTTAATATTCCAAACAATCAAAATGAATTTGAATTACCATATTTATATTGGATTCCGAAACTTCATAAAAATCCTTACAAACAAAGATACATAGCGGATTCCAGAAAATGTTCAACCAAGCCTCTATCTTTACTCTTCACTAAGATATTAACAGTGGTGAAGGAGAAACTTCAAAAGTACTGTGCAACAATATATTCGAGAAGTGGTGTAAATCAGATGTGGATACTTAAAAATTCCAAGGAACTTTTGGAAAATTTAAAATCACAAGATTTTACCAAAATCAACAGCTTAAAAACTTACGACTATTCAACTTTGTACACAACCATTCCCCACGATAAATTAAAGTCCAGGCTTTTTGATATCATTGACAGCTGCTTTTTCAATAAAAATGGAACTCGTAAATATATTTACCTTGTCATCGGTCATTTGCAAAATTATTTTGTTAAAAAACATTCTGATTGTTCACACAAGTACTCTGAAGTTGACATTAAAAAGATGCTTGAGTTTCTGATTGACAATATCTATTTGGTTTTTGGAGACCAGGTCTTCCAACAATCTATTGGAATTCCCAGGGGTACCAATTGCGCCCCATTATTAGCAGACCTTTTTTTGTATTCATATGAAGCAGAATTTGTCCAAAATCTTGTACGTGAAAAGAAGAAAACACTTGCTGTGGCCTTCAACTCGACATTTAGATATATCGACGACGTATTGTCAATTAACAATGGCTATTTCCATTCTTATGTCTATACGATATATCCTTGTGAACTTGAGATAAAAGATACCACAGAGTCTGACACATCTGTTGCATATTTGGTTATTTTACTTGAAAAAGACGTTAATGGTAATCTAACAACCAAGCTTTATGATAAACGTGATGACTTTAACTTTTCAATCGTCAACTTCCCTTACTTATGCAGCAATATACCTTCATCACCTGCATACGGGGTATATATCTCTCAGTTGATTCGATACGCAAGAGCATGCTCTACGTATGTACAATTTCTAAAACGAGGTAAATTATTGACAAATAAGTTGATGAAGCAAGAATATCAGCTGTCTCGTTTAAAGTCATCATTTCGTAAGTTCTATGGTCGATACAATGACCTTGTCAGCAAATACAGTTTATCATTGAGTCAAATGCTGACTGACGTTTTTCACACTAATTGTTAGGCCATTATTTACACACTGAATTGTCGACGGACTTTTCCGTTATTTCCCGATCATGACAAGGAGCACACGGCGGGTGTGACCGGTCGGCGGGGGATGCTCGCTCTTCCATGGCACCTGATCCCACCTCTGATGTTTGGAGGTCCGTGTTTGCTCTGCTCCTATTTTGTATTGATAAATGGACTTTTGAGCTTGAATACTGTTCGTTATCTCCATATATTTCATTCAACATGTTCATTTTAATGGTTTTAGTTTAAGGTATTATCATTCGTCAGCTTTTAAGAAAAGTTTGGTCAGGACCTCGAACTTCGATTCAAAACTATTTCTTATACAATTCAATTTTTATTACATATTTGAATTTAACAATGCATTATTTTGTGGGCAGTTTTTGAAATTGAATATTGTATAATTATACAATATTCAATTTCAAAAACTGCTCACAAAATCATAAAAAAACCCAAAATTTATAGGGTACTATTTCTTGTGGTGGACGGATATTAAGAGGAAAATTCTTAATTCAACACATTCGTTAAAAATAATTATCTTAGAACTTTAGCCCTACATGTTTTTACTCAGAGAATTATTTCCGCTATTATATGCTAAGGCATACCTTAAGACATGAAAAACAATTCTAACGTATTTCGTTTTTTTTCTTTAAATACAAATTTCAAATCATAATAAAAAAAAATCTTTCAAATTTCGAAACATCTTCAATATTCTTGGACCCTCTGAGTGAATGCACCATGAGTTCGCATTGTGGTGATGTTTTTTTTCCCCCGAGACACAGTTAAAAACTTTTTTTTTCTTTTTATGTTGATAACGGTATTTGTATATCTGCTGATTATTTTCTCCTTTATTTTTTCCCTCAAAAGGATTCTATATTTACACATCAAATTGTCTTTATAATGAGATTTGGCGCTAAGTGTCAAGTCTTCAATGAGCAAGTCACACCTATCTCTCAAAATAATCCCCCCCCCTTCCCCCTCCCAAAAAAATCATAAACAAAATAAAAACAATGCAAACAAAACTAAACCAAAACAAAAAGATTAACAATCTTTTGGGCCGAAGTGTATGCTGCGTGTCTGAATCAAGAAGGATCACTCTGCCCACACGATTCATTCTTGTGACGTCACATTTAAAATGAAAATGAAACCAACAGCACCAGTATAGTCCTAGACATTCAGTTTGGCATTTAAACAAATATCGTCTGCTGGGGATTTAAATGTAATGTATTATTCGGCCAAACAATAGATTCTTGATTAAAAGGTACAACAACCAGAATAAAACGTATATTAAATGTCTAGAAAGAATATGAAAGTGTTTTGACCAATGAAAACAATCGGAAGGAGTCATTGACAACTCTCTTGACAACCACGCGTAAAGCGCGAGATTTTTGGTAGAAATGGCGACGAGAAGTGCAAGTAAGTGTGCATGTGCTATGCTGGGACCCTTTGTGAATGATAGTCATATCATGAATGACACTGAAGGTTATTTCAATTTTTCTCTCTATTACAGCGAGTGATAACAGGATAGATCTTCTCGCTAATCCCAAAAGTGTTCCAAACACATTCCAGGAAGATAGGTAGGGTTATTTCTATACAAATCTACTTACTTCTCGGTTTATTGTATAAATCGTAAGTGACAGTACTAATGTGTCTTTGTCCATATTGATACATCAGTTGACATTTAAAATGTTGAAGAAGTAAATCGGCACGGATCGAACATGTGCACTCATTCATCAACATTATTATGCGCGTATTTTATTTATTATAAATTTTAATTAATTTATTAACAACGTTGAAATGCCCAGTCTCTTCTGCAGCATGAAGTGATCATGAACCAAAAACGCATTACAGGAATATATAAATTATAGACACAGACATTCCCGAACTTTCAAAGAATGTTGCGTTTGATCCCCAGTATGTTTGTCCTCTTGTGCAGGGGGGGGGGGGGGGGCATGATGGCAGATTAAATCAACTGATATTAAAAGAGGAAACGTTATTTATAGTTTATAGGAATATATATTTATGCATAAAATTATAAAATGTTGAATTTTGCAAAACACTTCTATAGTTTCAAAAGGATCGGAACTTTAAAATTATCTACATATAGATATATACATTCCAGGACTACAGAATAATGACGGATTCCAATAGCACCTTCAAAAGCCATTGAATTTAATATGAGCTTTCTAGTTACAGGTTTTCCTCAAGCAAAATTTAATGAGATATTGTGAATATTTAAAATCATTCATATCTGAGTTTAAAAATGATTGAGGATTAATAAGCTAATATATTCTGTTTATGTCTTAAATTTTGTAGGAGGTCAGTGTATTGGGTTGACAGACAACCCCCCACTGCTGGGCCACATGGAACCACACAGATCAGTATGTAATACTGTACTCTAATTATTCTAATTACAAATCCATATCACTTTAAAAATTTTAGCTATACCCTTAACATGCACTTTGTTGCTTAATTGTCTTTCAGAATGAATATCGATCCATGTACACTTCATAATGAAATGTTTGCATTTTATTAAAATTTAGTCTGAAGACAACTATTTTGCAATTCTACACTTTTCAAAAAGAGATTTGTCCTCCTGGTTGAATATTCTGTTGTGAAGAGTACATAATAATTATCATAAAGAAAGATCAATCATGCAGTCACACAGATGCAATGGATAATGAACAGTAGAGAAAATTCAATTTCTAATTTTGATTTGTGGCACCAGCACATATTGTTTTACTGAAAAAGCACTTGCTATTCTTGCAATCTAATTAGATTGACTATTCTTGCAGTTGGGGGAAAAAGTCAGTCCTCACTGTGCCATATGAAATCAAACAAATCCATCTGGCTTATTTTGTTTGAGCACATTTTATGCTTAAGTACCAAAAAGTGCTGAAAAAAATGTATTAAATTCTGGTTAGGGTCGATATTAAATTCTGGTGAGGGTCGATAATATTGATAAATATAATTGCCGTTTCCTTTCACCACATTTTCCTACAGTTAAGTTTTTAAATTGAGAGGAAATTACTTAAACTAAATCAATATAGATCTGAATTAGAGTAAACTGCTAACAGAGTTCTGTCTGGTTCTAATCTACAGCAGGTGATGATCATTGTATAGAACTACCTGATAAAGTAATGCATTGTGTCCGTTAAAGTGCTTACAAGTGTCTGTGGAGATACTCATCTCTTCATTTTGTCAGACAAACAAAAGGTGATCGATTTAGTTCACAGATTTAAACCGCATTTGGGGGTACTAAATTAGATACGATTGAAACATTCATAAGCCAATATATAGCAGGGGAGGGCAAGTTTTGGAAGTTAAAATGAGAAATATTACCATAATGCATATTCTACGCCCTTTGAATGAATTGAAGGTAGAAACTGGTTTGGGTTTAAATAATTGTAGTTTTATAAAAGAAAAAAATGCATGTTACCTTGCTAGCTACGAGGTAATTTTCATTATATCTCATATATATTGCTCAAAATTTATTAGTCATTTATGTATAATATACATCAAATATGACTTGTTTCATATTTAAATAACTTGAACAATATTAAGTTGTAATTTTTAGCCTTTTCCAAATCATTCCATACAACAAATCCCTCCAAATGCAATTTTAATTTCAACTTGATAATTCCTTTAAAGGGGAAACTTTAACAGATTTAAGGTGGTGTTTATATGTTTATGTTACTATTTTTTCTTTTACCTTTTTTTTTTTTTTAATTATTAATAAGAATCTTGATTCTTGTCTGTTTACAATAATGTTACCAGTATTAGGTAACATGTCCTTATCAGATCAGTCCTCTTGGCAGATTTCCTGTTGGTCTAAGTCCAAACCAAAAATTCTACCAGATCAGCTTAATAAGTTATACATTGTACTGTAATTCTTTAGTAAGTTTTTAGTGTGTTATTATTGTGAATCAATATTTAAAGAATTAAGTTAATATACAACGAACTTTAGATGTTGGAACTTTTAATTTTCTTGGGATTAATTTTTTTTCAAAATACTCTTAAACTTCCTCTCTTTTTGGACTAAAAACTGACAGAAAAATATTTAAATATAAAGAATATACCAAGTCCTATATCTCAAATTGTTGAGGACGATCAAGTAGAAAATGACATCCTTAATCTAGCCAAGACCTGGTGTTTATGAGTAGTTCTTTTCTTTCTATAGTGTTTGATCTAATGCCTAAATATTGATCAGAAACATTCTGTACAAGCAGAGCAAACACTTGTCATGACTGATATTAAGAGAAAACATTTACATTTCATCATTGATCCTACATTTTAAAAGGTTTTCACAGATTGAAATGATATATCAACTGTCAAGACGTGTATTATAGGCTTAAATTTTAAAATGCTAGAATTGTATAAAACTCTGTAGTATCATTAAGTCCATACTAAAATCATTTACAACTCTAACAACAATATCAGAACTTGTTTAGTTACTGTGTTTTATATAACATATGTCAAACTTTTACTTCAGCCCCCCCCCCCCCTTTTCAGTAAGTTTGATAGAACATTGATACATTTGTGTGTACGTGTGTATTTATTTAGAAACTGCATGACTGCAGGTCTTCACTAAGGTGGCCATTTATAATATTTTTATCAGTTTTTAATTTGTTCTTCACGGACATTTTAATTTCTTAAAAAACACCTGGGCAAAATCAACCAAACTAAAGAACTTTTTTTTTTTTTAAACTTCAATCTGTTATCTTCAAACACCAACAAAAACTTGTATACATATAGATAGAGATTTGTTTAAACCAGGTGGCTACTGTGACCAGAATTGAGCCAGTAAAAGATAGATTTTTTATACAAGAATAGAAAAAAATAACAGCTGAAAATTCTCCTTTTTAGATCAACAATGTGCAGTTTTATACCTGCAACAAAGTAGCCCTCTCAATTATTTCATTGGAAGGGGGGGGGGGGGGTTTCTCCTGAAAACATTAGATTAGAAATATCAGAGAGGGCTACATTATTGCAGTTATAGCGTAGATTATGAAATTCATCTGAAAGTGATGCAAGCATCATCATGTAAAATAATTATAATGTAAATTCATTTTTTTTAATCTTCCCACTAGACAGAATGAAACCACAGATGGATATTCAAAAAAATTACTTAAAAAAAAATTACCAAATTGATATGCAAGTTTTCTTCAAATCATGGACATCTTGTTCTTTAAAGTATGTGGAAAATGATAGAATCTTTTTCCCAAATGATGTAATGTATACTTTTAATGAAATATGGGGAAAGAGTGTCTGAATGAGTTTGAGCTTTGATTCATAAGACCAAATTAATTTGAACATGAATTCTTGCCTTTTAGTGAGTTTTAGCAGCAGAAACTGCAGATTAATGGCTAACCTTCTTCCTATAATAGCAAATTTATAGTAAAAAAAAAAAAGTCTGTATTATGCTTAATTTAAAAAAGTTTATTTGACAATGGCAGATTTCAAATGAAGTCCTTTTGGAGCCATTAAGCTATTTCATAAGTTGATACAATTCAATATTTTTAGTGAAGGTTCAGGATTGTAGAAATAATACATGACTGCGTATTGGTCATTTCACCAATGAATTTCACTCAAGAGTACATTGTGTTTAAGGTGGGGTGCGTAGAACTGTGAGTGATTCAACATTTAGTAAGTATTATATGATGGGGAACATGGCATGTTTAACTTAGAAACTAATGGAATATACCATAAAAACATTAATCATTCTCAGATTTCTTTCTTGTAGTGCAATGTATGCATGTGTATACCTGTAGTATATCAGAAATCCATGAAAGCTTCAACAAGTTTAATGTACTTTAGATTTTCTTCTTTAATAACAGTGTTAGAAACTTATCAATTTTAGGTTATACAAGATTTTAAAAACAGTCATTTGTGATGTATTAGTATATAGCTATAACACTGGTCATTTAATCCAGATCGATATTTATGGTATTAAAAATTCAGTTCTTTTTATAGTTGACTCTTTAAATTCAGCACACAATTCTTAAAGACTTGATTTAATTAAATCTGAGTGTGCGTTGTTATATTTTAACACCTTGCATATGACGTTTTATATTGTACTGAATGATTTCATTCAGGCTTGCTTGTAGTTATTCAGGTCTTATTAATGTGTCAATGCTGAGATTTGAACATGAACTAACATTATTGACATAAGTATTGTGCTTTTGACATTAAATTGTTATCAAATCATAACCTGATTTTTCAACTGTGTAAATGTGTCAGTGTTTTTTTCCTTGTACTTTTAAGTAAAAAAGGGGATGGGGGTCTGCATATTGCTTCAGACCATTATTTTTAAATATTAAACTGATCAAAATACATTAATCTAGTTTTAATTTCATTTGTAAGTATAAATTTATCATGAAGGGTATCTTATTTTGGGTATTATACTAATAGTTGAATTTGTGAAAATTTTGAGTTTATAGATTTTAATTGGCATTATTTTTTTGTTATTACAGTTGCCAGTACCAGGGTGCAGGAGTTAGCCAAACACCGCACACCTAATCAGCATGGTTGGCGAGGCGACAGGTATATAGTGATGTCACCAGGACAGGTGGGCAGTATCCTGCTGGTGTCAAGCTTTGTACAACCATATTTTGAATGACCATTTAGAAAAACAACCATATTTTGAATGACCATTTAGTAAAATTAAATATTTTTTCTAAATACCTGTAAGAGGTCATTTTCCAGTATTTCACAAAGAATAATTATTTCATACTTCACAATTGCTGACCATTCAAATGACTTAGTAGTTGTTGCTGCACTAGTATGAGGTCTGTTATGCTACAGACATGTTCAACTACTTTGCTGCTGAAAGGGCACTAACAAGCAACGTAGCATTAACTTCTACATAAATTGAATGAAATTTGATGCCCATATTAGTTGAGAATTTCAATTAAAGAAAACTTCTTTTAAGATGTTCTCCCTTTTTTTTCTTTGACAGACCCACCCCTATCTGGGCAGTACGTGATGGGGCTAAGAAGGCAGAAGCTGGGCCCCGCCTGGTGGCCCTCAGTGAACACAAAGAACCCCATCCCCGCTATCTGTTTGACAGGACTGCCTACATGACAGTGTGTATCATAATTATTGATATCAATTAGTGTCTTCATTCTTAATTCATAAATTTCAGATAAGTTACCTGTTTTCTGAAATTTGCTCCTGCTGTATTAAACTAGTATTACATGTAGTGGGGGCACTTTTATATGTACATGTACTCTGTACAGGACTGCCTGTACATTTCAGGGGTTTATTGTATTAGCTGTGTTGGATTATTAGTATTGACTTTTATCTTCAGATGAAAATTCATGATATCATTAATTCAGCATTCAAAGACTGGAATTTTCAATTTTATTGATTTCATACAAATTGTACATTTTTAAGTTTGACAATATAATAGACTTAAAACAACTGAATGACAATCTATTTTAAAATTTCCTAGGAAAGTTCTATCAATCAATATAATTTTTCCCCACATATTGAAAATTCAAAAAAATTGGATGTTTCATATTTGATAACAAATACAGGTACTCTAACAGACCTGAGAGCAGATAAGGATAGAAACTTAAAATGCTGGTGCTACTATTTATAAATTTATAACATATGATTCAGTGTTTAAATAATCACCCACTGCAATGGTTAAATTGTATTTCAGATGCCGCTTATCACAGTATGTATTCAAACGTAACCAGGACTTTGGTAGCTTGATAAATTGACAAACTTGTATTGCTTTATCATCGGAAAACCCCAGTTGATTGCAATGTGTGGGAGAGAGAAACCCATTGTAATCAATTGTGGTTTATGATGTTGGTACTGCTTAATATAACTAGGAATTGGAAGAGGAAATGTATCTATTACTATACACACATATATATATAAACTTCAAGGTTTTTGCAGTGAATTTATTCAAAAATTAAATTAAGTGAATGCATTTGTTTTCCGTTGGGTAGAATTTATTTTATGGGATTGGGCATGAGGGTAAACATTTGCATGTAGTAATTAAAGCTTATCAGTTTTTAGAATTTTGGGGAATTTATTTAAATTTTTTGCATTTAAATCAAAATATTAAAAAATAGCTTTTTTTTTTTAGAAAGCTTACAATAGTTATTAATGACAATAGACAAAAGATTATGCTTTAATTTCTAAAATTAACAACAGTATATTTCATAATCTGATCTAAAAACTATAACTGTACAAAATTACAGCTAAACCTAATCTTTAACTCGATGGAGCCAAAAAGAAATCTGAGAAATCAAGGTCAAAAATACATAAAGAAAAATATGTCACTGACACGCAAAAGAAACCCAACAAACAATTTAACTACCATCTGAATATTTTAATCGAATGATATTCACAATTTATCACAGATGTTAACCACAAGAAATAACTTGATTTAAAAACACTGAAGATTTGATTGAAACATTGAATGTTATTTTTTAACTTTAGAAAGTAAAAGGTCACCTCTACCCCCCCCCCCCCCCCTTCCAAATTGAATTATAGTATGTCCTCCATGCACAACAGTCACATCTCAGATTCTATGACACTGAGTTCATCACTCTCAGCTGATTTTAGTGAAAGAAATAGTCTTCCAGTCTTTCTGAAGTGCCTGTTTCTCAGATGCTGAAGTCAAATTCATTATTTCTGGCACAACGTATTAACCCTTGGTCTTCCCCTCAAGCTAGTGAGACGTAAGAACATGATGATATGTGATAGAGTGCATTTTTGCATCTGCAACTCTTTTGCAACTTCATTTTGAAAATTTCCTGCTAGGAGCAATTGGAATGGGCACTTATAGTCATTTTCAGGAAGCCCTAACTGGCATCACTTAAAGAAAAGAAATGAGAATTCCTTTTGAAGAATAATGCTACAATACTTATGATGAACAGAAACAAACTCTGTAAATCCAAATTATAGCCAAATTATTTTCTAATAAACATGCAATTTATGATTTCTGTTTGATATGGCTAAGACTTTGATCTGATAATGGGATAAAAATATCCAACCATTTAATTACCAATTACGCAGAGTTGAAGATGTCTTTACTAATAAATTAGAAAATTATACTCAATATCTGAATTTTTTTTTCTCTAAAAATAGGATGTTGCATTTCTTTTGCATGTCAGATTATAATGAAATATCAATGTTTGAGATACTAAAAACCAAGTGTATTAATGTCTCTTCTCAAATTTGTTAAACAAGAACTCTGTTGATATTTCATAAACAATTATTTTTTTAATGAAAAAAACTTTTTTATTACAAGTACAAGTATTCTTAATTAGTTGGCCTTTCTGACTATATTTGACAATACATGTACTGTAAAGCAATGTAAACTTTGTAATCTTAACATTTGTAGCTCAACTGAATGTCTTAATACCAGCTCAAATTCACTTTATGAGTGACATGTATAGCAATTAATAGCCATTCTCTGTAAGCATTTAAACTCTTATATAGGGAGTGTGGCACGCTAGGTCTTAGATTTTTATGAAAATTGGCACACATTCCTATATTGATGTATGAAACTAAAATTCATAATAAAATGGTTGCTATGGTCCATGGTTACCATGGCAACCAACATACATTTTTCATGGCCGAAAAAAAGCTAAATTTTGATGAAAAATGACCCTTTTTGACTAATTAAAAGTCTTTAATACAACAAGATATTTACATGACTTTATCTTTTTGCCAAAATACATCATTTTTATAGTTCTTCAGATAATTTCTAGTATTTGAGTAACTTTACCTAATAAAAAAAATATCGCCCGTTTTTAGGTAGGATTTTTCTGTGGAAAAATTGTAGATTTTAGGCTCTTTTGAAAAGCCTGGTATAAAATTTTGCGGACATATGGGAATAAATAAATACATTGGTTTGAAAGTTCATATATAGTTCTAATATAAACTGCAAAGAAACACTTGGTATTCATATTTTGTTTTCATGTTACCATGGTTACAAACTTATGCTTTTTTAAAGAATTCCAGACAAGGGCAATAGGTATCTACAATCAGTTTCCATATAAATACCTGAGTATTTTAAAATGGATTGAAACCAAATTTAGTTATGTGGTACACAATAGCAAAAACAAAGAGAAAAATTAATTTTCATGACAAAAGGTCAAGGTCAAATGGCTCGATTTAGATAGAAATTTAAGGAAACTGAGCACATTTTTTTCAGTGTCCCAACTAATACTTTTTTTAAACAGCATGAATAAACAAAATTACAGTTCTGGTGGACAATAACTACATGTAGCATCACCTGAATTGGTAAATATGGACAGAAGGTCAAATTCAAGGTCACAATGGTATAAAAATTGCCTTTTTGTCCCCCGCTTTCACTGAAAGTGGGGGATATTGATTTGGGTCTGTCTGACCGTCCATCTGTCCGTCAGTCTGTTTTTCTGTAACACTTAAGTTTCGGCCAATGTCTCGAGAAGCCTTTGAGCCTTTGCAATGAAATTTTGCATAAAAAATATCCCTGTGGCCTAGGGAAGACTCCCATTGATTTTAAGGTCAAAGGTCAAGGTCATGAATTCAGAAATTCAGTATGTTTAAACACTTTATTTCTGTGCGATATCTCAAGAAGCCTTCGAGCTTTTGCATTGAAATTTTAAACCACAACTCCCTATGAACTAATGAAGACCCCTATTGATTTCAAGGTCAAAAGGTCAAAGGTCAATGTCAAAAATTTATACATTCTGTTTGTGTGTTAAACTTTCATATCCGAGCGATATCTCAAGAAGCTTTTAAGCTTTTGCAATGAAATTTTATATCATTATATCATTATATCACTCCCTATCGTCCCGCCCGCTCCTTTTAAAGTGTCCCGTCCCCCCACCCCCACCACCCTACGACCACCACCCCTCTAGATCCGTACATGCTCTTCTTTTTTCCTTCAGCAGGGGACACAGATTCTCTGAATTAGCTTGTTAGTATTGCATTTATACTTGGATATTGTGAAAGCGTATCCTGTTTTATACTGAAACTGGTAAATAAATTGCATTCTCACCTTTAATTAGCTTGATGCATAATGTGAAAATGCTATGAGAATGTTTTTTAAAGGTCATTTATTGATAAAAAAATGTCGCCAAGTCAAAATATTGAAAGCCTATACACTTACCATATTGAGTGACTTGTACGTAGAGAATTGTGCTACATGCATGTAAAAACTCCTTTGTTGTTTTAAATTTGTAGACTAAGTCTTGTTCTAAAATGTACATTTTTGACCATATTCCACAGCCCACACTTTTCCAGTGACAATCAAATTATGTTTTCCTGTGACTTTTTTCAGAGAAGTTGACAGAAAAAGCCTAAATCCATTTTACTTTGCAATATTATTCTTAAAAACTTGAAAATTTAGAGACATTGATGATGAATATTTCAACCCAATTATGCATGGGTTTACACATAATAGATCTGCTTTTTCCCAAAATTTAATCAGTAATAATCTGTTGTAAAAATCTGCTGAACCTGTTCGGATAATCTGTTTTTGTGCTTTCTTGAATTTATGTCGATTGCTAAATTTGAGTTGGTTGGTAAGCTTGATGGAATCGTACACCTTATGGTGTGTAATGTAAACATAATTTCCAAAGTTTAGTCCTTGAAAATGTTGAAAATAAATAATCTGTCCCTGTATTCCTACGGTTTTCATTTTATTTAAAAAATGAATATAGAAAAGTAACCAATGACCAGGACTTACATGTACTCCACCCCTTCCAGGAACCATGTAAAAGCACTTACTCCACATAAATTGGTAAGAGGCATTTGTAAAAAAAAAAAAAAAAAAAAAAAAAAAAAAAAAAAAAAAAAAAAAAAACATGGATCCCTTGTAAAACGTTACGAAGCGTTATTTATAAATATTAAAGGAAGTGGTTCATTCATAAGTGATTAACCCACCCTGCGCCCATTCCCGAGGTATGTATTATTTTTATTTAATTTTATGATTTTTTTTTTTTTTGGTAGAAAGGGCTTGTCAGAAATTTATTTATGTTTTTGTTGTAAATAAAATACAGCTAGACAGATGTATCTTAGTCTAGAGAAATGATAAACTGTTAACTTTAAATATGTTTCAGACAATTTGTATTTCTATGCACAACCCCCCCCCCCCCCCCCCCCCAAAAAAAAAAAAAAATTGAAAGAATAATTTTGACTGTTCGACAGGAATCAAACAAAACATTTTTATTATTGGCCTTAACAATTTATTCTTTTTTTTATTATTGGATAAAGACCTTTCCTTTAAAGAAAATTCTTGCTTCAGCAAAATTATCAATTTCTTTGTAAATGTTTTCAAAATCATTGAATAAAAAAGCAAAATCTGAAATATACACATATAACTTTTCTCTTTTTTGTGATACAGATAAAGGCAAACAGTTAAAAAGGTTGAGTTTTCTCTTACATCCTTCATTAAAAACTGGTTTTTAGGTGTGGATTTTTTTTCTACATGTAGCCTTTAAATAGAGATAAAATATACTTTTTCGTTCTTTAATTTTAGGATGGGGGGTGTAAAGAGCATTTTTCCCCCAGTCAGATTATTTATTTTCGTGGTAGTGAAGGCCTGATTATTTATTTCCAAGATGATCCTGGACAAATTATTTATTTTCTGTTTCACCTAAAAAAAAGTCTGAAGAGCCAAAAAAAAAAAAAGGAACATGCCCAAACTCTGTTTCGTGGGGGGGGGGGGGGGGGGGGCAGGCACTTGTTTTGGTAATAATTTTTTTTATAGTATAATAATAATACTTATTATACTATGTGTTAAAAAATTATAACCAAAACAAGTGCTTTTGGGTGGGGGTGGGGTTGTAGCACTTATCAAGGATAGATTATTTATTTTCCTGTCAGTCGAGGACAGATTATTTATTTTCAACATTTTCAAGAACAAATTATCAGTTTCTAAAATCTGTCAACCCCCCCCCCCCCCCAAATCAAATGGTCCTCCCTTTAATGACAGGCATCAACTTACATCACTTCATTCAATTTAAACTTGATACACCTGTACTTTGTTGTTGCCAAGTCTATTTGTTATCCAACTTTCAACTTCCATTTTTGTATGATCATTTAAAGTAGCTTGAATTTATAATTATTTAGGTAAAATCAAAAGCCTACTTCTCTCACATTATAGTGTGATCTTGTACATTTCGCCATTGTTCACACATCAAAATTACTCTTTGGCATCCAGGAAATAAACAAAGAGGTTAAAATTTGTATGCACATCAAATAAACAGAAAAAAACACTTGATTTTACTTGAAATCCAGGATATATGTTGACAAGTAAACAACTTCCAGTCAGTTTTGTCCAATGATTTTTTTTTATCTCTCACACTAAAGAGCTCACAATTATCAAAGGGAGATAATTCAATTTTTAAATGAATGTCTGCTATTTTAATCATAGATTTATCACATTTATAGGCTGAATACCAACAATGTTTTTAAATGCCTTTTAAAATCAGATGTCATACTTTTTATTTCTGTGAGTATCATGAATTGAAGTAGCCGCATTTCATTGAATAACATTCCCAAAAATTGCATATTTTCAGAAAAAATCAACTTTAGACACCGTTTCCATGGTAACTACTCAACATTCATACGATCTAACAATATTTTTTGGAGTAGTTTATGACGTGGTAAATTCTAGCCAAAATTGAAAAAATTCTGTGACTATGCGTGCCACAAAAGTTTAAGTGGTTACAGAGAATGGCTATTAAGTCTTAACTGTCTTATTTTCAAAATTACGGACATGTAGATTTGTGGTGTTGAATGAGGAAACAGTATGTGTAATCTAAGGTAGACAACTCTTGGTTATGTACGAGTTAGATTCTTATAATGTTCATGTACAAAATTTTATGATATAAAATTAGAAATTAGACACCCCTAAGATGAGCACAAAAAATTGAATATCATTTAATTTCACTGATGTTCACCATGACATGTTTTTGATGTTATTTATATTGATGTATAGAGGTAGGAATCTGTCCTTCATAAATTGTGTAGAAATCATTAATAAATTAAAGTACAGTAAAGTTACATACTGGTATATTGTGTATTGCCTATCATAAATATTCTCTGTATATAATTCTGTTTTTACCTTTCCTATTGATATTTTTAAACATTTACTTGACAGGTAAGCGATGGAGCAACAAAAGCAACCCCTACAGAAAGATTGGATTTATTGTCCAAACCAAAAGATAGGAGAGATCGTGACAAATTTGGGGTCATCACCTTGGAAACATCATGGGGTCAATACAACCCAGTGTCTCCAGCTGCAAAGACCGCCCAGTGTACCCCACATGTAGAGTCTCTATCAGAGCCTAAAAAATACCACCCCCGCTTTGTTGGAGAAAAGCCAGTTCAGTGGAAAGTAGATGAGAGTGCTCTCAAAGCCATTGCCAATCTCCGACTACAACAACTCTGTCGACCAAGGAGTCGGACGATGATCAAAGATGATTACGATCCTTACAAAGTTTCCATGGCTGCCAGACGTGCTCATGCTACTCCACGAGTAGAAGAACTCTGTGTACCTATCCCTAGAAAAGTTCGGGTCAAAAAAATAGTATAATGGACAGTGTTGTCAGATGGTTGTTAAGTTGTTGTCATCCTTGTTTGCTTCTGGTGATTTTTTCCTTCAACTGAATTGAATGATACTACTTAAAGAAGATATGTTTTTTTAATGCTCAAGATTTAAGGATTATAGTATTGTACATGTTTTCCTGCCAACATAGCTATTTTATAGATGTAATATTGTATCATTTATTTATATAGTCTGTGATACTTTATATGTTTACTCATTGAAATTCTCTGCGATTTAAAAATAACATTTCAGTTTTATATTTAGTTTATTTCACCAAAATGTTTAAAACTTATCTTGGGTTTTCTTGCCATATATCATATTTTGTTTTCAAAAATTGATCTTCACTTTCAATATTGTTTAAATTATAGTATATCATGTTGATCAAGTAGTGTGGTTATTTATAAACTAATGAAGAAATATCATTTTCAAGGTTTTAGAACAATCAAAACAATTCATCAAATTTGTAACTGTTATGCCATTTTTTCGAAATTGTGAATTGAGAATATAAGTTTACCAAACTTTACCATTCATTCAATTTTTTTTTTTCAAACAAAGGAGACTTGCAGTGTCAGATAAGGAGAGGGGACTCATGGTTCTAATTTTATAGTCGTTTTTCATAATGAAATAATTATCATAATTTGTTACCTTATATGTCATGTCTTATTTCTGTGTTTTATATAGAAATCTTCAGTATTATTAGATGACAAAATTTGTCACAGTATTATGTTCTGTACAGAAACAGTGTAGGTAGATGTTGCCATAATGTTTTCAAGTAAAATTTACTCAACTAGAGAAAAAAAAATGAGGGTGCAAATTTAAGCAGTATTAAATGTAGACTGAGGTAATTATTGTTTAAAAAATGTATTGATTGTGTAGGATATTTTTCAGTATTCTCTTTTGATATGAATTTGTTCTAGTGTTTGAACTGGTCCAAGTATTTAGATGATGTTATATTTACAAGATATACATGTACATGTATATCAATGTTGAAAACTGTTTTATGTTAAGACATGGTATGAAAAGTATTTTATAAAGTTATTTTTCATATATAACATGCATCACACTAGGAGTAGATATTTGTTGTGATATTTTTTTGTATTTTCTCTGAAAGGTTTTGATGTATTTTTTATCATTAAAACATGATAAATTTTGTTGTCCTGTTACTCAAGTTTTTTACGGTGAAACTACCATTTAATTTATTTATTCTCTCAAACAATTAATGGTACATGAGGTTCTATGTACAATATACACAAAGAAAATATACAAGATACAGGTACCGCGTGAAATGGAGGAAATACATACGTATAAAGTAAACATGGTAAACAAAAGTAACTACGGAGGACATACTTGTTCATATACTTTAGATATGTATATGTAACTGCATGATTAACACACAGGAGTCGGCAGTTGACAATAATTGCGAGAATTAGTAAAAATTAGGTCTATTACCATATTATTCAGGTAGATACTTTTTCCGGCATTACAAGCACTTTGAAAGAAAAATTCTCACATGAAATCAAGATTGACACACCATTAATTCAATTCACTTTATTGACAATTTGATAGACAAAAACATTATAAAGCATGCAAATCTTATATAAACATAGCACCAGTGCATGTATTTCCATCAGAATCAAGTCCTCGCTTCAATTTTTCATTTCTTGGCATTCTTTTTTTTCAGAACTTGCGTTTTATGACTAATTATGCCCTCTATGCTTGAGAAGATTTTTAAATATTTTTTAAAAGTGGTGCTTAAAAATTCTTTTGAACTAATTTGAATACCCTTTATAGCATAGGTTAAACATACTCAAATGCAAATCAAATATGTTGGTACCCAAAGTAAGTTCTCGTCCCGAGGAATATACCTGTGAAGTATGAAATCCCTAGCAGCAACCAATGAAAAGATATGGAAAAGGTTTAAGTTTTTCAAAAGTAAGTCAAACATCAAGGTCAAATGGTCCAAAATTAATGGTGCCCAAGGAAAAGCCTTTTCACAAGAAATACACATGAGAAATATGAAAGCCCTAGCACCAACTGTTCAGAAGAAATGGCCAAGTTTAAAGTTTTCCAAAAGTAGGTCAAACTCCAAGGTCAAAGGGTCAAAGTTGCTGGTATCCAAAGGAAGGTTCTGTCACAAGGATTACATATGTGAAGTATGAAAGCCCCTGGCACCAACCGTTCAAAAGTTGTGGCCAAGGTTAAAGTTTTCCAATAGTTGGTCAAACTCCAAGGTCAAAGGTATCCAAAGGAAGGTCTTCTCATAAGGATTACACATGTAAAGTATGAAAGCCCTAGCACCAACCGTTCAAAAGTTATGACCAAGGTTAAAGTTTTCCAAAAGTTGGTCAAACTCCAAGGTCAAAGTTGCTGGTATCCAACGAAAGGTTCTGTCACAAGGATTACATATGTATAAAGTATGAAAGCCCTAGCACCAGCCGTTCAAAAGTTATGTCCAGGGTTAACGTTGGGTAAAATTCTGCAAAACTGGGTCAAACTCCAAGGTCAATGTCAAAAGGACAAATATGATGGTACCCAAGGAAAGGTCTTGTCACAATTTTAAGGAATACACATATGAAATAGGAAAGCCATAGCTCCAACCAATAAAAAGTTATGGGCAATGTTAAAGTTTTTGCGGACAAACAGACAGACAAACAAACGGACGGACAAGGCAAACACTGTATACCCCCGAATCTTGGATACGAGGGCATAAAAACAGCTTTGAAAAAAGTGACAAGTGGCAAGTGACAAGTCGATATCTTCCTGAAAATAATCAGTCTAAAGAATTTCTTGGATTCAACAAGTGAAAAACAACAAAAAAAAATCTTTAAAGGAATATTCATGTTATTAATTAGTAGGGTTTTGAGATTAAATACAAATTTCTCAAGAGTAATCTATCCTATTATCGCATCATTTCTCATTTAAATCTTCTGAGGAAATGTCATAAATTCACAGAAGTCCCCGTCTGCGTTCATATTTCTTAACCGGTCAATTAAGGTCAAAGTTTCCTGAGTAACATTACTATTTACATATAATTTCGCGTTATAACGCGAAAGTTTCGAGTTTATTCGCGAAAGTTTCACGTTATAACGCGAAAAATATATTTTTTAACCAACGAAAATGAGCTCAATCGGCTTTCGTATTATTCTACCCCCAAGGACCAAACAAACTTTTTATGCCCCCGGATCGGAAGATCCCGGGGGTATATTGTTTTTGTCCTGTCTGTCTGTTTGTCTGTCTGTCTGTTGTCAACTTTAACCTTGCCCATAACTTTTGATTGGTTGGAGCTATGACTTTCTTATTTCACATGTGTATTCCTTGTGACAAGACCTTTCTTTGGGTACCATCATATTTGACCTTTTGACCTTGACCTTGGAGTTTGACCCACTTTTGCAAAATTTGGCCACAACTTCTGAACGGTTAGAGCTAGGGCTTTCATACTTCACATATGTAATCCTTATGACAAGACCTTCCTTTGGATACCAATCACTTTGACCTTTTGACCTTGACCTAGGTGTTTGACCTACTTTCGAAAAACTTTAACCCTGGCCATAACTTTTGAATGGTTGGTGCTAGGGCTTTCATACTTTACATATGTAATCCTTGTGACAAGACCTTCCTTTGGATATCAACAACTTTGACCTTGACCTTGATGTTTTACTTACTTTTAAAAGACTTTAACCTTCCCCATAACTTTTGAACAGTTGCAGCTAGGGCTTTCAAATTTAACATTTTTTTTATCTTTTGGCCTGGATTTTGACTTGCATTTGAGAAACTTTAACCTTCGCCATAAGCTGCCATACGGGGGCATCAGTGTTTCACAAACACATCTTGTTTGAATCTACATTACCTGCTTAGTCCTTGAATAATACCATTTATATTGAAATGAAGACTTTCAGCCCCATCCTACCCCTGGTAGGTTTGTTATTTATTTATTTTATTTATTTTTGTTTTGCTTGTTTGTTTTTGGTTTTGTTTTGTTTTGTTTGTTTGTTTGTTGTTTTTCTTTTTGGCTTGTCAAAATTCCCCAGTCTGACATTCTTTAGAGTTGATGTGGACCCCCTTACCCGGAAAAAAAATCCTTGATTCGCCCGTATTCATATCGACCAAAACCAGTTTTGCCTGTAGAATTTAGCGTTTCTAAATGATGATGAGTGCATTTTGTACATATAATGCATCAAGGAAAATATCTTTGTTCTTGCAATTTGTTTTAACAGTTTATTGCTTTTTGACTGCAGCAAAACGCACAAACTTGGAAAGACAGTGTTCTATACCATCTACCATAATGGTTTCCATATCTTCTTTTATAGTTATGGTTGTCATAAAAAATCAATCCATTCATACTTTTATGCAATTATGACCCATTAATTCTTTGGTAATTTTAAACGGAATTATGTACCTATAAATATATCAGAGTACTTCAAAACATTAAAGCGGGTCCTTCGGATGAGACCTTAAAAACCGAGGCCCCGTGTCACAGTAGACGTTGGCACGATAAAGATCCCTCACTGGTCAATGGCTCTGAATGCCGAGTAATATTAGTTATCCAGGTCCAATCAAGGGTGTACGGGGATTTATCCCGGGGTTAAATATTCCATACACCATGAGGCCTCAGGGTGTATGGAATAAAATCCGGGGTAAATCCCGTACACTCTTGATTGGACCTGGATAGCTAATAAAATTTGAAGCCTTTCACCGGTATATTACGGAAGCCGGTTGGTGCCAGGTAGAAAAAATATTTTATCTGGCGGCCGCCAGAAAATTATGTGGCGACCGCCAGATAAGTTTCTGGCGGTCGCCACTTATTTATCTGGCGGCCGCCAGATAAAATATTTTTCTACCTGGCACCTACCGGCTTCTGTAGTATATAGTGACGTCTCTATATGAATGAAAAATTCTTGAATGAGAAGTAAAACAACATACAATCAATCAAAACATTAAAGTGAGACCGAAGATAATCATACTTTCTGCTATAATGAAAAAATAATCTATACTGAAATTTTAATATACTTTCAGTCAGTGTATTTCGTTTCACAGCGCATGAACAAAATCATTAAACTAGAAAATGAATATCAGATGTATTTAAAAGTTCATTTATTGTTTGGGCCTCATCATCATTCTGGCTTTCTTCAGAGATACATTTTCATTACCGAATTTGCTCCATACCACGCCGGCCCATCCCTTTACTGCTGAATTATGGTAAGCGGCGGATAAATTTGCATAGGAGCACGAATTGTACCACCAAGCACCTTTACGGTCAGACGCACAGTTACCTCCATATGAGTCATTATCGGAATCTTTAGTGGTAAATAGTCTGCCATTGTTATAAGCCAAACCATCGCCTACAAAATCCCAATATAATAATATCTGTAAAATACATATATATGGAACAAAACTATCAAAAGTAGTGGCTATGTAGATAGACCAGAAGTTTCTCTCATGAGACTGGAGCCCTACTAGTTAGGGCTTTTAAGAATTATGAACATTGGTTTAGTACAGTTTTATTTGGGACCAAAATTTATTTAAATCTTTAGCAGGAGAAGTATTCTAAAAGAATTTCACACATTATTTCATTGATAATATAACCACTGCAACATTGTGGAACAAAATAAACAAGAGGCACACGGCATATTATGGGCCACAACGCTCATCTGACTCACTTTGGTCCCGCTGTTCTGCATCAGATCCCCACCCCCACCCCCCAAAAAATACATGTATTTTTCTGTATTTTTGATCGTCTTTTGTGGCCTCACCCTTCATACTGGGGCTGTGATTTGAACAAAATTGGATCTACACTACCAGGGGATGGTTCGATCCATATTAATATGATTCATCATGGATTTGCTCTTGAAGAGTTTGAAAGATTTTTCCCTATATAATTCCACCTGACTCCCAGGGGTCATAATTTGAACAATTTGGAATCTCCATTACCTGAGGAAACTTTCAAAGTTTTAGCTTTCCTAGTCCAGTGGTTCTTGAGAAAAAGAGTTTTAAAGATTTTTTTCCCAAAATATTTCAATGTAAAACTTGTATTCCCTATTGTGGCTCAACTTTACCCCGAGGGGGCATGATTTGTACAGTTTAGAATCTACACTACCTCAGGAAGCTTCCAAATACGTTTCAACTTCCCTAGTCCAGTGATTCTTGAGAAGAAGATTTTTTAATGACCGCACACTATTTTTGCCTTTTCTTGATTATCTCCCCTTGAAAGGAGGGATTAGCCTTATTGTAGAAATATTTTTTAAAATTCGCATTTTAGTTTACTTCGCATTAGCTGTCGTGTGAGCGCAATTTTAATTCGCATTAGTTTAATTCGCATTATTTTACTTCGCAATAATTTACTGCAAATTAAACTCTCCGTGTGAACAGGGCATTAAATAGAAACGCGAATTGAACCATAGAATTCACTAAATCACTGTAAATATTATAAGGCATTCAAATAATAATAACATAGATCTTCTTATTTTCAATCACTTCTGACTTGTTAAAAAATCCAAATCTTCCTCTGAATATGCAATATATTTTCACCTGCGTTTCCACTAAAGCCACCCACGTTTAGTTTATACTTATTTGACTCGGCTCCAATGGAGAAGGTAGAGTATTTGGCGTACGCGGTTTTCCCAGAAAATTTCTCAAGGTCGACCCTTAGATCCTGTCCATGCTTTACTGAGAGTGAATGAATGGCTTCATTTCCTGCAATATAAGGGAGAAAATCTGTTTTGGACAGAGATGAAAGCATTAAAAGAAATTAAGCCTATGCTATGTATGTCCTAAAACATGCAATGAAGGAACAAATACTTCTCGTTACAAAAGCCTCAAAATGCTAGTTTAATCACTCAGAGTCCTGTACTTCCAAATAAGTTATTATTTGAAAGCTTTTTGAGAAAGTCAAACTAAAGCAATTACAGGTCCCACATCGATACAAGTTTCTGACCAAGCAATTGTACATGACATATATATTGAAGTATATTTTTCTTGTCGACAGTAAAACGGAGTGTGAGCCTACCATGGTTTTCCAGCTCCTTGTTTTAACAATAAAAGATAAATATATTTGAAAAGATGTTACCTAACCAGTATTCAGCATCTGGATAGCCAAATCCAACCTTATAGTCCTTCCAATCTCGGTCAAAATTTACGGTTCCGTCAATTCTTTTTAAGAAAACCTTTTTAAGAAATGTAAAAAGTAGTTTTTCTTAATATTGTGAGTTAAATAAATTTCTCTTCTGGAAAAAAAAATGTTTACCGCTATATTTTTTTTTCAATCTATTAAGCTTCTTCAAAAAGATCTGCTTCTTTAATAAAAATAGAACTCAAAAAATTTTATCTTGTGATTAGTCATTTACAAAATCAAATTGTGCTTTTTACTAGTTGACCTATTTATGTATTCTTGTACAGAATTTATTCAAAAACTTCTACACGAGAAGCAAAAAAAAAAAAAAAAACAAAAAAAAAAAAAACAAAACAACTCTTGCTGTGGGCTTCAGTTTGACACTTACATATATAGACAATGTTTTGTCAGTTAACAATATCCATTTTCATTCTCATACTGACTCATAGACCTCGAAATAGAGTCTGTCTCACTTGGTTCATATTTGGATGTTTTACTGAAAATGGACTTCATTGGCAAACTAATACATGTAACTTTTAGCTACATATACATGTATGATGACTTTACCATCGTCGACTTCCAATATTCATGTAGCAGTATTTCATTATCACCTTTTTACATTTATCAACTTCAAACTGATGATAACTAATACCAAATAAGTTGATGTTACAGTGGTAACAACACTCTTGTTTAAGTCAGCATTTACCAAATTCTATTGTCGTTACAATGACCTTTTAGCATATTTACAACGTACCAATCTTTGACCGATATGCTTCATGCCGATTGTTAGAACTGATGTTAGAATTAATTTTGACTACAGTTCACTCTGTCTACCTGATCGATACAAGGGTGACCAGTCGACAGGGGATGCTAACTTCTCCCAGACACTATCCCTGTTGCCTTGTTCTTGATTTGTATTGGTGATATGATTTATGATATCGATCACTGTTCGTTATCTTCACCTGTTTCTTTGTTAAACACAAGCTATTAAGACCCATGGCAACATTGCTATAGTAACATTGATGTATAGAAATGACACACCGTCCATCCCCCTCCGTCTGTCTCCATGTCACAAAAAACTCTTTTCTTCGTTTTCATATCTGGATAGATGGTGTACACGCCATTTCGTCTCTTCGTATTTGGTATAGATTTCAAGATAGCAGCACAATCTCTGTGTTTCTTGAGAACTGTAATTTTAAACAAGAGGCCCACGGGCCTTAACGGTCACCTGAGTATAATACAACAAAGTTAAGTAAAAGAACTGACAGATGACGCTATGTTGGTCTAAAGAAAGAGAAATAAGATGAATTCAGGGATCAACAAAATAATCAGTACGCTGTAGCGAATCTTAGACAAGACTATTGTCACTATTACCATGCAGACTAAAGAAAACAATAGTGCTTAAGCACTAAACAATTATGCTTACTGAATAATCACGATTACTTAATCTTATCCCATTCCCTCTCACATTGGCCTCTCTTAGTTTTTGAAGAACAGTTAATGAGATTAAATTATCTTTGTCTCATTTTTATTTATCTATTATTTATAAGTCTTTCTGAAACTATGAAAGTATTTTTTTATTGTACAATAAAATTCTTGTATAATTCTCTTCTTCAATTGACCTTTCAATTACATTTGTCCGTCCTGTCAGATTTAGAGGGGGGCAGAGCAATTTCACAATTTTAGAAGAAGCACCCTTTCTCATCATAACTATACACTTTGCTTAATAATCAGAAGCAGAGGAAAAGATTTTCAAAAAATAATGAATTTTCACTATATGATCTATAGAACCCCCCTTACCCCCCCCCCCCCCCCACCCCCAACCCAAAAACCCTTGGCCCTGTGGTCACTGATTTCATAATTTTGGAAGAAACATTCTTGCTCATAATTATGCTCTATATTTATCTGCTAAATACCCAGGAGCAAAGAAGATTTTCAAAGAACCAATGCATTTTCACTATATAGTCAATGGAACCCCACCCTAACACCAGAACCCCTGGCCCAGAGGCCATGAAATTCATAATTTTAGAATAGGTACATCATAACATTTCATTTTATTTATTTACTTAGTTTCCCAGGAACAGAGAAGAAGATTTTCAAAGAAATAATGCCTTGTCACTATATGATCTATAAAGCTCTTTCCCCAGAACCCCTGACCCTTGGACTACAAATTTAAAATTCTTGAAGAAGCATTTTTCCTCATTATAAAAAATGCATTAAATTCATCTGCTAAATACTAGTACCCAAGAGCAGAGAAGAAGATTTTCAAAAAATTGATGCAATTTTCACTATATAATTCATAGAGCCCCATCTCAACACAAGAACCCCTTGCCCAGGGGCCATGAAATTCACAGTTTTGGAAGAGAAACCAATGCCCATTATAACAAATACATTTACAGTTGAACTTCGGTATCTCGAACACAGATATCTCGAATACCATGGATATGTCAAAGTGATTTTGAGGTCCCAAGCACTTATTTCTTAAGTATTTTACCCTGGATATCACAAATCCTCAGATATCTCAAAGTATCTTGGTCCCTTGAAGTTCGAGATAACGAGGTTTGACTGTAGTTTGTTTACTTAATACCCAGGATCAGAGATTTTTCAAGAAATAAAGCATTTTCATTATATAATCAATAGACCCCATCCCTAACAAAATTCCCCACCCTTGGGCCACAAATTTCACAATACTAAGAGAAGCACCCTTGCTCATCTTAAATATGCACTTAGTATAACTGCTAAATACCAAGGAGCAGAGAAGAAGATTTTCAAAGCAATATTGCATTTTCACTACATAATCAATAGAGTCCTGTCCTAACACCAAAACCCCTGACCCAGAAGCCATGAAATTCAAAGTTTTGGAAGAGGTAACCTTGCTCATCATAACTATGCACATAATTTGTTTGCTTAGTACCCAGCTCATCCTAAATATGCACTTAGTATAACTGCTAAATACCCAGGAGCAGAGAAGAAGATTTTGAAATCAATAATACACTTTCACTATCTGATCTATAGAGCCCCACCCCAACTCCAGACAGGGTTGGGGTCAATTACTTTGAAATGTAATTAAATACTTTCAACTCACTCATCATGGCTTTACTGTTCTTGAGAAGATTTTTAAAGATTTTCCCAATATATTTCTATGTAAAACTTTGATCCTCCATTGTGGCCCCGCCCTACCCCAGGCTGGTCATGATTTGAACAAACTTGAATCTACACTACCTGAGGATGCTTCCCTATAAATATTACTCATCATGTCTTTGCTGTTCTTGAGAAGAAGATTTTTAAAGATTTTTCCTATATATTTCGATGTAAAACTTTGTTCGTCCATTGTGGCCCCGCCCTACCCCGGGGGTCATGATTTGAACAAACTTGAATCCACACTACCTGAGGATGTTTCCACATGAGTTTCATCTTTCCTGGCCCTGTGGTTCTTGAGAAGATTTTTAAAAGATGCTATTAATTTTTCACTAATTCTTAATTATCTCCCCTTGGAAAAGGAATGGCCCTTCATTTGAACAAACTCTTCAGCCAAGGATGCTCTGTGGCAAGTTTGGTTGAAATTGGCCCAGTGGTTCTGGAGAAGAAGTCGAAAATGTGAAAAGTTTACAGACAAGACGGACGGACAAAATGTAATCAGAAAAGCTCTCAGCTCAGGTGAGCTAATAACTGTAAAATGTGACTGTGTTGGAAATATTTTCCTGTTAAATACACATAATATGTATTATGTAAAGTAATTGAAATGTAATTGAAAAGTAATTGAAATTACAGGGTATTTTTTCTGAATGTAATGAATTATATTCAATTACAAGTAATTGAAAAATTGGTCAATTGCAAATTACTTCCAATTACTTTGAAAAATGTACAGTAATTAATTACACTCAATTACAATTACTTTTTTTCAATTTCCCCATCCCTGACTCCAGAACCCCTGACCCTGGGGCCATGAATTTCAATTTTGGTAGAGGCATCAAAGCTCGTTACAATCATGCCAACAGTTTGATTGACATCCAGGAGTAAGGAAGAAGATTTTTAAAGATAGCACTAATTCTGATGATTTAGCCCCACCCCTCAGGGCCCGGGGGGTGGGTATCAAGAAATTCATAATTTTTGTCTGTCCCCCTTCATCCATTGAAGCTATCTGCCAAAATTGGTTGAAACTGGTTCAGCGGTTCCAGAGAAGATACTGAAAATGTTGAAATGTTAACGCATGATAAATGACGCACGATGACAGACAAAAACAGATAGCAATAGGTCACCTGCTAACTCAGGTGACCTAATAACTTATTCCTGATCAAATTCCATCATTATCAAAATAAATAACTTTCAAAATAATATTCCACGCTTAATTGATCTGGATTGATGATGCCTCATAAACATTTTATTTTCATTTCCTTTATCACTTTATTGCTTTACAGTTCAGCTTACTGTTGAGCTTGTTTAGACGAGTCTTGGTCAGTCTGTAGTGAGATATAAGTGAGATATCCACAGATAACGGCGATTCCACTTTCACTGAGGTATTCAGGTGATTCCATTTCCAAGGTGTCTTCTGGATTAGGATGTCCTCGACATGACCTTAAGTATCCAGATAAGTGTGTGTTTTAATACTCTTTCTCTCTCTCCCTCTATATCTATCTATCTATCTATTATACAATTAATGCAGCCTCTATATATATAGAGAGAGAGAGAGAGAGAAAGGGGTCAGCAGCAGCAACAAACTCAAGTTTGAATTCATCACGAGTTTAATTATATACCTCGCGTTAAAAACAGAAATACTATTTTTCCACCAGTTGATGGAAACAAAAATAACCCATTACACCCATTAATGTGATGGTCTAGAGAGGGGTCAGGACCCCCAACCCCAAAATGGGTTTTTCAGTTAGGAGTTGCTCTAGCTTTTTTTTTTCCTGGAGTGGATGTGGACACCTACACTTAACCCCCCCCCCCCCCCCCCCAAAAAAAAAAATTCCTGGACCCGTGCATTCCATCCTTATTACTTCCCTATCAGTGAAACCGGAGGGGGCAATAGGTTTCCTCCCCCGTCTGTATGTATGTCCCACTTGGTTTTCCACAATTTTTTTTAAACGCTGGTAAATCTTGAGCTGATTTTTGGTATGTGAGTGTATATCTTGTTGAGTTAGTTTCCTTCAATGGTTTTTGATGGATCGATTCAAATTATGACCTTTTTAATTTCCATGGGGAACCAGATTTATCACTTGGTATTCCATACTTTTTTATAAAACACTTGCAGATATTAAGCTGCTTTTTGGTATGCGAGTCTTAACTTGATGAGTTAAAGATCAAGTTTACATTTTATTCCGCTTTAATATTTTGGGGAACCAGATTACACTTGCCGGTAAGGGACTACGTATTGCTTAAGGATAAATAACACAAACTTTTTCAGAAATCAGCAAAATTTCTCATATACAAGATTTTTATATTCATATATGATCTGAATAATGTTTGCCGTGTAAAGCGGGAGAATTTTGTAAGATTTTATCACAATGTTAAAACTAAGTGCAAAATTTTGTATAGAATTATATAGAAACCAAAACAAAGTTGCATATTTTAGCACCAAACAAAACTTACAATTTCTTTATATGTTAGGGATTTTATTATTTATGTCATTTCTATTCAAAATCAGTCAAAAAATATATATCAATAGAGGCATCTTTTCTTTTTTGTTTGTGTTATGTATCCTTAATATGCAATACTCTCAATTTGCTTGTTCATAGTTTTAAATATATGATTTATATTAATACCAATTTCATTTTATTCATTAGCCAAAATGAAATACTGTGCATTTTTAAATCAATTCCAAATAACATCATAGTAACAGTAAAATGTCAAATAAATAAAACCTTTTACCTTTTAAAGAAGCATGCTGTTGAACTCCAAAAGTGATTTGAATGCACAGTATTGAACAACACACAGGCAAAAAATGGGTCATTATAATTACCATTGTTATGAAACTGGAAACACAAAGTTAAACATATATATATACTAAATAAACTTTTTTCAGTCATTAAATTGTCATCTGATACTGGGACAATTTGATAGTGTTTGCAGCATATTTTGTTTTGTTTTTTCGATCACGAGTTAATAAACATACAAACGTATATAAACTGACTTCTTTATTTACTCATCAGTTTTCCAGCATCAAAAATATAATTTAAAAAAAAACATCCATTCAACATTTTCGAAAAGAACAATTGGAGATGTAAATTAAAGCTCATTATTCCTCTGTTCAAATAATATTTCGCTTTTACGCTAACGATTTTTCAACAAAAACCTAAATAATTTCTATTCATTAAATACAACTAAATGTACTACTTCAATTCAATGTAATTAAGAGATGTATCTTTAATTCATTACAAAAAAGTTGAAAATAAAACCAGTTTTATTTGGATCAGAGTGAGACCTGTTACCATAACACAGTAAAATCTTATATCTAAAAATCCAAGCTCACATTTTGTTCTATAAAATATGCTGACACAGTTACTTTGTGTCATTTGTGTTACACATTCATTTTCCTTCAGCCTATAAATTTCATCAACTGCATAATGTCAACAATGTTAAGACTGAGAATATGAACACTACATGGTAGTCTTCTGATGTTAACATCAACTAGATTTCTTTGTCCTCTTTTCTTGGCGGATTTTTTTGTCTATATATCTCTTGAGTTCTTTGTTTTCAATTAAATCTTCTTTCTGGATTGGGTTTTCATTCATACAACCACTCACTGGACATCTGGTAAGAAAATTTTACATAAAATTTTTTTAATCTTAAATTTTTTTTCCAAACTGTGAGTATTATACACAAATTCAGTAAGTGTCCACCTATCAATCAATTTCAAGGTTAATTTATTACAATTTTCATTAAACTGATCCCTCGATTCAATAAAGAGTTTTTAAATAAATTACCACCTCCAAAACATCTCTACTGAAAACTTAACAACATCGTCGAAAACCCACGGGTGATCTCGTCTTTACTCATCACCCGTGGGCTAACTCACCGAAAAATCGTCGTATGTAATTAATATGCGTGGGTCATTTGATTGGCTGCTGAACAAAGTCGCGATGGCAAATCAACGAATTAAAGTTCAGGTTATGTATGTATGTTCGGCAATGCCAAAACCATTCCGTAGTTAACAGACCCTAGTTAACACACCGATTGCTAATAAATCCACTCACCGGTGCATTTTGCAGTTTGAAAAAGGTACTCCCTTACAATTTCTGACTGGTATTTAATGTCAGTGACCTGTACGAATTGACTTTAATCGTTCTAAAACAAACTTTGCACGTTTTAATGAGCGTCAAAATGTTTACCATAAATAGCAAACTAATAAATGTATTTTCAAAATTGAAGAGTTCCAACTTTTTGATTGGTTGTCTATAATCAATAAATTAGCAATTTCAGCGAGTTTGCCCACGGGTGATGAGTAAAGACGAGATCACCCGTGGGTATCCGACGATGACTTAACAAATGGAAACAATTGATCAACTAACTTTGCCCGGTTCTTCTTTGTTTTGATGTAATGTAGAATCCCTTCCCTGTCATAGTTGTGTTCACAATGGCGGTTTTTGACAGGGTTGACCATGTCTTTTCCTGTGTAGGGACACCTGGTGTTGATGTCTGTTTGTGTCAGCACCATCTCCTCGTCCCCAGTACAGGTGGGGGTCTGAGGCACACTGTCCACTTGTCTGTCTGTTAAAGACAAACCAGAAATACAATTTACATTTAACAATTGTACACAATGCTAACAAACCAAAAATACAATTCAGCACAATGCTACAAACATTATACATCGAGAAGAGGGAGGGGCTTTTAAACAAGAGGCCTATGTGCCTTGATGGTCATCTGAGCATTGTATTTCCACATACTCTCTAAAACTTATACCATCTTTATTTTATATATGTTATACATGTTGTTCTGTTATTAATTTAAACCTTGACCTTGCTCAAATAAGCAAAACTGAGCTTCCACTGTTTCTTGCCAAAGGGTATGACCTGAAGAACTGTTACTTTTGCACTTTGTCCAAATGACCTTGGATCGTTGCTTTGTCAGACACTAGAGCTATATAACTTTTATTTGTATCTCATGTGAATATCTCCGCGTTTTTTTCCCTTATATAATTGGTACCGATAAACGGTACCATTACCAATGCCAAAAACGTTAATTTTTCCCAATTTTGAAACTAACAATTCCCAATTCAACTGCCAAGCAACATACTACGATGACATTGTATTTCTTTTTATACGAAACATTGTACAAGTAGACTAATTGTTTCACTTCCGCTAAAATTGAAAGTAGAGGGTTGAATATGGCAGGACCTGTGTTATAGACAGCTTAGTGTCATACATTTTTGACAAATTGAAAGCATGAAAATGCGAAAACAAGGGATATTGATGTGAAAAACAATAAATACTTGTTGTTTATTCTTTAAATCACGGAGTAATAAGTAATGAGGTTGGAATAAACGCAAAATACGTTTCATTTGATTGAATGACAGAAAATTCTCCTTTGTTCTACTTTGATGCTATTTTTCCCAATTGAACTGGTCCAGGACCCTTTCCCAATGGGTAGAAAAAAATCGCTGCATCTAAAATCTCTCCATAATATTTTGTTCTCATTCAGAATATTTATCTGATAGATAAAAAGACACACAGCTTTCTACATCTTAGAAAATTACAGACCTCTTTTAAAATCAAGGGTATCGGCAAAGGGGCGGTGGTCGCCGCCCCAATAATTTTGCAAAAAAAAAAAAAAATTAAATGAGAAATACAGAATTATAAAATTTGTAACGGCAATATCTGTGGTCAATGGGGTGGCGAGAATAACGGCAATCTGTGGTCAACATTGTCAATGGGGCGGCAAAGTGTGAAAGCTATTGTTTACACAGACGCAAATTAGGATATACGTGTATACAGGTATATGTTTAATTATATACCTTTACCTGGCGTGTGTAAACATCAAGCAGGGTATCCATCACTCTACGTGCGTGTTTGCTACAAATTCTTAATCAAGCCCACAGCAAGCAACCTTTTTAGAAATTCTATTTCTTGGGGATCGGGGGTGGGGGTTCTCTAAGTTTTCTGGAATTTTTTTCTTTTCAAATGCTAAAATTTGCCCCCCCCCCCCCCTCCTGCTCCCTTCCCGGGGGTATAACAGGCCTGTTCATTGTCTAATCAACTGGTCAATTGCTGTTTGGAAATCTTTGATGAATCGAAGTTGTTAGCAGCTGCTGTTAAACAATTCTCAAAAAATATTACAAAGTAGGGGCATATAAATGAAAGTAAAATACTTTAAAAAATGGATAAAATTTACTATCTAAAATTTACTTCAGTTGATTTTTTTTATATGTCATACATTTTTCTGAATTTCAAAAATTGAGGAATTAAGAGGTATTAACCAGCCAGTTCATTTCAAATTTCATATGCATTCTTTCCGCAAGAAACAATTTAAATATTGTACAGTAATAGAAAATTATAGGATATGTATTTTGATGTTTATCTCGTCATAAACCCTTCAAAGTTCTTTCTGTGTTTAGAGTAATCCGCGCGCTTAAGATTCGAAGAAATTGCCGTTTCCATGGTTTCAAAGAAACAAACTCCTATTTAAAAATATTCTGGTTTTGTTTCATTTATATAAAGTAACTTAAAACAAAAGTCCATCAGTCTGGAATTGACAATATTTTGTTATTAATTAAGTATATTTGGCATTCTAAGTATGAGACTCTTTTGAACTGCTTATGAAAAATATGTTACAGTAAAAAAACACACATAAAACATGTTTTTTGTTTGTTTGTTTTTATTTATAATTTTTTTGGTATGTTTAATTGTTCTTTTTTAATCAGAAAATACCTTTAGACTTTTGACTTAATGGGAAAAATATCAAGCAAGATTTTGGCAGAAATTTTAATTAATTCATGTCACAAAAAGTTAGTTAGACCCCCCTCCCCCATTTTCGATACAGTTCGCCTCCCCAATGTGAAATACTTGCCGACGCCCCTGAAAATACATCACCTGTATTGGCGTTAGGTATAAATTCATGTATACATAATCATACACTTTTTCCAAAATATGTGAAGAAAATTCACCCTACCCCCAGGGGTCATGTTTTAAACAGATCTGAATCTGAATCCTCACTATGTCAGGAAGCTTTCATATAAGTTTCAACTTTCTGGCTTTTAACTTTCTGATTCTTAATCAGATTTTGAATTCACACCACCTTATTTTTGCCTTTTCTTAATTATCTCTCCTTGGAAGCGGGCTCTGCCCCACATTTCAAACTTGAATCTACAAAGGGTATTAGTCATAACTCGCAAGTATTAACAATGCAAAACAGTAAAACATTAAAAGTAATAATAGAGTTTTACTTGAGGCCTTGATAAATAAATTGTGTATTTCCGGTTCCCCGACCGACCCTAAAATACAGTGGCGAGGTTTATCCGGACGCCTCTGTCCCCCAACGAAATCGTCCGGATAAATGAATCGTCCAGATAATTGAATCACTTCTCAAAAAACACTCTCCAAGCATGTATATATGCACATTCTTGTATCAAATGTGACGGCAAAGAAACTTTAATATTTTGGTTTATTGTTTTATTTTATAGTTTTTTAAAGAAATAATTAATTAAAGAAAAATTATTAAAATGTAATTTATACAATAAAAATGGATCGGCAATTTTATGCTGAGACCTCCTTTTTAAACAAAGGAAATTTATTCGCCTTCTCTTTGGCATGTGACTTCATGGGCTGCACAAATTTTGATATACTGTTGTTTTATTTCGCCATATATAATGAAAGAAAAAGTGAGCAAGCTCACATACCCCACGCTCCCCCAAAACTCGACAATGCAACATGTAATGAATGGCACAGTGCATTTTAAATACACAGTATAATTCAAAAAGGGGCATTACTTGCAAAAATCATCACATCAAAACTTCTTGCATATAAGGACGTTCAAATCTTTGTATGTTACAAATTTAATTGGGCTGAAGTTTCTAGATAAATAATGGAATCAAAATTTCTTGGTAATATACAAATCTATACATTATGTCTGAAATACCTACAAAGTTTCAGGAAATTCAGTGCAGGAGTTACGCTGACAAACTGTTATTTAAATTCCTCAGCGATTTCGATTTGTTAATGAGAGTAAGTTCATGTCCAACACATGACAATTTACACATTTAAATAATTGATGGATACAAAATTATGATGTAGTCATATGAATTTGTTTATATACTGTACTTATGAAATTATTTAAGGCAAAGCACCAATTTAATTTAAAGGGGGGGGGGGGGGGCAAAAATAATGGAATCAGAATTTCCTGGTAATATGCACATCTACTCACTGTGTACTAAATATCTGCAAAGTCTGACGAAATTCTGTGCAGCGGTTTAAGAGGAGTTGCACTGACAAACTGTTCATCTCTATATTCAAGATATGGCCGAAAATCTAAGTTGAAAAGTACCGAAATTCCCAGAAAAATAATGGAATCAGAATTTCCTGGTAATATGCACATCTACACACTGTGTACTAAATAACTGCAAAGTTTGACGAAATTCTGTGCAGCAGTTTAAGAGGAGTTGCACTGACTAACTGTTCATCTCTATATTCAAGATATGGCCAAAAATAAAAGTTGAAAAGTGCCGAAATTCCCAGAAAAATTATGGAATCAGAATTTCCTGGTAATATGCTTATCTACACATTGTGTCCTAAATATCTGTAAAGTCTGACGAAATTCTGTACAGCGGTTTATTAGGAGTTGCGCTGACAAACTGTTCATCTCTATATTTAAGATATGACCAAAAATCTAAGTTGAAAAGTGCCAAAATTCCCAGAAAAAATAAAGAAATCTGAATTTCCTGGTAATATGCATATCTACACATTGTGTCCTAAATATCTGCAAAGTTGACAAAATTCTGTGCAGCGGTTTATGAGGAATTGCGCTGACAAACTGTTCATCTCTATATTCAAGATATAACCAAAAATCTAAGTTGAAAAGTTCCGAAATTCCCAGAAAAAATAAAGGAATCGGAATTTCCTGGTAATATGCACATCTACACACTGTGTACTAAATATCTGCAAAGTTTGACGAAATTCTGTGCAGCGGTTTATGAGGAGTTGTGCTGACAAAAAAACAGGACTGACGGACTGACCGACGGGTCAAAAACATTATACCCCCCGCCAACTTGTTGCGTGGGGTATAATACTTATTGAAATTCATATGATATGACAGAACTGTTCAGCATCATCACTGAAAATGTTCAAATATAAACAGCCCCGTATACATGTATTCCCTGTATATTCATTACAAAGGGTTACTATAAAATTAACTGAACACTGCAAACTAACTCAAACACGCACAATCAATGAAAGTATTAGAAACATTCACAAAAAACACAAACCATCTTCATGATTATCAATATTTTTTCTACAGACTATAAGTTTGAATTTCGTTCATTAAACAATACCTTGAAAACGTAATCAACTTCTATATGTAACACCAGTTTTATATTTCTTTTCTAAAGTAATGTACGTTTATAGACATATTTTAAAAAGAAAGATATTTCTTCATTTATGTACCTTTCTAAACTGTTTTGTGGGTAAAAAGGCATTTCAAATACATTTACATTTTTTGAAATGAAAATCGTATTTTAAACTAACGCAATCAGCATGATAAATAGCAGAAAGAAATCGCTCGTAATTTATTGTTCATTTTATTTACAACTCTCAAAAATTCTCATGAATTTACCGATGTATAGATGGTTAGCAATATTATCTTGAATGGATTATTATTTAATTATTGCACAGTGTAATCTAAATTCGTCGAGATTTAATTGGGATAAACGCACGCTATTGTTTGTTGGTCGCAGGTAACCGCCTTCAAACTGACTGAATGGCCAATGTTTTCACAACAGTTAACACTACTGCAAGATAAGTGTGAAAAAGTTGTTACTTGAAAAATTACCGTCCGGATAAACAGGGCATTTTTCAATGAACTATTACGTTTTGTAGTAAAAATCAACCTTCCGGATGCAGAACGCGAATTTCCGGATTAATGAGACAAAATAATGTGGAAAAAATGTGGCGTCCGGATAAACGAAGCGTCACTGTATATGAGCCAACCCTAAAAATTTATCCGCAGATATCTTTCCAGGAGTAAACTATTCCAGTTTCACTATTAGAAATCCTAATCTCGATCACTTCCGTGTTTCAGAAAAAGCAAATCTTATACACATTAATCAGAAATGTTTTGACAGTGATTTCCCTGAGGAAAAATGGTAGCGAGCTTGCCAATAAAATATTAAAATAAAATAAAATGCTTTCCCTACCTACCTACCCTATTTTTTCTCAGGTTGGAATAGGAAACACACTATTTATTTATCTTGGCCTGATCATATAACGAGTTTAAAATGTATTAATATCATCTTGTTTAAAATATGTGTACGTATGAAAAGCACAATTGATATGAATTTGATAAAATAACTATAGTTTTGCCATCTTAAATCTAATTTCCTTTAAAGATACACTTGCACTTTGGTATCTCAAACACTATGGATATGTTGAAGTGATTGGACTGATGGACAGATTCTAGTTTTGAACACTGCTTGAATCCCCTTCACCCAAAGATACGTTTTGGCATGTTTGACTGAAATTGGTACACTGTTTCTTTAGAAAATGTTGAAATTATGACAAGTTTACGCATGACGCACACCTACATGAAGATGGACAAAAACATATAGTGATAGGTCACCTGAGTAACTCTGGTGACATTCTGACCATAAACCAATGACCACAAAGATATTTCTACCTACCCGGATGAAGTATTTCTGTGATTTTCTCAGCCAAGTCCACATATTTTTCATGATTTTCAAGTGGAACCATCTGACTCTTGCTCTTATAAGCCTGTAATTTACTCTCCACTGACTCCTCCAAATCAATAGGCTCTTGTGATTGTGCTGCCTGTAAAACAAATTAAATGTGTAATAATGGATGGGCATTGTCAATCCGTGGAACAGATCTCACTGAAAATATCAAGACACTTATACCAGACAACAATAATGTGCAATGTGCCAACTCCCTCCCTCCTAAATAGCAGTCTCAATTATTCACCTGATGGTGATCAAATTCATGGACTAAGTGTTATCATTCAATTGACTTACTGATGACTGAATCTGGGCCTATTTCACTACATCTTCTACACTCTTCATGACTGAATACAATGATGCACACTGAAGTGGTCAAATTTTTCAGCTGAATAGAATGTTTTGGTCTTTCTCATCAAAAGCCAATTGTTACATAATGACAGACCCATTTCTTTAGAAACAAGAAAGCAATATTTGTCGCAATGTTTTGTTACTACTATCCTGTTCATGACTGAATATAAACCTGTTTTGTTACATCTTCTACACTGTTCATGACTGAATATGAACCTGTTTTGTTACTTCTACCCTGTTCATGACTGAATATGAACTTATTTTGTTTCTTCTACCCTGTTCATGACTGAACATGAACCTGTTTTGTTACATCTTCAACCCTGTTCATGACTGAATATGAACCTGTTTTGTTACATCTTCTACCGTGTTCATGACTGAATATGAACCTTTTTTGTTACATCTTCAACCCTGTTCATGACTGAATATGAACCTGTTTTGTTACATCTTCTACCGTGTTCATGACTGAATATGAACCTTTTTTGTTACATCTTCTACCGTGTTCATGACTGAATATGAACCTGTTTTGTTACATCTTCTACCGTGTTCATGACTGAATATGAACCTTTTTTGTTACTTCTACCCTGTTCATGACTGAATATGAACCTGTTTTGTTACGTCTTCTACACTGTTCATGAAATCATCCAGATCTCTCTCCATTTGTACATAGTCCTTCATTACACTCTTCAGAATATCTATTTCCTTCTCGCTTTCTGAAATGAAAAAGGAATTTTTTAACAAAATTTGAAGCAATGCAAAAGTTTTTATGTTTCCAGTTTGTATTGCATTTTTGTTTATATAAAAGGCCATAAAAATTAATACTTTCTCAGGCCAAAAATTTCGAAATTCAATGCAACAGGCAGGGTTTTTTTTTTTTTTTTTTTTTGGAAGCAGCTGTTATACATTCTTTTCATGTCAGTCATTCAACAAATGATGATATCAACCCAACCGATTCTTACTTTTTTGTTCTCTCACATTATAATATGTATTTATTTTATTTAACTTTAAATAATGTTATTCCAAACAAAGTTAATTCATAAAATACTGTATTATCTGTTTATCTAATAAAAACGTCTTATCTATTAGCATTTATGAAGGGGAATAACTAAATTTTCTTTTTCAACTTGGAAAAATAGAAAATTGAGTTATTTCCCTTTTCAATATGTAAAATTGATCAATGCGGCAGTGTTTGACCTGATGTTTGACCTAAAAGTACCTCTTGCACACTGTTATAAATGTTGTCAATGAATTGAAACATCTCATTTTCAGCTTTCTGTTAATTTTCATAGCACAAAAATGGGTCACCCCTAATAGAAATGAGTTGTAATGTATTTACCAGTCTCAAAGTCAAAGCCATGGTTAATTTCAAGGTCATGACATGAAACATTTTATCTTTGAGATTTATTATTGTGTGTGTAAGCCATAAGATGATGATCAGAATGAATCATTCTTAACAAGGATCATTTATGCCCCAGTCAACTCTGATGACAGTGATTGGGAAGGCCATGTAGGTCAAAGGGAGCTATGGCACCACTGCTAACATTTTTAATGGGCCATTTTAAAATCGAATAGGCCATCCATATATTCTGAAGGACCATTTTGAGAAATATAATGACAAACAAATATGAAACACTAACTGTTTTTATATCTAATTCTTCATGTGTCTGCAGTACAGCACATTTAAAGAAATGCACATACAATATGTATTGCCCGTTCTTTTGGATTACTAAGGTCAAACTTTTGATTGAACATTACATATAAGTGAGGTATTATACCTTTATTATCCTTAAGTGCTTTACAGGAATGAGAGTACCAAACATCATTTACATCATTTGTTTGTTAGGCCAAACAAAAAAATATGTGTGGTTCCGGTTACACTTCCAAAAAAATTAGGGTAGGTAGGTAGGGATTTTTTTTTTTTTTTTAAAATGATTTTCTTCATTTTTTCTAAATAATACCTATCACTGCTTTGCAAATGGCATTTAGATGTGGTGTGATAATATACTAGTCAATATTGGTAGGGGACACCTACATGCTAGCTTGCTTTGGATTTAACACTATTAAACACTTGCACTATGTTTTGCAAGGAGGCCGTCATTGCTGAAACTAAAAGTTAAACTGGAGCCATTGATGGAAATCGGGGGAAATTCCGGAAAAAATATGAAAATTGCCAAAAAAAAAGTTTAGGGTCGGGGGTATAAAATAGGGAAGGTCGGGTAACCGGAACCACACATATTTTTTTTATTTGGCCTTAGACAGAATAATATAGAGTACTGAATAGGTAGGTGTTTACCAACTGGCTGAATTAAGGTAATGAGGTAATTTTCATTTAAGGGAGGCTCTTTACACCACTTTTTGATGACATACTACACAAAAAATAAGCCTCCCTTGTTTCATTCGTTTTCCTATTGGGAAGAATTGTACAGGTTCCATCTATTCATGATCTAATTAGTCCCCTACCGGTGAAACCGGAGGGAACTATAGGTTTCCTCTGAGTCTGTCCGTCCATCTGTCTGTCTGTCTGTCCGTCTGTCTGTCTGTCCCTCTGTCAGTCCGTCCCACTTGGTTTTCCGCAATTTTCTTCTAAACGCTTGTAGATATTGAGCTGATTTTTGGTATGTGGCTTTACCTTGATTAGTTATAGATCAAGTTTGCATTTCATCCCGCTTCATTAATTTTTGACGGAATTATGGCATTTTCAATTCTTAACGGGAACGGAACCAGATTACACTTGCCGGTAGGGGACTAGTATTGCTAATGCAATACTCTCAGAATGCTTGTTTAATTTAGAAATTTTTATCTTATCAAAAACACTTATGAACATCTATTATTATGATATAACATCTACATTATGAACATATAACTTTTGAACATCTAAAATTCAGAATGAGTTTTGGGGAATTAGGAAAGATAACTCTTGCATTTACTTCTGATCACTATAAGTTCTATACAACTGCAATTTTGACCTATGAACCCTGTGGGACCCTATATATTTCAGGGGCTTTTTTTAAATACTGTATACAGGGTTATTTTTGCCCTTTTACACCTTGCAAACAATTTTGCCCCGTTTTGAATTCGCCCGGTCACAATTCTATTTAAGAAATTATACTGTGTTTTTTGAAATTCGCCCATCTGTGAGTAGGGCGAAAGGGGCTAAAATAAAATAGGGGCGAAAATTTCACCATATACCCTAAGTGATTATAATCAAGTTTCAAATGATGCCAAGGATTTGTCTGAAATTGAATAAGTAAAAGTAGAGTGCATAAGGTTTCTATAGAGTTCAGTAGGAAATTAATTGGTACTCTTTTCAGAACAGAAACAGTTTATTGGAAGTCTATTCTTATGCAACAGGTTTTAGCCAATTAGATTTGTTGTTGCATTTAAAATGAAAGTAAAACAATTAGGAAGTATTTCCAACAAACAACGCTAAGTCTTAGCAACCAAGGAAATTTCAATGAGCACTTTGACACCATGAATGGCCATTTTTTACTTCAATGCGACTATGGCACATGGCACAAGCCCTTCCCAATCACTATTTCAAACACCTCATCCTGGTCTAATTATGCATGTTGTTTGAAGAATACACTTTGAATAGGTCACTTAAAACAAAGCTTAATACAAATAATAAAAATATTTAACACAAACGTATCAATACACATTACCAATCTACAGATCAGAATTTGCTACATCAAAACAACTCTCCAGCTAGCAAATATATAATAGTAATGTCTGCCAATCTGAGATGATATTAAAAGTTTACATTTAACATCGATTGATATCTAGAAGTGCTGAATACCCATTATATGGGTGCAAGAAATATCGATGGAATTCATAAGCAACTCCATATTGTAAATTTTTAGGGTTGCCAAACAGTTAAAAAGATTTTTTTTTGAGTCTGTAAAATCAGGAAACGTCAATTGCAAATAATATTTTGTCATGGACCAGTTTTCATCTGCAAATACAGAATGCTGCATAAAATAATTGGTTCACAGTGCTATATACATACAATAATACTGACCTATTTTACTGTCGGCAAAATCCTGGGCAACATCTAGTGTGGTTTCCATGCCCACTTTGATGTACTCCTGTACAGTCTTCAGGGATTTTTTAGCTTGCTCAATTACAGCAAACTGAGCCATTGCTTTCTTTTCTTCCTAATAAAAGTCAAACATAAAAAACATAAAAAATTTAGAAGAATTTTTGATCCAGAAGTCTCTGATGAGACTGTAGCTCTACTGATCTGTACATATACATGTAACAGAGAAAAAGAAGCACTTGGATTTGAAACTTTGCAACATGCAGCAATAAATAGAATTATGTATCTTAATGTAGTCTACTTGTGTGCCAAGTTATATTGAGATCAAACAAAAACTGTAGGAGGAGTAGCATTTTAAAAGAATTTCACAGAAATTTCTATTTTTAGTAACCATGGCAACATCGTTCAAAAACAATGAAGATAATTATGAATCTTAATGTAGTCTACTTGTGTGCCAAGTTATATTGAAATCAGACCAAAACTGTAGGAGGAGTAATGTTTTAAAGGAATTTCACAGAAATTTCTATTTTTAGTAACCATGGCAACACTGTTCATCAAAATCAAAAACAAATGCACTAAATTATGTATCTTAGTGTAGTCTACTTGTGTGGCAAGTTATATTGAAATCAGACCACAACTGTAGGAGGAGTAGCGTTTTGAAAAAAAAAAAGTTTACAGACAGACGGACGGACGACGGAAACCTTACTATCGCATAAGCTCTTCCGGTCTCTAACCAGTAGAGCTAAAATTAGCACAATTTTTTTATTGTTTGGACTTTCAATCTCAAGCCACTTCAAGCCATTTCACTGTTTTAACAATGAAATTTCATAGAGTTTCACTAGAATTAGAAAACTGACACAGTTAGTGAGGGCAACAGTCGCAATACTTAGGGCTGTCAGGCAGTCAAAGTAATACATGTACTACCCCAAAACAGGTGTCTTTCTCTTATTGTAGACTAGAGTATTCCTGTAAAAACATTTAAAACTGTTGTGTCACAAAAGTGTCAATGAATATACCTTTGGGCATACATACAGACGAGTTATATGACCCAAAGATGTGTTGGTGCTTTCCCTTCAGCGTTTTTTCCCCTTACATATCTGGTACCGGTAAACGGTACCATTTCCAATGCCAAAAAAACATTAATTTTTCCAAATTTTGAAATAAAAAATCCCCAATTCAACTGCCGAGGAACAGAGTATGATAACATCATAATTCTTTTCATATGAAATGCTGTGCGAGTTATCTAAATGTTTAACTTCCTCTTAAATCGAAAGTAGAGATCAGTGGTAATATGGCGGGATGCGTGTTGTTGACAGTGTACTCATACTAAGGCCAAAGTTTTTTTTTCTTTTGGTTTACGATTCCGCCGACCCTAATTTTCACCAAACATGAAAATAAAAATAATGTCTTTCTCCGACACATTTTTCCGGATTTTTCTCAGCTGAACTGGTGGGTTTTAAATTTTAGAATGCATCTTAATCAAATAAGCGCTTATAAATATATGAGACCTTTACAAACATTTAGGTGACCGTAAATAAACACATGTGCAAACCAAAAATGGCGGTTCTGTCATGTAACAAGGTAATTCCTCACTGACAGCAATGACACACACTTAAAGAACTTTTTCTGCATAGAAAAATGAATAAAATCTTGGGTGCATGATCCCTTTCTCCAATTGCAATGTCTCAATTGGCTAAATTCATACCGTAATATTGGAGAGTGTATGCCCAACCCTGATCGACCTAACAAACACAGATACACCTATAGATAACAGGGATTTATCAGTGTCTTCTCATGAGCCGAAATTCGGCCCCATTCCCAATTGAAAATGAGTTCATTTTTTGCCAATTTGGTAGTATTTTTTCCCAATTGCTGAACAATGCTTTTATTTTTAATTATCTTGGAAAAACACAAAGTAAAATTGTCAGATTGTCAGTAACTTTCATCTATTCAACTCATTTAGCAAAGCTACAGTCATAACGCATGTTTAAAAACACTGTAAAAACATCGCCAACTTTTAATCCGAATTTCCTCCATTTTTTCTAAAAATGATGATATTGTGTAATTATATAGATTTTATATACTTTAGACATTATTTCAGATACAAAAATATATTTTCAATGCATTAATACATATTTAAAGAGGACTTTTAGAAAATGTGTACTTAGTATAATTTTTTGCCGGAGGTTTATAATCTCCAGAAAGAGATACCATAATGATCTAAATTGAAATCTCATACACACATGTACATGTAATACCCTACGTTGTATAAATACTTTATACTCATTGAAGTCCATTTTACTTTTATTAGATCTTGTATGATGAAGATGGATCATATTTAATTGTCGTTTGGTTGCCCAAATTATAGCTCATGCTGAAATGTTAAATGAATTACCCCTGAATACATGATTTAAGCAACATTTTAATTTTTTTTCCAATTTCATCAAATAGCCGATAATTTTTTCCCAATTCCCCCAAAATGGCATTTCCCAAAATAGGCTGATAAATCCATGGATAATAGTTAAGCCAATTTAGTGTTGAGAGATACATCTTAGTTGAAATAACGCTGACTGGTATTTCACTGGATAAATTCAAATGTGTATAAAACATTTGTTAATTTATAGAAGTAAATTCAATATACAAATCTTTGCAAATTTGATACGCAACTGAGATCAAAGCCCTCTGAATTACTAAGTAAATAATGAGCATTGCCTACTAACTAAAATTTAAAGAAGGACTTGATTGAGAAATTATTAGGCTTTTGTGCCGCAGGATTAACATTAAATTTGATAGCTGCATGATCAAATTATTATAACCTTTATTTCAACGTCAATTAATACTTTTAAGATTGTTAAACAATTAAATTGTATTATTCTTCAATCTAAATTTAACTTAAATTTGGATCCTTATTTTTTAGTTTATGGGGATACGAAGGTTTATAACACATCACATATCACTGAAGAGCACAAAAAGAAGTTGAACATCATGAACCAAGCACTGATTGACAAACAAAAATCAGACCTATATGTATATGAAAATGACATTCAGTCTAAAGTAGAAATGAATTAAAATTAAATAAAAAGAGTTATGTGATCTAGACAATAAAACTTAAAAGTACTATTGACGTGTATTATTTTTATTAAAATAAACATTGCTGGTATTTTAAAATGAAATTGTTGAATCCTAAATTATTTTTATTTTTCGACCACCCAATGCATTTTTTTGAGACAGAAAATCGTAAACCAAAAAAAATAAAAACTTTGGCCTAATGTCTTACATTTTTGACAACTTGAAAGCATGACAACGTGAGAACAAGGGACATTAACATGTAAAACAATGAATACTGGTTGATTATTCTTTAAGGCTTGAATTAATAGGTAATGAGGTTAGAATAAACATGAAATAAATTTCATTTGTTGACATGACAGAAAATTCCCATTTGTTCTATTTTGACTATTTTCCCCAACTGAATCAGTACTTGACCCATTCTCAATGGGTAGAAAAAATTGAATATTATTTCCTTTATTTCTTATAAAAACCTTTGCTGCAGGGCTCGACATTAACGCTTGTCCGGTACCAGTGAAAAAAAATTACGGACAAGTGAATATTGCCGGGCACTTGTCCGATTGGACAAGTGCATTTTAATGTAAAAGAGTCTCTAAATAATAAAAAGAACGACTGTTGAAAGTTAATCCATAGTTTCAAGACGGAAGCTGTACATAAAAACCGGACTTCGATCCCGATAGAGATCGTTAATTGAGTTCACATTCGATCAAGATCGAAGTTCACTAATTGCAAACTACTGAAAAGGCATGGAATTTACAAACTTAACGAATATGCACATTTATGTTGTTGTCAGGACAGAAAGCCTAGATAAAATTTCGTTTTATGTGTTTTTTGTATTTATCAATAACATCACGAATCAATCAAGCACATGCCATGTGTAATGGACTTTATTTTAGTTTTCAAGTTGACAGAATTAGATCTCTATTGAAAAATTTTCGGACAAGTGAAGTTGAAGTTCAGACAAGTAAATGTCTTTGTCACCTGTCCGAATGGACAAGTAGGAAAAAAAGTTATGTCGAGCCCTGTGCTGTTAATCAGTCAGTAAACAACACTAAGCAAGCCACCTGCAAAGATTTCTTAAGTAACGGCTGTTCCATCAATTATGCATACAATGACATACACATCTATAATACAATATTTAACATATTTAATTTACTTTGAATGTTTTTTTTAAAGATATAAATATAAACAATAAAATGTCTTTCTTTGTTTGTTAGTACAGGAATTAATGTCGCAGCTATTGCAACAAAAAATTCACATAACCCGCTTACGCGGGCTATGTATTTGTCTGACACACTTGAAAATTCACACTCCCTGAAAATGTTCTAACACAATCATCTGTAGGGTAAATATTAATTAATTTTTAGTGCATTAACTAAATTGGCAAAATGTAGGAGATATGGCCGACCACATCATTGCACCTAGGTGCGACTTTTGTACATTGTACATGCTGAAAAATAACACATTTAATTAAGAAAAAAGTAAGATAAAATAGCTAAATCAAGCTATTCTGCATATTTCAAGCTATATAGCTAAATCAAGCTATTCTGAATATTTCAAGCTATATAGCTAAATCAAGAGATTGTACTGGACCTGACTACAGTGATTACATTACACGGAGTTCATCCTGTACATATTATAGTATTTATGATGAAAAAAATCATTTTTAATTTTGCTTTAAAATCTCGTGATATCCCGGGAAACATCACATACTACACACACTAACATCGTACCTTTAATTAACCAGAACGCCGATTATCATTAAACTGTAGGCCTGACTTCTATAATATTAATATATTACAAAATAATGTCAACATACACTCCAGTTCCCGCCAGCTTTTCATTCGAAACTTCCGGTATTAATTTTTCTAACATCGATCCCGACAAAAAATGTTGGCGTGAATTCCGAATGGAATCTGAATGTAATAAGGGCACGTTGTTTACTATCGATTTTCGACTATCGATTGATTGTTGGAGCGTAGTCCGAAATATCTGACGTTTTCCAGGCGTCTTTCACGATTTATATATTTTACGTGCCTGGCACTTAAAAAATAACGCCTGGAAAACGTCAGATATTTCAGACTAGTTGGAGGGATTGGTGCGATTACGATGACTAGATGGGTGTGATAACGAATGACGCGATGTAGGCTGGCGGGAACGCGTTGACGATGATGCGATGACAGATAATGCGATGGCGATGATGCGATAGAACGATGTTTCGATAATCGTAATTGGACCATCGTATCATCGCGTCATCGCGTTATCGCTTCCTCAGGCATCACACCATCATTATCGCATTGTCGCATCATTGTCATATGCGAGATTAGCCATGGGTTTCCGACGGTGTAACTTCCCTTATTTATGAAGCACCTGCATCTGGAGTTTATGTCTCCCGGTTGATTCCATACCGACACAAGAGCATGTTCGTACGAGCAATTTTTTAAACGAGGCAAGCTTTTGACAAAGAAGTCGATGAAACAAGGATATCAACATTCTCCTTTAAAGTCAACATTTTGCAAGTTCTATGGTCGATGCAATGACCTTGTCAGCAAATACAATGATGAATCTACGATGTATTATTAAGTCGAATGCTGACTGGCGTGTTTATTTATTATTAGGCCATTATTTACACACAGAATTGTCTACGGATTTTTACGTTTGCCCTATCATGATAAGGAACACACGGCGGGTGTGACTGGTTGACAGAATGCTTAATCCTCCATGGCACTTGATCCCACCTCTGATTTTTTTTAGAGGTCGGTGTTTGCTATGCTTCCGATTTGTATTGTTTCAATGGACTTTTGGGCTTGATAACTGTTCGTTATCTCCATGTTTCATTTCACATTGTGGCAAAATAATACTTTTATTCAGTAAATTCAGTTCAAATTCAAAAGTTAGAGTGTTAGATTTAGACACACACATATGAAATAGGATTTACGGGTATATATGTGTGGGACAGTTTAGTTTTTATGCCCCCGTATCGAAGATTCGGGGGTATATAGTTTTTTGCCCTGTCCGTCCGTCTGTCTGTCCGCAAAAACTTTAACTTTGCCCATAACTTTTGATTGGTTGGTGCTATGGCTTTCATATTTAATGTGTATTCCTTGTGACAAGACCTTTCTTTGGGTACCACCATATTTGACCTTTTGACCTTGACCTTGGAGTTTGACCCAGTTTTGCAAAATTTTACCAAACTTTAACATTTGAACAATTGGAGCGAGGACTTTCATACTTCACATATGTAATCTTGTAACAAGACCTTTCCCTGGATACCACCATATTTGACCTTTTGACCTTGACCTAGGAGTTTTGAAAAACTTTAACCTTGGTCATAACTTTCGAACGGTTGGTGCTAGGGCTTTCATACTTAACATATGTAATCCTTGTGACAAGACTTTCCTTGGATACAAACAACTTTGACCCTTTGACCTTGACATAGGAGGTTGACCTACTTTTCAGAAACTTTAACCTTGGCCATAACTTTTGAACCGTTGGTTCTAGGGCTTTCATACTTCACATATGTAATCCTTGTGACAAGACCTTTCTTTGGATACAAACAACTTTGACCCTTTGACCTTGACCTTGGAGTTTGACCTACTTTTGCAAAACTTTAACCTTGGCCATAACATTTGAACAATTGATACTAGGGCTTTCATATTTCACATGTGTAATCCTTGTGACAGGACCTTCCTTTGGATACCAGCAACTTTGACCCTTTGACTTTGACCTTGGAGTTTGACCTACTTTTGCAAAACTCTAACCTTGGCCATAACTTTTGAACCGTTGGTGCTAGGGCTTTCATACTTGACATATGTCATCCTCGTGATAAGACCTTTCTTTGGATACCAACAACTTTGACCCTTTGACCTTTGAGTTTGACTTACTTTTGAAAAACTTTAACCTTGGTCATTAATTTTGAACGATTGGTGCTTCGGCTTTCATATTTCACCTGTGTATTTCTTGGGAGAAGGCCTTTCCTTGGGAACCATTAAATTTGACCATTTGACCTTGACCTTGATGTTTGACATACTTTTGAAAAAACTTTAACCTTTTCCATATCTATTTAATGGTTGCTGCTAGGGCTTTCATATTTCACAGGTTTATTCATCGAGACAAGACCTTACTTTGGGTACCAACATTTGACTGCATTTGAGAAAGTTTAACCTTTGCTATAAGTTGCCATACGGGGGCATCAGTGTTTCACAAACACATCTTGTTTTTTTTTTAAAATGTTAGGGTCCTGTCATTACGGCATTTTATAAATTAACATGAGGATTAAGATAGGACTGAGAGTGTATGAATAACAGTTTACGTTGCTTCTAGATATATTGCTTCACTATAATCCCTAGATTAGTATTTTAGTCATGTACTCCCAAATAAATATAATATCTTTATCACCGCTCTCCGTGTTTACGTGACATTCATTCATTACTCCAAGTCCATTATAAAAAGCAGCAGTCCAGTTAGTGGTCATTTTGTAACGTCAACCATGAAGTGCCTGATCATTTTCTGCGCTGTTGTTGGTGAGTCTAGTGTCATATCACTGGGGATTAATATTAAGGCGTAGGAAATATCTATAAAGCTTTAATAGCATAAAAAATAAAATCAAGTGTTTAATGCAGAAGAAAAATCTACATATTTTCAAAAGACACTTTCATTGAAAGGGAGGATCGATGTAACCACACATATTGAACATTTTTTTTCAAAGGAATAGAATTGGATATGGTCAATTTAAATGTAACATTTTAGTATGATTGTATAGACTTAAAAGGAAAATACACATTGACTAAATACCATATAAGAAACTTTTGATGTGGTTGGGTAATAATTTTCCACTGTATGTCTAAGTTATCCGAGCAAGGGTATTTTCCTCGGCTTAATTCTCCGATTGTTAACGATATCATGGATAAAAATTCTATCATAAAATAAATCTTCTCACAATAAGAATCATCTGGAAATGACCGTAATAATAATTTTTTTTAAAGATTTTTTTTTTAATTTTATATTATAGAAAATGTGCTTTTTATCTATTTTCAGCTTTCGTTGCATCTGAGAGGTGCTTCTCTGATGCGGACTGTGACCACGTGACCTGCGACTCTGGATACCAGGTGGATTGCAATCATTTCCTATGTACCTGCAACCCCTCACAATCTAACAGTGAGTATATATACTGTACACCGGTTTTTAAGGTTGCCTTTCATACCGGAGAGGGGATCCGTATTTCATTAAAGATGCCCAAAAACTGACAAAAAAAGGAGAAAGTGCCGATAGTTTGTTGCCCCTCTTTAATCTCTGGCTTCATTCAATAATGATAGTTTTACACGTTCGAAAGATTAATAAATTAATTTTTTTTTGTCCATTCAATTTGAAAAAAAACTTGAAAAACATGTATGTACGTCTGTTCCCTATTCTGTGAATTTATCAGGGTGCACAAGCAAAGACCAGTGTTCCGGGTCATGTGATTCTGAATGGCATTGTATTGACAACAGGTGCACGTGCAGAAAAGTCTAAAATTACTGAAAAATGTAAGTCATTAGCATATACCACTTGCTGAATTTATATTTACTTATTGTATACTTATTGTTGATTTTAATAAAACATTGACTTTTGTAATTGTCATTCTCCGATTCCAGAAGCTGAAAGAGCAGTTGGACAAAAGCCAAACGGCCTTTCCCTATCCCTATATTTTGAAATTAAAAGCACAATAAAAAAATTCACACGAAAGACGATCTTGTTTTTTTTATGAGTCTGAAGAACCTTTACATCCACCTGCCGTGGAATGAATCATTGTATAGCAGTCTTCTAGGGAAATATCATTATCCAACAACGACATATTGAAGCAGCGTATTTACACAGAAAGTGTGTGTGTGTGTGAGGGTGAGGGTGTGAGGGTGCGTTTGTAAACACCTTCAACTCAGCTCAGGTACTTATTGACACATCAATCAACTCACTACAGTTTTTCAAGTCGCTACAGTAATCACTGTAGTGAGTTGCAGTTTTACGAAAAATGGGTAGTTCTCGATTATTTATGCCCAAAAAATCGAGGAAAAAAGTTAGTGTCATTTGACGGTTTACACCCGTATTTTCACACACCGACTTATGATCAAAAAATGGCCCTTACACACTTTACTCGGTTTTGATTCTAGCGCATGCGCAATGCAGACTAATACTATGGCCGACTTCCGATGTGTAATGCTCTCGATTTTTCTACAAAGCAACAAATGATATAATCAGGTAAGTTAATTTTCTGTTGATTTTACCGTGAATTAAAGCGTTAATAACAAAACATCACATCGTTTCCATATACAAAGATATTAATCAATCACTCGATAAACATAGGGAATTTAGATTTCGTTGTTTATATGCCCTTGAAAAATTTATGTTAAAATCCCTAAGTTATAATCCACAAAATAATCCTTTAAGGTTAAAGAATTATTTAAATATATTTCCATCTGGCTTTAAATCTACTACAGGGCCCAATCCATTTGTTAAGCATAATTTGCAGCCGTCATCGAGTCTTAGTTCGAATTTTCTCAAATTATTCATAATGTTGACATGTTTCTATTTCATGCACTCATATCAATTAATTATGTTCAATTTATATCAAAAATTATACTTCATGTAATATATCAAACGTATCTGGTTCTTTGTTCTAGTTATGAAGTGAATTGGAATTATCTCTATCCTTTATAGTCACACATATTGCCATCAACACATCTTCAGTTCAGAAGTTAATAAATTATTTTATGAAGTTAGAGATAATTTATCTTATTTAGCCTTGTCCAAGACATGCACTTCTTTTGTAATTTATTCTTAATTTAAGGGAGTATGGTACTGACAAGTCCTAATTTCAGAGTAATTAAAACTCTAAAACATCCACATAAAATGAAAGAAGTACCTTTATATATTTCATAAAATATTATAAGAAAAGGTTCTAGTGAGTAAATCAAAAATTATGACGCACTAAAATAAGGGGGGTAACTCTGTATGATAAAGTGATATTTTTATAACCAATTTTTAAAAAATTGAGAACAACAATAAAAACAATATAAAAATATTTTTTTGAAAAAGATGTCATCCACAATATTGAAATTTTAATTTCAAAACAAAATAGTGCAAGAAAAAAGCCAAAAAGACAAATTAATTTTGATTCATTTATATCATGACAATTTATTGGGAAAATAGGTTCATGTATATGTACAACGTATTTTTTAATAATGAAAGAATAATTAAAAGTTTGATATCTTATGCTATATTTATAGTGATTTGCTTGCTTTACAAATTGCTAATAAAAAATTATAATGTTAGTGTGTAGTTTTGGAGTAATGTGCTCCCGAATTTCCTGACCCGAATTTCCTCTGCTCAAAAAGCTGTTATAAAATGTTAAAATAATGAGATTGCAATTTATTTACTTGCTTATAGTTTCTAACTCTCCTGATTTAGTCGTTTTAAACTCAAATTTTTATTATAGTTATTATTTTTCTCTTGTGACACGGCGGGCAATGCTTTTCACCAGATTTTTGCCGAACAATCCGAAAATCTTCCGATTTCCCGGTTTGGTTTTGTACATTATCGTGTACACGTCACTTCCAGTTTGCAACTCGTACACAAAATGCCGAATCGGAATCAAAGTTGAAAGTAGACTTGGAGGAGGTTTTTACAATTATCTATGAATTGTTTTGAACAAAAAAAAAAAAAAAAAAAATAGAATTTGAAACTCCGGCTTATAATTTCTAACTTTTAGTGTAACGGATGAAATAAAGTGAATTGACGAAGACAGAATGCTCGAGGCTTATTGTACATTCGTTCTAATTCTATGTCTCCATGTTTAATTTTAATTAATAATAAATCTTTGTCTTGAATGAATATTTTCCATCTTCAGCAATATTGAAAGATTAGATATGATTCAGTAACTATTAACTAACCAGCTATTAAACCCAGGTCCGTAGAATGCGGGGGGGGGGGGGGGGGGGGTTCTGAGTAAAGTATATCGTTCTAGTAAATTTTCCCTTAGATGCTAGTCTCCAATGTCGAGCACTAGCAAATTCCAGGATTTGGATAGTGAAATTAGGTGTTTTTTTTATATTTGCTTGTCAGATTTTTGAAAAATATTGCCCCCCTTTTTTTGGTCTTTTTTTTTCCTTTATCAGATTTTTTTGGGGAAGTTGCCCCCCCCCCCTTTTTTGAAATTGTTGCTACAAGTCTGACTAAACCATCATACATGCTGTTGAAGCTAGGGAAAATAGTGACACCACCACAATATACTACACTGTACTTTGCTATGCATGTGTACAATATGGTGTAGAGCAATATTTGACAAAATCAGATAAAATTTTAAGAGCTAAAACCACAAAGTACAAAAATAGTCCTTGACTAAAATAGATGAACTTATGTTTTATAATTTGAAGGGTTTTAAACTATTTATCTTAAATATCTTTTTCTAGTGTTCTTTTTATGGTTAAAATAACCTTTGTTTCTCTAACAATAAGTTTACAAGTCAAGCAGTAGGCTTGTAGCAACGGTTTCAAAAGTTGGGGAGGGGGCACCTTCCCCCAAAAAAATCTGTCAAGCAAAAAAAAAAAAAAAAAAACTAAACTCACCAAAAATAGGGGGAGGGGCTACTTCCCAAAATAACCTGATGGGCAAAAAAAAAAAAAAAAAGAAACCAAACTAATTAAATGTCCATTTCGTGGAAATTGACAGTGCTTGACCTTGTAGCAACGACGGGGTGGGGGGGTGGGGGGTGGGGGGTGGAGGCAATCACTATAGCAAACTACTATACTCGGAAAAAGTAGGTCCCCCCAGCATTCTACGGGCTTGAGCAGCTTTGTAATACTGCACCTGACATAACTCTCACACACTGACAGGAGCTTATAAATGAAGATAAAAACTTACAGTACATGACGTGAGGCAGCTTATTACCTCCTCAATGTAACCATATGCATGAGGGACGGGAGATTATTAATACAAGAAAGTTGTAGGAGATTATACATTCATGACATTGGGTCAGATTATGACACAGATTCGAGTGATAAGCAATTTTTGTGTCAAGTATCAACTACCAATTAGCCTCCATTTGAGAGTAATAGACCAGGTACAAATAACACACCTTTTCTGCCAGAAGCCTTGAACTTGCTGGAATGACCTTGAGTCAAGGTCAGTTACTCAATACATACATGTAACCTTAGGTTATATGCAATATTTATGATCAGTATGAGCATCTCATGTTCTCCATACAAAATACAGGAATTCAATGTTTTTCTTAAAATGACATTTAACTTGATCAAAGGATCTTGAGTCAAGGTCATTAGCAGTCCTTGTGTGCCATTTTCATCATTTTTCCAATGGAAAACCTTGTTAAAAATAAGGAAGATGAATTTCCCAGGTTCTACTCTTTTTTAACATGCAGTGTATTTAGCATCTGTTCATACAATGATAAGGTAATGAAATAATTTTTATAATGAAATGTATTTAATATTGCAAAATTCATGAGAATCAAAATACATTAACATATTGAAAACTTATTTGCTCTATCTACAATTAAAAAAAAAAAGAAAAATAATTTGTAATTTGACCAAATTTGAATTTATGAAAACTTATTACATTTAGTACCAAACACTGACATTGTATCTAAAAATGATGCTACAGACATGGCAAATTCTGATAACACCAATAATGTATCCACAACTGATGTCATGGACATTTCAAACAGACTGAAGATATATGACTCTTTTCATATAAAACTCTGGGGTCTTTCAACTGAAAAAGTCTGCATTCTGAGATAGAATCCACTTCACTTTTTATAACGAGTCACACACAGTTTTCAATTCACATCTTCCATCAACATGATCAATAACTCCATATCGAATATGTTGGCAATGCCAGTTTTAAACTGCATTCGATAATACTGGGACATCATAGGAAATGATAGTGTATCCAGTGACTACACTTTTCTTGTCGTTACTCAAAACTTTAGTCTAATTCTGATTGTTGCAAGAGAAACTTCTATGTTCACTTGTTATTGTACACCTTCATTCCATTTATTTTTAGACCTGTAATTTTGTCTGCCTGTTTATTGATTGTTCTTTGTGGAAAAAGTTGAAAACTTTTCTCGTCTCATTGCTGATATGATCATGATGTTCCCGCTCTCTGTAAGAAACAATAATCTTGTTTTAGTTATTAGTTCAGGTGATAAAATAATTTTCATTTTAATAACAATCAAATGATCTTGTCCACCTGATCTTGTCAATATAGGCCTACAGAATGGTTGTGGTGTGTGTTGGGGGGGGGGGGGGGTCTGTCCTCCTAACTTTTTTTCTGAGAATAGTATTTGGCTATAGAGTAAATTTTCATTAAGATGTCAGTTGCACCCCCCCCCCTTTTTTTTTACTAGAGGTCTGCATCAATAAACTTGTTACATGTATATGGGCAGTTAGTGATTTCACATACCTAAACCTGTTGGCTTTATTTCAAACATGAAATGTTTAATAAGTTTAACTATGAAACATACAAGTTGTATGTCCCTATGATACTATAAATAAACAATAATTAAGTATGTTTGTATTTATGTATAATTCATAATATTTAATGTCAAACCTAATATACCAGTTAGTATTCATCAAACAGTTACAATTCTTGCATATGGTTAGTGATGGGAAATTGGGATTTTTTTCATAATTGATTATTGGAATAATGGGATGCAC